GGCAGCCCTAATTTAATACAAATATGGTTTGATATTTCCCAAAATAAGTGTCAGGAACAAGTTGGTTACATGAAATCACGTAGTTTTATTGCGATGAAATTACGTTTTCGGAAATTACTTCGTAAATACGGAAATTTGATTTTATCAAATTATTTGACCCCGAAAAAGAAGGGATACCCTTAATTTTGATCAGAATTGGTCTTACCATTGACTCTTTAAAATAATTATGAGAATAAAATCGAGAAGCCGCTTGCGGCTTCGAGTGACAAAAAAAAATTAGCCGCGCGAAGCGCGGCTTTATTATTCATTTTCTCGAAGCCGCAAGCGGCTTATCGATTTTTATCGCTCATGATGATTCCTTTGAGTCTAAAATTTAGATCAACTTTGATCAAAATTAAGGGTATCCGGGATACCGTATCCCTTCCTTTTGAATAAACAAACTTTGGCGAATCTCGGGGTCGATACAGAAGTGTCCATAAAAGGATTGAATGGAGCTTGTGAATGACCTCAAGTTGGCTTAAATTTTAGCTCATTTGACACGGAGGCCCTTAAGCTCCCGCATGACGCTTGCAGTTTCCGCGAGGTCAGAAACTAAGTGAATCAGCTTTTACTTTATTTTATTCACTTTTCCGCCAGTATTTTCTTTAATGCTTCCGGTTTTTAAAACACTCCACCAAAAAGAGGATGAAATTTAAAATTTTTCCGATCCCCTTAAAACAGTTGCTATTTTGAATAAAAATAGATGAAAAAAATGCGGCTGGCAGACTTCTGGCAAGTCAAGTCGTAGCGAAAGAAAATGATCTACCTTATGTACATTTCTAAATAACAATTTTGAAATTCCAGCAAAGTGATAGGCATTTAAAATACGTCTTGTGCATTTTGTTTTGCAATTCTTTCACAGTTTAGAGTTCAAACACGGATTTCGAGGAGATTTACTTGAAAGTTTATTTTCTTATTGTGATTTTATAAAAGGGTATCCCCAACGATAATTTAAGGGTGTCAACAACGATTTTGCTTTCTTTGGTTGTTGACACCCTCGTTGGAAAGTTTTTAAGGGTGTCATTGTCATTAAAATAAGGGTATTCCTATGTAATTTTATCAAGGAATACCCTTATTTTAAGATTAATGATCTCAAACCCAAAAAGCTCTTAAAAGATACAGTAAGAGGATGCTCTAATTGAAGCATCCCAAAAATCACGTGGACGGTCGTCGGGCAGTGGGCAAATTTAATTTGTGGCAAAAGTGGATTTTTCTTTATCGCCGCAGAACTCGCCAAAAAGAATCGAACGCTTTTGGTTTCTGTTTTCTCAGACGCAACTTTCTCGGCAATCGTCGTCTTCTTCTTGCTGAGGCGAATAGTTGAAATTCTTGATTGTCAGATTTTCGTTTATCTTTTCAAGGGTCAAGAAAAATAAGAATTTTATGAAGTCAAACTACGACGACTAGGGTTAGTACAAAATAATTGTAAAAAAAGGTCCATTTTTGTCAAAAAAAAATTTTTTGGTCCAAGTTTGTTGCTTTTTCTTCAAAAATTTGGTCCAAAAGAGTCATTTTTGTCGAAAATTTGGGTCGAACATTCAATTTTGAACCGAATTTTGAAGAAAAATCGACAATTTTCGACCAGAAATAAGAAATATTGCCTTGAAATGACTGTATGTCTACGTGTATCTCTGTTTGACATCGTAAATTTTGCTGATAAGGAGCGATACTTAATCGAGCTCACCAACAAGCTCCGTCATTCGTTCTTATCGGAGTATTACGGGTATCCAAGTCGACTTATTCCCGAGTCGAAATCAGATAACAACGGTTTTACAGCGATCCCATAATTACAGACCGGTTCATTTCTTGACCCTCTTGGCGAAACTCTATTGACCAGTTCCGTCGTAAATTTCGGCTTTGTCGAAATTTTCTCCAGTTGATACAACAGCGGCTTGTTTTTGCTGATAATAAGGGTCAGCCTCGCCGCTGTTTTTTGGAGATTACGATTTGCAAATTAAAAAATATTCAATCATCTTGAAGCATCATCAGATCTATCATCTGCTACACGTAATTTTACAAGGTTAAACTGTTGCGTGGAAGGGATGAAAATAAATTAAAGATGCCCCGAACATGCCCCTCAAAAATATGTTATCTCAACTTAGCTACTCGCGCGAAAAAAGTTCAAAGTGAAAATTTTTCGGGGATTGAAAAATCTTGGAATTTTTTGAGCAAAAATGTGATCACGTTTTAATCGTAACGGAAATCGGAATCTCTACACAACAGCAGCAAAGTAGAAAAACAAAGCGGCATAAATACATCACCACTAACAGGATATACAGGTGCTCCGGACGAACGCTTTTCCTTTAGATCCGCCTCACCTGCGGAAATTTTACTCAATTCAATTGTTGGATCCAGCAATTCAAGAATTTCTAGCGCCAAAATGAATTTTTTAATTGAAGTAGAATCGAGAAGCCGCTTGAGACTGAAGCAATGAGACTTTAAAAGTGGAAAAAATAAGTTTCATCGAAAAAACTCGACTTCAATAGTGCGCAGGTGCTACTTTGGCACTCAATTCAATGAATGAAATTCCAGTTTTGAGCCGTAATGTTTTGCGGAGCCTGGAGCACCTGAGCACTTGGACAGGTTTGAAATACAAATATAGAAAAACTTTGTTACCAAATTACTTTGTTTTCGAAGAGTTTTGTTGAATGAAGATTCAATTAATAAAACTATCATTTATTTTTGATATGATGCGTATTTTCGGTATTTTTGGCTCCAAAATTGTCGATTTTTCTAAAAAAAATTTGGTCCAAAATTGAATTTTTTGACGAAAAATAATCATTTTTGGTCAAAAATCAGGTCGAATTTTCGCCCAAATTTTGCAAGAAAAATCGATAATTTCGGACCAAAAATTCATGCTTAGATTTGCTTTTTCCCCGATTCCGAGGAATGGAAAACTCTTTGCGTGGATATTATTTTAACTTGCTCACGCGGAGCTCGCAAAAATGTAAACACGTGATCCGCGAAAAACTCCTTGCTCGCTGCAAGTGCAAAATCATCATCATGTTCTAATGAAAAACGCTCTAAACAAACTCTCAACCACGTAATATGTTTATATCAAAAAATAAAACCTTTTTAGATCATTTTTTTCAAACCGTTTTCCAGAAGACACAACGCATAAACTAAAGAAAATTGAAGCTCTTTTCGCATTTTTCACTCACTAAATGGTTTCTCGTCCATCTTCGGGAATATTTAAAAAAACTTGTATATAGGCCGACTTTTATCGAAATAAAATAAATTGGCTATCAGAATTAAATATGATCGGCGATACTTATTGATCTTCTGTCATTTTGAGTGTGTCTAAGATCCGACGACCGCTGACCTCAATCAATTTCAACTTGGAAAAAAAACATGTCTGAGTCGATCTGGACTCGGCAACCTGTGTAGAAAGCCCGACTTAGGGTTTGATATACTGTATATAATATATTTAAGGAGAAGCCGACTGGCGGCTTTCTTTAAACAAAGCCGCAAAGCGGCTATCTCGGAGAACCTATCCAGTCTGTTCAAAAGTTCTTGCGAAGCCGCTTTGCGGCTTCGTTTGTATAAGCCCTGAGTCAGGGTATGAAAGATTATTGCTGAAAAGCCGCGCAGCGGCTTTTGAAAAACGAAGCCGCGAAGCGGCTTCGCCGGAATTTAAGAATTATTCTAAGGGTTACTTTGCGGAGCCGCTTTGAGGCTTCGTTTTTAAAAAAGCCGCTACGCGGCTTTTCATCGATGATCTTACAGAGCCTGACTCAGGTTTTATACTCAGATTTTCGAAGAAAATAACAAAAGGGAGAGCATAATTGTGCTTTCAAAAGCATTTCCAGGTCGACTTAAACTCCGAAAACGGATTGTGCAAGTGTGAAGGGTGAAAATTGCGCGAGTTCGATCATCTTGAATAATTGCGCATGAGCCGATCATGTCAAGAGAGCTCAACAGATAAAGGACCGGCTCAAGGTGAAGTAACGTGGTTGATTTTACCCAGAATTCAAGGGCGATTTTCGGATTGAGAAATTAACGAATTGACCTTTGCAGCAAGTTTGGGATCGTTATTGACTGTTCTGCGCGCTAGAAGACGTGTCTTTCCTTGCAATTTTCTTTTTTGATTTTTTTCCTTACATAATTTGAACTCAAGAAACTCAACAGCTTTCGCGGTGATTGTGATCCAACGACAAATCCTGTAAGCCACTGACTAGACCATTAAGCTTATGCGCGTTTCCGAGAGAATTATTTTTCACCTCGTTTGGCAAGCAGAACCCGCTATGATGACGAAAATAGAAGCTCCGTTTCCTCTTTTCAGAAGTACTTTTCTAATAAACTCAGCAAGATCAAGTTCTAATTAGGACAATTTTCCGAATCATTAAAATTAAGAATGATATTTTTATAAGTCAAAAATTTCAAATAGATGACTGAATTACAGATTTGCTTTAAATTTAATCTAGAATTCCCGCATTCTCAGGAAAATCATATTCATGTTATTTTTTCTCAGAATATGGTTTTTCAGGCAAGGTATGTCTTATGAAAATATTGATTAAGTTGCTAGCTGGAATCGTTCAGGTCGTAGAATGTAGCGAGTTCATGTTTCTTTAGTAGTATTTTTATATTTTCATATTTTTAAAAGACACATCAAAATTTTAAATAATAGAAAATAAAGATTAATTTTTATCAACATATTAACCCCAAAACAGCTTCAATTACCGCGGCACCAAAAATCCTCATGGCGCGCGCTCTCATGATTCCTCATCCGCATGGAACTAGCGCCCTCGTGCGTGTACCGTGGCGCGGGCGCCGCGCGGTACCGCGCTTATAAAAACCTCTGCAAAAGTCGGAAGCTTCATACTTTTTCATCAGCATAGCCTGATAAAAGAATAAAAGAGCAACTCGCCGAGGTTTGATCCCCTTTTTTACCGCGTTTCGATAAGAGCCGAACAAGTAAAATCCCGGAAAGCCAAAAAACAAGAACACACTGACCAAACACAATGAAGATTATTGAAAGTGTTATCCTCGGCGTTGCAGTTGCCAAGAGGGACCGAAAGGTGCCTCCTCGACATCCTCTCAACCGACTCAATAGGTAAGCGTCTACCTCACGCTATTTTTAAAGCTAAAAATCCTGTTTTTTGGGATTTTTTCAAGAAAAAAATGCGATTTTCGGCCATTTTTTCGACTTTTTTGACCATTTTTCGACCCAAAAATAACCTTCATTCCTTCAGATTGAGAAACAAACTTGCAGTACAGGTGCTCGAACACCCAGCTCTTGAGGCAGAATGGTCAAAAAAACGACGAACTCGAGTTCTCGGAAACCTCCAGAGCTTTGCTGACAAAATGAAGTCTCGATTCGACTCCGACAACTGTGGATTCTTCGACAGCTCCTTGCCAAACGGAGGCCCAGACCCAGATCCACATCTCAGGTGAGCAGAAAAATTGATTATAATTGAGATCTTATTCGTCAAAATAGAGAATTTTTCAGCAAAAAATCTTATCTGAAATTTTTCTTTAAAATTTTCTTTTTGATTAAAAAAAAATCATGATTTTTCGAATAAGATCTCACGTTTTATCTTTTACAGAGACAATGGCAAGCCCCGTCGCCCAGTCTCCAGCCGTCGACGACGACAAGCCGACTTTTCCATCTCCGACGATTGGCGCCAAAACACCTGGGTTGCCGAAGACTCCAGCTTCATGTGGCTGTACGAGTACTGCTTCGAGGGGCAGAACTGGGAGAACTTGAGCGATGATCAGTTTGATTTCATCACCGACTCCGCTGACGATCTCTGCGAAGAGGACGACGAGGAGTGCGCGTACTTCGACATGGGCACCTGCCAATTCCGCGGCAAACAAGATCAAATCCTCGTCCGCGGCGGCGGCAAAAGCCGAGCCCTCAGCGCCAACCCTCAAAAAGCTTGGAAGCAAGTGACGACCGGTCTTCGCAAGTGGGCAACTCGATATTTGAACAACTGCCACGGCATGCGAAAAGACAAGCTTCCAGCCAAGCGCGCCCGCAGCATGTACAACCGATGGTCCGACAAAATCCCCGCGCTCTAACTAGGTTTTTGAAAGAATTCCGACCCCTTTCTCTTTTGAAAGGAAACCCCCTTTACTTCATTCCTGCTGACGATTCACGCTGGTTTCTGTGGTCACTTCAGTCGGATTCTCAGTCTTAAACCTAACCTGGGGATACCCTTAAGTGTTTTTCAAGATGTCAGCTTTTCTACCTTCCACCCGGAAATATGGAAAAAAGAAAAGCTGAGAAACTCTTCCTCTTGGTCTGCGGAAAAAAAGCATCCCGAAAAACCTTAAGAAATCGTCCCGAAAATCAGCTACTGCCCATTCTCAATCTACAAATCAACGATCCTGATGATGATAAATCACGTGGATCGGCCTCCTGTTTTACTTGATAAAAGAAAAACTCAACACAAGGCCTAGAGCCCGACAGAACATTTCAAACCACTGAATCAACTACTGAATTTAATGCAATTGTATAATTTGTTCCAAGTAAGAAAATTTATTTAATCCTGTACAAAGTTTCATGCCCTGCCAAAAAAATTGTTGAAAAATGGATCCAACCAATAAAAATCATAAAATTATTCAAATATCATTTTAGTATTTTGTATTTCTTTGCATCAAAATCTATCAAATATTAAAAACACAAAAAAAAATAAATTTTTAGACAGATCGAAGCTTAGTCTAATCTTAGTCTTTTTTAGTCAAAATTTAGTCTAGACAATTCGTTTTCAAATGAAAATTCGTCTTGTGTTTCTAGTCTTTTAACCCTTGTCCTTATTATACTGAACTAAAGGGGACTAAGAAGACTAACTTTTATTTGAAGATAAGTTGACTAGACAAGACTAAGACTAAAAAATTTGAGAAATAAGACTAAAGTATTGGCTTTAAATTTTGACTTTTTGATCGATTTTTTAGTCAAAATTTATTTTTTTGGTCTACAAAAAGTTAAGACTATTGTTTAAATAGTCGTATTGTATAAGTTTAAAAACCTTGGGTGAGATAATAAAAAAGATCAATAATTGCATAAAAAACGCCTCTCTACGAGAAACAGCATTGCCGGAATGAAAATCGCCACTCATCATAACCGCTCGGATAACAAGGACGGAAACGGACCGCCGTCGAGGGTGGAAATAAATTTGGATCGTGAATTTACTCTGGAATGTCGGGACATCGGGATTATGATACGACACGTCCCTTGCTTGTGCCGCTCTCTCACCTGCTTTCAAAATATTATAAGATTAATTTTGCAAGAATTGCACAAGAGGATTTCAATTTCGCAATTTTAATTATTTACATTCATCAAACAACGAGTTGACAACGGACAGAAGTTTTATGGAGGTTTATGGAGATTTTTGCGGTCAAAGTCAGACGGTACTTGGCAGCCTGCGTAGAAAACCTGACTCAGGGCCCTAAAAAATCAATTTTCAAATCAATTTTGAACTTCTAGCGAAGCCGCTTTGCGGCTTCGTTTTTAAAAAAGCCGCTTTGCGGCTTTTCATTAAAGATCTTCAGACCCTGACTCAGGTTTTTTACACAGGTTTCCCAGCCAAAAATGAGAGAATTGATTCGTTTTGAAGAATTTCTTGTCTTCTAACATTCAACTTTTGCGGAAAAGCTTCGGAAACAGACCCACGTTAGAAAAAACTCACGAAGATGGCTAAAACTTTAGAAAAAAAACTTCGTTTAGCAGGAAGCCGCGAAGCCGAAACTTCATCCAGCTAACGAGTCGGCTGTTCCGGTCTTTAGGCTCCTTACGACTGCATGAGTTGTATACTCACAAACCACGTGATTCCCATCCGGCGAAAGAGAAAAGCGTGGAAGCTCTTGAACGCGGGTTATGAAAAGTTCAAAGCATAAATATTGTGGAAATGTGTCTTTTACGAAAAATAGTTCGTGAGTTGTTTTCGTAAATTTCCGTGGGAAATTTGGAGAAAATTATATGACGCTGGCTTTTGAAATGGACTAATTCCCATCACGAATTGGGGGCCTCTTGAGAAAACATAAGTTCTGGGCTCAGTTACCTTTGTAAAAAACCTGAGTCAAATTTTTTCAAACGCCGAAACGCAAAGCATTCTATTTTGTGATTGCATTTGAAAATCCAGCGCCATATAATTTCTTCAAAAAAATAAGAACCATAAGACTGAAGTAAAATTTCTGAACCAGTTTTTTTTTTGATTTCTTCACTCTGATTCTTTTTGAAAGACTTTTAGAGCTATATTCATTATCGGAAATGCAAGTTCATTGTCCAGTTAGACATTAAATTTATGAAAGTCACGGTGAAAACTAAATGAAGATCTTTATGGATTTATGAGTTAAAATATTGGCCAATTTTTTCAGTTTTTTTCCTCTTTTATGGCCAATGTTTCCGAAATATCCGCAAAATGGGGCGGAAATATCAGAAAAAAATGCCTTGCCGTAGTGTCTTTAATTTTTTCTAAATAATTATGAGTTTTATAGTCATTTGGCGAAATTCGCCATGAAGACCCTTTCTATTGCTTATATTTATAATTTTTCATTAAGAATGACTGTTGCTATCCCCGATTCCTTAGAAAATAAACAGGTTTTTCAAAAAAAAAAACATGATTTTTTGCCTCTTAAATTTTCTCGGCAGAAAATATGTCCATGAGTATTTTATCTTCAAATTGACAGAACGTTCAACTCTTTCGTATCTCAAAAATCGTGGTGTCAAATCAGCCCCACGTTTTGATTTCGAATATGCTCGGAAAGTTGACACCTCTTGTTTCAAAAATGTGAAAGAATCTGACCTGCAAATTGCTTGTCTTTTTTCTCACCGCAGCAATAAATTTTGTCAAAATTAACTTTTGGGTTTTCTTTTTAGTAATAAATCCGATTGGGCGTTTTTTAGCCGGTAGGGCAAAGTAAGCATCAAACCCACCAAAATAACAGGTGCAGAGTTTAATACCGGGCCACAGCTTTTGGAAAGTGCACGCTTCTCTTGCGCAAATTTTTAGAACTCGGTTTACCAGAGGACAGAATCGAGGGATTAATGACCAGTGGGTAAACAACGTTCTGTCTTCAGAAAACTCTTCCGAATCGGCCCAATTTTCATTTTTTTTGCTCCTTCCGGAAATTCCTTTGAATCGTTTATCCTGCGTTTGGTTTAGATCTGACGCCTGAAAGATATTTAATCTTTGCAAATATTTAAAGTCGGACATGAGAGACAGCTGTCCGATTTTAAGCCCTGGAATAATCGGTTTTGAGCGAAGTTTTCGCGAAACTCTTTCGATCTAACGTGTTGATTTTTCGGCTCGGGGACCTGTGAAGAAAACCTGAGTCAGGGTCAGACAAACTTAATCAAAAGCCGCGCAGCGGCTTTTTTGTAAACAAAGCCGCGCAGCGGCTTTGGCAGTTTTTTTGCAATTGAATTGAAAAAGTCATATTGCGAAGCCGCTTTGCGGCTTCGTCTTGTAAAACGCCGCTGCGCGGCTTTTCGTTTAAGGTCGTCAGAAGCGGACTTTGGCTTTTATTTCAGCTATTATTGTGAAAGTTTCTTTAAAAATCGGCGGTAAATCAGTAATTAACAAAATGCAAATGAACTTCCGGCAGCGGTGGCAGCTACCTGGCGAAGGGTTGAAATATTTGAATTAATTTTCGCCGCGATTTCTAACTTTGGTGCATTTAATTGAGCATAAAATTGGATCAACACTCCGAGTTCAACAACTTGGAATTTGCTCGTAATGGCTCATTAGATTACAAATTAAGCTTGGATAAGTTTTATCTAGGGAGAACTCAAGGTAGGTGCCTACTTGGCAGAAAATTGCTTTAGAAAAATAGCTCGTATTGTTGAAGGGCAAATTTAGACTTTGCTTGACCTAGAAAGAGTCTAGACGTCTTGTTTATTTTTTGAGAAAACGAGGGCGAGTTATCATAAACTTGAATCTTTCGCTACTTTTTTCGATCATTCACAAAAATGCCCCCTCAAGAGAAAGAGACCCTTATTCAGAGAAGCTCCGAAAATGACCTCGAAAGCCGGCCCTTGTCCGCGATCGAGGTCCAAATGGATAATATAAATGCGACAATCTGCTACGCTGCAGTAGTCCAACTTCGAGAACCCCTGGATAAAGAGCGAATGGCCAAAGCTTGGGCGAATTCAAGAGCGACAGAACCACACCTGCAAGTTTCAACAAAAGGCGGGTGGATCCAACAGGTTCCCGAAGAATTATGGCAGGAACCAGAATTTCTGGAAGTTCCAGAGAGCAACTTTCGGCAGGCTCAAATGGAGGCGAATATTAGACTTGGTGAAATGAAGAATGAAAATACTTGTAGTCATCTTATTGTTTGTCAAGGTATTATTCCGAATATTGATTTTACGAATAAAATCTTTCTGAAGATGGCTTGAAAATCCAGCTGATTATTCGAATTCCGCACTCAATCTCCGATGGCACTTCTCTCATGCTGATCGTCAATCACATCTTGAGTCAATATGACAACTTGCAACGACCAAAAGTAAACTCGCCCCTCCCAAGGCCGGCGTCAGAGCTTCAACCAGAAATCGACCCAAAGTTCATCGAGAATTTCAAAAAGCGATATCATCGGTAACCGAAACGATCCAGCGGAAATTAAGATTTTTCAGCGATCTGATCGAGTTCAAAAACACGGTACCCCATGAACTCGTTGAGAACCGAAACGGAAATGCTTTTCTTACCACCGGTTTCGGAACTCCCGAAGGAGCTGCGAATCTTCTCAAGTTTTGCCGAGCAAATGGCATAACTATCGGCTCTTTTCTTGCTGCTTCCGTCACCTTTATCAACGCGCAAATGACAGTAAGACCATTTTTCTTTGAAAATCAAAGAATTTGGATTAAGAAAACGTTCAATGAAAACTTCAAATTGGATGTGGATTACAACTTGCGCGACAGATTCCCCAAAAAGATCGGTAACAACACAGTTTCTTGCTACATCGGCTGGCCATCTCTTCGGTAATTATCTTTCCTGTCTTCCGATCAATATCCTAATTTCTTCAGACCAAACGCGATTCCATCCGATTCTCTCCTAGCCGTCGCCAAAAAAATTCACCAAGAACTGAAGCTTCAAATGTCCGAAGAAAGCCACCATCAATTCGATTCAATCGCTGATTTGTTGAAAGAAAACGGCGCAATTTACGACGCTATCGCTGCTGAAAACAATGGAGTAAACGCTTCGATCAATTTCTCGAATGTTGGCAAGTACAAGTTCTCGACAAAGTACGAAAAGAGCGAAATTCTCGAGCTCTATTGTACTGGAAATGGATGGGCAAATGTAAGAACTGTTGGATTTTTCGGGTTTCTGAAGTGAATTTTCAGGTTTGCGAGTACTGTACGTTGTTCCAGACGACTGACAAGATCTGTATCTCCATCACACATACTGACAAGCCAGCTTATCATGAAGCAGCGAAGAAACTGGTTCAAGAGCTGATCAGATTCACTGAAGATCCAGATGAAGCTGGCCAGATTATTCTTTCAACCCTTCTCTAACAAATGGAGTCTAGCAAATTATCAAACAGTTGTTATCATTTGCATAATTTTCTCTTGAAGAAACACGCTTTGAATTGATAAGAAATCATGTCAACATTTCTTTATCCAAAAATAACAGGATATTAACTTCTATCAAGCACCAAGATGCATAATCAGGAGTTCGATGGAACCGAACTTTGCAAGACAAGAATATTTTTTTGAGAAAAAATCATGTTACTTGTGATTCAAAAACATGTCTCGTAATACGCGAAAATTCACGTGGCTCATGTAAAGAAGTGCTCTTGCGTCAGGAATACGACAGTCTGGACTCGACAATCTGTGTGTAAAGCCTGAGTCAGGGTATTCCGTAGTAAGCTGCTACGAAGAACCCTGACTCAGGTTTTGAGAAAATTTGAAATCAAAGAAGAAGATAGCTAGAAATTGACGAAAAGTGAGTTCAGCGTCCAAAAACAAAGCGAGAGGCTTATTTCTTGTGAGATTTTTTATTGAGCAGCAATTTCGTATTTTGAGCGAGAATATTTTTTGTTCAGAGGAAGAAGCATTTTTGCACTTTGGTGAAGAATAGAATGAAGAGTAAAATTCGTGAGTTTGAGTACTTTGAGAAGTTTGAAGTAACAGTAGCTGAAGAAGAGGCATTTTTGAGAATATCTTTAAATAAATAACACTAAAGTTTCTTTTTCTAGTAGAGTGAGACGTCGTTTTCTTGGGTTTCGAATTGATCAGAGTCGATTGATTTGGTTTGTTGCTGGGCGAATTTGACGCGGAGCGAGGCGCGCCGATCGTGAGCGGTTTCACTTGAGTTTTCTTTGTACACTGGCCGCGGTGCATGCCGGATCTAGGATTTGCTTGTTGAAATCGGAGTTGGAAAAGAGATGCTTACCGATGATTTAATGATCGAAAGCCGTTGATTTCGTCGTCTTTGCTCTTCGACTCGTATTTTGAAGTCATCAAGCTGTTCGGTTAGACCGGAGACGGTTTCGGCAACATTTTCCAAGCGCTAGAATTTTTAATTATAAATCAGAAAGGAAGAAATTGGTCTTGATAACCTGGAAGAGAACTTTGACGTCGTGCTGATCATCATTTGTCGGAAGGAGCTGGAGGGACATTGCTTGATGTCTGGGGAACCATTTGAGGTCGTTTTGTTGAATGAGGGTTGAGACAAATGATTCAGGGCCGGTATATTCAGTTTGGGACTTGGTTCGGAGGTGGACGATGAAGTAGAGGTAGTGCCACATGTTGTGCTCGTACTGAAAAAATCAAGAAGGAAAACATGGCTTGTAAGTACCTGTATATGAGTTTCAAACGAGATCGACCGATTGTCAAATGATCTCCGCTCCAGGCCGCAAATAAAACAGGTGTTTCTGATGATGTCATCCTTCTTCTGCTTCTCATTCCTCAGGTCCGCAAAAGTATCGATGATCACACCAAAAATCAGGTTCAAGACGATAATGATGATTCCAAAGTAAAAGAGCAAATCGTAAAGAACTCGGTAGAGAAACTGAGGATGATCTTTTGAGATTCGCTTCAAAAAGTCGCCGATTCCGCCGCCATTTCTGAGGCCTTGATCGAAAGTGGTGATGATTGACATCAGAAGGGTTTCACAGTGGTTTTCTTCGATCGTTTCTACTTCTTCGATTACTGAAAAATGACTGTAAAGTCCGAGGAAATCGAATAGAAAGTTACCTCTGGGAACAAGATGAACAAATCCGTCGACGGTTTCGTTGACCATTTCGGTAAATCTTCTAGTTGTTTCGATTTCCACAATACACTGATCATTGAAGAATAAATAGCCGATGATGGAAAACAGGTAGACTAAGATACTGGCGAACATGGCCGTCAAGATAATCGACCGGCCATTTCTCGTTACAGATCGAATCACATTGTACAGTGTTTCTTCTCGATGGACCAGGTCCATGAGCAAGACACTGTAACTATAAGAACGGTAGCAGAAGCCGATAAGACAGACCATCAACATCGCACAGTGGTAAAGCAACGAGCGATCGTTCAAAATGCTCAGTAAATTACTGTCATCATACTGGAAGCCGCGATTGCCAACGTATGATACGATGAACGCTGCTTTATTCATGATGTTGAAGAATCCGAGAACAACGAGGACGAAAGTTGGGCCCTTGCGAGCAAGAAGCCAAAGAACGGAGGATATTGCAAGACCATGAAGAGCCCGCTCGCGGAAATCAGAGAAAAGACCGACGATACAGGCGAGAAGGGATAAGAAAATGACACTGAAATAGGTATTATGATCTGGCAGATAAAAGGCAGCGTTTAACCTGATGTAGCTCGAGTCCCAAGGAAACAGATCATCATTGAACGGATAAAAGAAGGCGACAATCAAGTTCATAATCAAAGCCAACAAGAACGCGATCCTATCCCAAGTAGAAATTCTTCTAGTAATCCAGTTGAGCGTCGGATACGCTTGAAGCCTCTCCTGCCAAGCCATTTCGCGGTACATTCCTTCCGATCTTTCGAAGAAATCGGCGATTTTTGATTCTTTGTCGTCCATTTCCGTTTCGAAGAAGGTCGTCTTTTTCGTTTCTTCAGTCAGGAATCGACAGATTTCGGGGATTGGGAAAATGATTTCCTCCATTGTAGTTTTATCACGGACGATTTCGATTTGAGCAGTTCGAGCGGCGTAGAAATTTACGGCAGTGCTTTCTTCTTGTGTTATCGCTCCTTCATCCGTCATCAGCTCCTAAAGTATCCGCGTGAGGATCAGAAAAAAAAACGAAGCTTTACCTTGATCTCTGGATTTCTCTTCGACAGCTGATAGAGCAAAATGTAGAGTGAATGTCCAACAGTCTCAATTTCCGCCGAATTCAAATGTCGACTTTGATAGCTGACCACCATCGCCTTCAGCAGCTGTCGCGGCCCTTGACCAACGCTCCTGTAGATTCGGTTGTAGATTTCAGAGTCTTGGCGCGACTCGATGATAGCGAGAAGGAGTTTACATGCAGAGAGCTTCAATTCATGGACGTCTTCGTCGAGTCCTTGGCCTTTGAGAGACTCCATGTCGTCCACGACGATAGCAGTGACTATGTCAAGCCCGTTTGATTCGTGCATCGCAATCGCATGCTGATTTCCGCAGCAAGGGCCTAAAAAGCTTTGATTCAAAAACATGATGGTGAAAACTATACCTTGGCAGTATTCAGTGAGCGTTTCCAGCGCTTGTTTTATCAAATTTACATTGTTCTTATTAATATACAATCCTAGCAATCCCAAAACGCCAGTTGTGCTTCCGCAAATACAGTCGAGAAATTTCAGCGTTTCAGAAACCAGATCAAAGTTCGTTTTGTTGTTTTGTTCGCGGAGATAGCCTTGCAAGTCTCGATTGTGATTTTCGCATAATAGCTGAAGATATTATGAGCGATCGGAAACAGTTTGGGTTTGTAACCTGGAGGAAACGCATGAGCGGTTGCATAAGGCGTACAGAATTGGTAAGCGGACACTCTTCCTTGATCTCTGTTTCAGCGACGCCGAGTGTCCGGCCAACGTATTCTGAGGAGCCAAGTTGGATGGATTCGATGGCTTTGGCGCTCAGATTTGCGGCTTCGTGCATATCTTCCGCGACGAATTGGGACATGTTCGTTATTCCACTAAAATTATCGCTGAGAGAAGAAAAGGATGAGAAAGTGAATTACCTGTGGGAAGAAGCACCTCCTTTCTTGAGCGCAAAGAGATCATCAGTTGACACCGAGCTGCCATTCTTGATGTCTTGTTGGCTCTGCTCCATTCGATCTTTCAAAACTGAGAAGAACCGTTCTGAATCTTTCGAGTCGACCTTCAATAGCTTGAGGAATTGGGACTGGATTTCGTTGTTTCCGCCGTCGAGGATTGTGATGGCAAGATTGAGAGCTTCTTCGAAGACGCGATCCGATTTAGTGAAGCGGATCAGGTGAATGAAAAGTTCAGTAGCGCCCAGACGATTCAGGAAGTTTTGGATTTGGATGAGGCGTTCTTTCGGCGACTGAACTGATGATGAAGGAATGTCAACGTTAATTCATATTGACCACACGAGAACGTCACGAACAGATGCCATGACGTTCACCACGTAATTCCCCTACGTCATTTTTTTATTTACCCTTTCTGAGAACTTCTGCAGCGAACTCTCTTCTCCCGTTTTGAAATAATGAATCAGCAAATGGCGCCTAGGAGTAAGCTTCTTTTGCTTTCCCGATTCATCTGCTTCTGTCGCCAGTTCTGCTTCCAAATAGCTGACTTTCTGCGAGTTGATCAGTTCCACAAGAATCTTTAGAATGCGGATGCAAAGGTCTTCTTCCTCATGTGGATTTGCTGAATAGTAAAAGGACCCTGTCAAAACTGGTTTAACACCGATTCCCGAATCAATTCCCGAATAGTGATGCAAGTTCGAAATTTTAAATCAACGAGGACTAAGAGCTCGAGAAATAATTAGACAGAGCATTAATTAAATTTTCAATTTTCAAGAAAGAAAATCAACAAAATATTTTTCATGCAACATTCAATTGGTTCTTTTAACATTTCAGAAAATAATTCAAAGCTGAATAATTTCCTCAGAAATCAGAAATCTACTCATATTTAGCTTCTTGCGATCTAACCTCTTTTTATAATAGAACGCCTAAGCGCCAGCGCTAGAATTAAAGAAAGAGTATTAAGAATTGTCCGTAACCGACTTTTGTTTTGACTCTTGTGTCAAACCATACCTGCGTCGGAAATCACGTGACGCGCTGTGGGATCATGGCAGAGAGTGTGGCGAGAGTGGGAGATCAGCTTCTTGATGAATTCGCCATCAGAACAGCGGCGGCGGTAGTCGGACTTGTCTTGAAAAAGCAGTTCGGAGTGGTAGATCAGCTGGACGAGCGCATCTTCTTCGGCTTGTGTGTATTCGCAGAAAAATTCTTCGCAGCTGTCGATGACGGTTTGAAATCCCACTAAAAAAAGAATTAGAAATGGGATGGGAAATCATGAACTAACTTAAGATTTTCTGATATTTAATCTGCTCCGACGGGACATCAAGGCTGAGCCCAATCGATCCTGCCGTTCTAGAGCGTTTCATTTTGTTCTTCCATTTATTCGCCGCGTTGGAGATCGCTTTGTCCTCGACGATCTGCTTGAGATCCTCGTCAAACGTCCCACCCATGTCGATGCGCGCCATTTTGACCTTTTGCTGGATTATGCGCAGCATTTCGCTGATCTGCGTCTTGACTCTGAAAGAGAGCCGTCTAATTTTACAAAAATCGACGAAAGCTGTCGCCAGGTCGCGGAAGATCTCCTCGTTCAATGAATCGCCGGAGATGGCAGATGGCTCGAGGAACTTGGAGCCGAGGAATTCACTAGTGACCATGGCCATTTCATTCATAACAAAGCTTTCAAGGCTGTCGATGAATGGGATTTTCGCTTCTTCGTTGAGAAGATTCCTGATGTCTTTGATGAAAGTCTTGAAAACGGCCCAAATATGGCGGGAGTTGTAGACTTCTTTCATCTCGGATTCGGTGTCGATGTAGCAGTGGACGAGAAAGTGGCAGTAAACGCGCTTGAGCTGTGGAAGACAAGAATCGTTAGTGATCACGCTTGTGATATCGTCAAGCGGAAGTAACCCATGACATTTAATTTCCGTATTGTAGTTCTTTCCTTCGGTACAGCAGGAGAGAAGCTTGACCAAGGCGCAGTGATATTCAAGTTCGCCGCAAAGCTGGCCATTCTCCACTGACAGCTTCATTGCTCGTTCAAGTCTCGTGAAGCTCGCTCCATCATTGTAGAACATCAGCACATCTTCCGTCGTCTGCGAGGTCATCAGTTCGATCATCACCATGTCTTGAATCTGCTTTCGATTTCTATCCGAATCGCGAACGACAGTCATCAAGAAGTCGATGTATTCAGCGCTCTTTCCGTGTTTTTCAATGCAAGAAACGAACTGCTGGACGATTGAAAGCGTCATAGAATTGCAGAGTTCTGCGTTGCCCTTGAAAATTGCCGTCATTGTCTGCGCATCGAGGACATCGTGAATGTTTGAAAGGAAGATCTTGAGATCCTGGTGGAGGAGCTTTTGATTCTCCTTATTATTCTGGCAAAAGTGGATGAGAAAGATGTGCGCGAGCCGCTGAATCTCTTGAATTCGAACGTCATAGTCGCTGCAATCTCTCGAGCTTTTCAAAAACTCGATCACTTCTTTGTGAGCCTTGAGATTTCGCAGCAATCGTTGCTGAGAGTGCTTGTCATCGGGCGATTTATCGAGGCAGCTTTCGATCCAGCGCGTAAGAATGTCCTGCAGCTTTCTATAATTTTCGGAGGAAACGGAGTTGCCAGGAAGATCGAGGGCTTTTTCCAGCCGTGCGAAATCGACAGTATTCGGTTTTTGGAACAAATTCGATCTCATCGGCGCCGCGTCGGAGGCAAAAATCAGGATGGAGTCTTGCTTTCGTATTCCAGCCCGTTTCATGCCCTTTTCTAGCTCTGCTTTGACTTCTTTTTCTTCCTCCTGGCTTTCTGGAACTTGAACGGGGATCCAGAGCTCGGATTCTTGAGTCAGTCGGCTTAATTCTTCGACATCGTATTTGATCTGTTTGTATTGATCGACGTTAGAATGGGAAATCAGGAGTTGGACATTCTTCATCGCTTCCACGAGCTCGTTTCGCTGGTTAAAATGACGAAATAGCAGCTTCAGTGCTCCGGAGACCAAAGGAGGATCGTCGTGAAGAATGAGGAGGAAAATGACGCGGAGGAACATTTTCCCACCGGAATGATCCAGGTCCAGGCGAATGCTCTCCTTCGTCAGCTCGTCTGCTCGACGATTGATGATGTCTACGCCTTCTGTTTCGCCCTTTGTCCAAGCTTCTTTCTCGAATTCATCTTTGAAGGAGCTGAGAATGGCGGTGACGCGATAATCGAGGCGGACATCAAGGACAAAATCGAGGATTTGTATGACTCGAGCGAGTGAAAGAACGACATTTTGATCGGATTTGATTGTTGAAGTAGGATTGGTGAAGTTGTGAGGTTGTGACTGTTGATTGTTCGGATGCTCGGTAGAATTAGTGATGTGACTTCCTAGCGCGACGTTTCCCATGACCATTGCTACGTTTGAAACTGCCCAGCCAACCGGGCCAGTTGGCGCGCTAGAGTTGCTAGATTGAGGATCCTGTTGCTGGTGAAGGCGCTCCACGATTCTCAAGACAGTGGATGAAAGCTCCAGTAATTGCCCGAAATTGTAGAAGCCGAATAGGGCTAATTGGCACGCGAGGTTGATGATTTCAAATGTGAGTTTGTTGTAATCGCTGTCGGCGGTATTCCAGCCATCTTCGGCGAGCCGATCTAGGTAGTCCTTGACGAATTTGAGGACGCCATCGAAGTGGGCGAAATCGCGCTCTTGTTCGCGATCGTAATCGTAAATTGTGACCATTTTGGGCGTCTCGGACCAGACGCGGGCGTAAGAAACGGGAATGACACGCTCCTGGGGTGAGCAATCGACGTGGACGTGAAGTAAAAGGTTGACGAAGGAAGCGCGAAGAATGGCGGGAAGGTGCTTGTCACGGATGCACGTGAGGATCAATGGAATAGTGAGTTCTTCGCGGAGACAGTGGATCGCGACGTATTGACGGTTGAAGCACAGGGCGGAGAATAAGTCTGAAAAATTTAATGAGTAAGACGATTTTAGGCTTTCCTGAGTGGAAACCTGAATAAAGACGTCTTGAATCTTACGCCTAAAGCGTTTAGCTCGCTTGTCATTTAAAAAAGTTAAAATCTTGACTTACCTAATTGGTATTTATAGTAGTAGAGCATCTTGAACGAGTTGTTATCATCTCCTCTTGACTGCCTAACAAGTTCTCTGAGCGAAATTTCTTCTTCCTTATCGTTCCAATTCCAGCAGAGATAAATGATGTTTTCATTTTCTTCCTCGTCATCGTCTTCTTCGAAAACATCTTCGAGCTGCTTTCCTTCTGGCAGGATAATCTTCGTTCTTATCAGCAGCTTTCGATTTTCTTCCGTTTTCAAAAGCACATTTCCGATCAAATCTTGCGTCACATTTATCGCTGTTTCATGTGAAACGCACAGGTCGGACAAGTAATTCAGATATCTGTATTCTGGCTTGTTTCGCCGCACGAGATCCACGAAGATGTCGATTTCTTTTCTTCGTATATGTTTGACGAGCAGCTGCTTGTTATTGTGTAACAGCGCGGCAAGGGTGTCCTCGGCCAGGATGTCGAAGCCAATCTGCTTTTGCATCAGCGAGAAGTTCTTGGCGACGTATTCCTGGCTCTTTCGATAGTCCTGGTTGAGAGTTTACAATATTTTTGAAAGGTTTTCAATTATTCTCATTTTTTCTTTGAATAAAAAGTTTGAATTCGAGGTAAGACGTGAATAAGGGTGTCTCTATCTTATCAAATTTTGCAAACTCTTCCTGAGTAGAATGCCTCAAAATCCTGTAGCACAATCTGAGCATTCTCTTGTAGCACTGATGCTTACTATCTCTTATCTCACTCAGCGGGACGACAATCACTTCTTCCTGATTCCCTCTTGGCTCTTTGAACGCCTCAAGAATCTTGAAAATCTCGCGCAGAATTCCCTGCTCTCTCAGCAGCTTCTGTCGCTCTCTCGCTTTCTCAATACTGTGCATTTGAATCGTTTCGGAATCCTCGTTATCGCGTCGCTCAGCCCGACAGACGAAGCAGATGATATCGTCCAGCAGCTTCAAAACGTTCTTTCTCTCGGCAACTGCGACTTCGGACGAGTTTTTCAACTGGCTTGTAAAGTCTTCGAGCACTTTGCATGCATCAGCAGCGAAGTCCAGGTCTCGAACTTCCTCTGGTGCCACAGGGATGATTTTGAACGCTTCTTTGTCCTCTTTGACCGCGGAAGTGCCGATCAGCATCATGCACGGCCTCTCTTTTCTCTGTCGATCGAAATACTCGTCGATCTGAGCCACGTATCCGAGCACAGGTGCTTAAGACGAATGTACGAGTGGCTAGGGACGTAGACATCCCCTTCTTCGATAAGCGCGGCTTGTTCTAGCTCGAATACCGTGTTGATATCTTTGGTATTCCTCGTGACGTTCAGGTGATGCGTGATATCAGTGCTAGACTTGTCGATTCGCAGCCGATTCATGAACGCGCTCTGGACATCTTCAGAATACGAGTTCAGCGCCGCTGCTCCAAGATAGGTTCCCGTCGCCAAATGCTTGAAACGATACAAAATGCTCCAAGTTCCCGCTCCGCCGCGGCACGGATCGGAATCGATCACTTCCACTTCCCACAACGCTTTCGGACTTGTCGCGCTTTGAGCAGAGCTGCGAGCAGTCGTTCGGAGAAAGACGTAGTCCTCTCCGTTGTAGGTATCGCAGGTAAGGAACTTTTCTTGCTCCGTGTGAAAGAGGCGGATGACGTCGCCAGATTTGAGGATTCCGGGGATGTTTTCGTTGTGTTTCATGAAGAGCGTGAGCTAAAAAGATTAAGATTAATTTCGATTTTCAAAATAATCCAGATTCTGTTTCTGCCCTGTTTTCACCCAGTTTCATACCTTCCAATTCGTCGGCTCATTGCTAGCATTGACCTCCATACATTCCGGAAAGTCCCTCAAAACTTCTGGCGACGCGTGAAGCACCTGATCTGCTGAATACGGCTTGATAACGACCTTATCTCCAACGAGCACATTGTCACCCAGCGATCGCAGTTTGTAGAACGGATGAATCTGGAACCAGGAGCCTTCGTTTCCATCTCCATCGAGCATGACACGCATTGAATTTCGCTCAAGCAGGGCCGGAAGGCGCTTGTTTACCGTCAGATACTTGTTGCTCTTGACATGGAGCAGTTGGACAATCTGCCCGTAGCGCACCTCTTGTCCGTGCTGCTTCTTCTTCTCTTTCTCATTTTGTTCGCGCTCCACATCTGCCGCTTCTGAGAGCTTCCGGACGAAGACCTCGACGAGGCGGGACTGGCCAGGCTTTACGGAACGCCAGTATTGTCGATGGGCGGAGTAGCGGCATGGCGGACAGATTCGGAATAGACAATCGCGATATTTTATAGGCGGACTGAAAATGAACTTTAGTATCAAAAGTAACCGCGACACCCTTAAAAAGGACTAAAAAGAGAGCTTCAAGCTGTGAAAATCGAGCTGGAATTGATTGAAACGAACCTTTGTAAGCTCCCAGCCGCGGAATTCGTAACACATCGATCATCAACGAGCCCGAGAGTCGATATGAAACCAGAGCCATCTGCGTAAATCGAAATTACATCGCCTGAAAACAAATTATTATCGAATTCTCGCTGAATATTTACCTATTTGTAAGCAGTTGCGCATCTCATTTGTGTCCCTTTGGATCCGATCCAGACAGTCTCCGTCCCGCAGTGCCAAATGTGAGTCTTAAGAAAGAAGTTATCGTTAATCCAATTTTCGATAATTCAAAGCAGCTCTGAATGGAGGAAAAGGGCGAAAATAGAAAGGAAAGAGCGGTGCTAAAGGGCACCCTCGAGAGCATATGTGCCTCGTTATGGAGTGAAAAATCGACTTATTTATCTCTCTTTCTCTCTAAAATCGTCAGTGTTTTCATTGCCATCCTATAGCTTATAGCGGTCAAAGTTTATGACAACCGCTAGTGATAAAGAACGCCCCTCTTTATTTAGAAAAGTTTTGAAAAATTTGGAGAATCAAAGGCTTAATCCTACCAATTCCCTCTTATCCTTCCCTTTAGTCTAGCCAGAAAAAAAGATGATCAAACCTTTAGGCCGCATAAACCATACTTTCTCTTATAAAAAGCTATTTCTTCTTTTCTTGAGAATCTTTCTCGAGTTTATATCTGTATAAAGACTGGGGCGGAAATTCGCAAAAACGCATCTTTACAATTATTTAACGTGAGCAAACAAAAATGCACAATTTTAAAATTCAGTCAAACTTACGATTCCGCAGTTTGCCTTTCATCATTATCTCATTTTTAATGGAAATTTAGAATTGAGCTTGAGAGCTTACTGAGCTTATTCTTACAGCTCGTGTTGTAAAAAAGAAAGGGCATTCAAGCGGCTCTTAATTGATTCACTTTCGCAAATATTCTTTCAATTGAATGGGGAGAAAATTATTGAGCTCAGAAAAAAGAGCGGTAATTCAGAATTTCAGCGCGGCGCTTTTTTTAACGAATTAGGTGCGATTTGAAGAAGTGTGGGAAAAATGGGAGCTTCGTACTTTTCTCGTGCTCTGTAAATAAAAAATCTGTTGGAAGAACTTATCGGACTTTGGCAAACAAAATGTGGCTCCTTAACTAATCCAAATTCAAATAGTAAAGTGACGTTTATCTGTCACTTAGCAAATCTCCCGTACCTCTGAAAATAGCTCTTTCTCTAAGTTTAAAAATCGCTTTTTGAAAAGAAAAAGCGCTTGCACAGAAAACTGAAAAATAAGATTTGAATCTGATGACTCGAAATCCGAAAAAAATGAGTCCGCGGGCGCTCGGCCGTTTCAATTTTTTCTCCTTTGAGCTTTTCAAGTTTACAAAAGGGATCAAATACTGACTCAGACTGTTCTGGCACCTGTACAAACGTCAAATAAAAACGAGGTGGTTTCTCAAAAGAAGTTCTCTCTAAACGGTGAGAAAAAATTGATTTCCGATTGGAATTCTTCTCGTTGCGGGATTGACACCTTCTCGATCGATTTTTCTCCGTTTTTATTCTCATTCATCAACTATCTTCTTGTTTTGTTGCTGCCTCTGGAAGTTTTTGTTTAAGGAGAGGTTGTCGAGCCCAAGGGCTAAAAAGCCCGTGAGTCAGGTAGACTTTTTCCTTTATCTTCCTTGATTTCACCCTTTTGTTAGTTTGATTACATCATCGTGGAACTCTTCGCTCTGGAATCGAGTCGTTTCATGAACGCATCATTTCGCATCTTTCCATGCACAATTCCTTACTGAAACAGATCCGGGAAGTCGTCAAAGACTACGCAAACAATCTCGGCGACAGAGAAAACGAAGAAGGGCGGGGGTTCTCCGCTTTGTGTTGGTGCTAAAAACTCGCAGTGGCCAAGTACATGCAGGTGTCAAGCTGTGCAAATAGGATGCAACGGGCCCACCGACACGCGCAACCTGCTGCGATGTCCTGCAGAGACTCGTCTTAGCACCAATTTCGAGCAACGCTCGGTGTGAGATGGCTTCAAAATCAGCAAGCTTAGCCGAGGATAAGCTCAAAAGTGAAGTTTTAAAAGAGTAAAAAATTGGAATTTCATAAAATAAATTACCTTGTAAGTAACCTCGAAATTTTTTTTTGTAGATTTTGATTCTGAGGCCGAAAATAATTTAATCTTACCAAAGCTCACCTAAGCCTGCCCTAGACAAGAAAGTTCGGGTACCAATTGGTACTGTCTGCTCAAAATACAGTCCAGAAAATGTGTCAAGGCAAAAAGAGCAGATTATGGATAGCGATACCGTTTTTTACCGTATATTCTTGCCAACCGAGGCTCTCAGAAGTTGAGAGCATTCTGCAAGACCTGTTCGACCCTGTTGGTAAACCCAGGCTGCGCATTATGAAACTCTGGGTTGGTAAACCTAGGTGACCGGAAATATTTTTCATGACTTTATTATGACCAAGGGAACCTAGATGATATGAACTAAAATTTGATGTTGAAGATCGTAAAGATCATCAAAATTGTTCGTTTATGATTTCAAGCAAGCAAGTGTTTCAGGCTGAAACTTTCAGCAGTAAGAACATCCTTCCATGATTCCTTTTTTCCCTCTCGGTAGCAAGGGGCTTCTAGAAACGGTTTTCCGGCGGCTTCAAAAACCTTCACCCGGTTTTCGACGGTTTTCTTCACTGATGTATTTTCCATGATCTTTTCGATATCTGGATTTTCAACGTTCAGGAATTTCGCCAGTCGCTTGATGTTTTCAGCTTTGTTTGAGAGAACATCTTCGTATTTGAAGCCTAAAAGAGTGTAATAGGGGATCGAAGAAATAAACTTACATTCGACTTGAATATTCGGATTTGCAGCGAAGTAATCCTTCCATTCTTGATCGTATTCTCTTGGGTCTCCATAAATCATTTCTCCGTTGAAAACATGTCGGGCGAAAACGTTGATATCATCTTTCAAACCGTAGAAACTCATGTACTCGGTGAGCCACGGAAGCTTGTTGAAGAAGTGAAAGGCTGAGACTGCCACTGCTTCTATGTCTCTAGAATCAAACTGAACAAATGACTCGCAGAAATGGAGGAAAACCTGGTGATGAAGATGATCTTTCCTTGGTAATTTTTCGGAAAGAGCTCGACAGAAGCGTGGCAATGCGGAGTTACGACAGGTCCTTTTTGCTCACTGATGATTTTCTCCATGAAATCGAACTCTCTTTTCGTATTGAAATCCAATGGCTTCATCAGCTTCATCATAAGCTCGTCTCTGTTCTCCTTCTCGATAAAGGCCTCGCATCTGGGAATCCCAAGTTGATCAAGAATCGAAAGCATCAAATGATTGCCGCATTTCGGGAAGCCAAGAACTGTCACTGCATTTTCAGCTGGGTCAAAAGCGGAAAAATCGTCAAATGATTCCGCCGAACCGTCCTTTGTCATTTTTAACTCGCCTTCAAATTATTTGATTTAGAAATTAAAAGCGACATCAAACCTCGATGCTCAAAAACAATCCCACGATCAATAAAATCTTTATAAAAAGTTTTCAGTTTCTCTGTTGCCTTTGCCATTTCACTTTCTTCCAAAATGACTTCGTTGCAATTCGTTCAAAAGCGACTTTTTATCAGATTTACCGCAGGGAAGAATGACAATTTTACGGTCTTCGCGCCACTCTTGAGTGATTTTTTATGGACGACATTTTTCGACGTCATTTTTATTAAGAAATCTACGATTATAAAATCTAATAAAAACTCTTTCATTTATTCAAGTAAGCAAGTGTTTCAGCAGTAAGGACATCCTTCCAGGTTTCCTTTTTTCCTTCTCTGTAGCAAAGAGCTTCGTGGAATGGTTTTCCTGCGGCCTCAAAAACTTTCGCCCGATTTAGTGAGCTGCTCTCCACAGATGTATTTTGAATGATCTTTTCTATATCTGGATCTTCGATGTTGAGGAAGTTAGCAAGTCGGCCTACTGCTTCAGCCTTGTTGGAAATCACATCTTCGTATTTGAAGCCTGAAAGATAGGTTTGATAGGAGCAAGAAGCAGGAAGCTAACATTCGACTTCAATATTCGGGTTGGCAGAAAAGTGATCCTTCCATTCTTGATTGTATATTCGGGGATCTCCGTAGAGCATTTCACCATTGAAAAGATGTCGAGCGAATTCGTTTATATCATCCTTCCCGTAAAGACTCATGTACTCCTTGAGCCAGGCCCTTCCCGGAAGCTCGTTGATAAAGTGAAATAATGATACTGCTACTGCTTCTATGTCTCTTGAATCAAACTTGAAGTGTGCTCTAGAATTGCTGAACAAACCTGTTGATGAAAATGATCTTTCCTTTGTAGTTTTTCGGAAAGAACTCAACAGAAGCGTGGCAATGATTAGTAACAACAGGTCCTTTGTGCTCGTGAATAATTTTCTCGATCAGATCGTACTCCTTTTTCGTGTTGAAATCCAAAGGCTTGAAAAGGTTCATCAATAACTCGTCTTTGTTTTCATCGTCGACCAGGGCCTCGCATCGAGGAACTCCAAGCTGATCCAAAATTGACAACATCATATGATTGCCAGATTTTGGGAAGCCAAGGACAGTGACTGCGTTTTCGCCTGGATTGAAGGCAGAAAAAGCGTCGAAAGACTCCGGCGATCCATCTTGTTTTAATTTTAGCTCACCTACGTTAACGTTTAATAACTAAAAAATCAGCAACTCAATTGAAAAACCTCGATGCTCATAAACAAATTCTCGATCTATAAAGTCTTTATAAAGAGTTTTCAGCTTCTCCGTGGCTTTTGCCATTTCAATCTCTTCAAGAAAATTGTCTTTTTTGCTGAAAAGTCTAAAATTATATTCGCGGCCATTCGTGCTAATTGTTTAAAAAAGACCCGCCAGCCTAAACGACGCCGGTCCAGACACTATTATGCTTTCAGACCTTAGACTCTGAAGTCCACAAGTCTATACAAACAATAACGATTTGTGCTTTTTTGGATCATTTTCACGGAGAAAATTTAGACAAACGAGTTTCAAGATTCATTCAAGATTTATTTCCTATTCAAGCAAGCGAGTGTTTCTGCAGTGAGAACCTCTTTCCACGACTCTTTCTTTCCTTCTCGGTAGCAGACAGACACAGAGTTTGAAATGCTCGCAAATGCTCGCGAGCGAAAAGAGCGAGAGCAAAAATTTGTCATTGCTCTGAGAGCAGGGGAGCGGGAGCATGAAAATGAGTTGGCTCGAGAGCCAAAAGAGCACGAGCCCAAATTTGAACCCGCTCGCGAGCGCAGAGAGCACGAGCGCATATGTCAGAAATGCTCGGGAGCTAGACGAGCGGGAGCGGCTGCTCTCGTGCTCGCCATGGAATTGACTCACGAGCGGCTCGCGAGCAAAATTAAAAGAATAATTTTTCGCATAATTATTCAGTTTCATAAATAAATTTCTTTGAGGATCTATTTTTGGTGTTTTTGGTTTTATGTAAGCTTCATTAGGTCCGTAATCTCGGCAGCAGAATGCGAAAAGCCGATAGTAAACAGATAAAACATGCCCACCGCGAAGTGCTAACTCCTGTGACAGGGACTCATGTGGAATTAGTCACGGGGCCACCGAATCATTTGAGGCCCTTGAAAGCTGCTCGCGAGTCAGTTTTTCAGCTCGAGAGCCGATCGAGCGAGAGCACAATTCGACCAGTGCTCGAGAGCCAAGAGAGCGAGAGCGCGAAATGAAATGCGCTCGCGAGCGCAAAGAGCGCGAACTCTGAAATAAATGTGCTCGGGAGCACAAAGAGCATCATGCTTAGGCATAACGCACAAAAAATTCAACTTTTTCCCTGTTATAGATACAAGTTTGAAACTTTGGGAGCAACTAAAACACCAAAAATGACTTTTCAAAATTTTTTGGAAAAAATTTTTTGTTACAGTTTAGTACTTTTTTTCACCCCTTTTCTGACTACTTTTCGAGCAATCCAAGCTACGGTATTCTAAGTATGCTCATTCGAAAGAGCGGAAAAAACTGAGTCAGAATTATCAATAAAAAGGGGTTCCTGGTGGGGTTCCCTGGATTCTAGGGATGAAAAACCCCTAAAAATCAGCCAAATTTGGGGTTACATTCGACTTATCGTGTGATGACGTCATTTCCGGTCAAAAAACAACTTTTGATATTTCTTGCTAAAACAATGGGAATACAGTAAATTAGTACCCCAGAGTTCGAATCTGAAGTCAAAAGTTCATAAAAAATTCATTTTCGGGGTCAAATCGGGTCATTTTTGAGTGATGACTCATCATTTTTGTGATTTTCAACCCCTAAAATCTGGGGAACCCCCCTAGGAACCCCTTTTTTTCGATGTATCTGACTCAGTTTTTTGTGCTCTTTCGAATGAGCATACTTACAACCCCGAAGCTTGGATGGCACGAAAAATCAATTTTTTGACAACTTTGGGGTACTAAAAAAGTACTAAATTTTAAATTTTTGAAATTTTTTTTTGTTGAAATGTTGTCAGAGCACAAAAATCTATATGATAGGTGAAAATTAGCTTCCTACGACCTTCAGATAAAAAGTCGATTTTTTGTGCGTTATGCCTAATCATGCTCGTGCTCGCTCGCTCTCAAGTGAGCCGCTCGCGAGTCACGAAAATTTCAAACTCTGGACAGACAGTCCTTCAATATCCTCCTGTGATTTACCAGCTGCTCTATACGCTTTCTTTCGATTTTCAAGCGTTTTCTTTACTGTTGTATTTTCGATGATCTTTTCAATGTCAGGATTCTCCACATTGAGAAATTTCGCCAGTCGTTTGATGTTTTCTGCTTTATTTGAAATAACATCTTCGAATTTGAACCCTGAAAAAGTCTTGAGAAGCAATTCAAAGTACAAAATCTTACATTCGACTTGAATATGCGGGTTTGCAGCGAAGAAATCCTTCCATTCTTGATCGTATTCTTGGTGATTTCCGTAGAGCATTTCGCCATTGAAAACATGTCGCGCAAAAACGTTGATGTCATCTTTTAGTCCATAAGAAGCCATGTATTCGTTCAGCCATGGGAGCTTGTTGAAGAAGTGAAAGGCCGAGACTGCTACGGCTTCTGTATCTCTTGGATCTAGGTGAGAAAAGGCTCTTGGCGAAATAACGAACCTTGTAATATAAACGATTTTTCCTTTGAAATTCTTCGGAAAGATCTCGACAGAAGCATGGCAATGAGGAGTCTGAACGAGCCCCTTGTGCTCCTTGATGATTTTTTCCATGAGATCAAACTCCTTTTTCGAATTGAAATCAAGCGGCTTGGAAGTCAACTTATCTCGATTATTCTCAATCAAGGCCTCGCATCTTGGAATTCCCAGCTGGTCGACCATGGAGAGCATTAGATGATTTCCGCATTTTGGGAAACCGACGACAATGACGGTGTTTTCTGCGGGGTTGAAGGCAGAGAATTCATCGAGGGCCTCAGCTGATGTATCTGTGGTTAAATGAAGCTCGCCTTAATTTCTTTATTCTTTGGAATTTTTATGTTTCAAAACCTCTGTGTTCATAAACAAGTCCTCGGTCAAGAAAGTCTTTGTAAAAAGATTTAAGTTTCTCTGAAGCTTTCGCCATTTTTGTTCTTCAAAAAATGAGAAAACAAAGAGTAGATTGAAATCGCTCGAGCAAATGTTATTTATTGGTTTTGCGCGTTCTTTGAGTAATTTTTGCTTGAAACAAAAGAGTTTCTTTTACCCATTGAAATAAAAGTTAGACTATCAAATTATCGTTTTTGTTTTAAAGCGGATTCTTTGAGTGAACAGAAGAATGAATTTACATTTGAAACTGGGCAGGAAGGTTGAGCTGGAGTCAAGTTAACATTTTGAAACGAAGAAATGTCAAACACTCAGACATCGTTCTCGGCTGGAAGAAATTTGGAATTCAAGGGTCGGCATCGACCACCCTTTTTCAATGTCGGGTCGAGTCGGCCTTTTGGTCTGATTGTCTGTCGTTTATTTTTTTCATGCTAGAAGTGCTGAATCTACAAAATCGTCTTCATTTTTTATTGGTTTATTTTTACGAAAACTCATTTCAAATTCTAGGATAATGTCAATTATCAATAACACAGGAAATTATTTTTATATCAGTCTTTCGGCAGGAATTGATACTCTTATCCCATTAACAATGCGGTAAAAGAAGCCATCTGCAACTGGAGTTTGGTCTATCTTTGAAACTTGGTTATTTTTCAAATCGTTCTTTTTTCTTTTTTGCTTTAGTAAAATGCAGCCTATAAGCATGATAACGACAATGAGAACGCAGCATACTGATACAATGACGATAAGAAAGCCTTAAAAAAGATTCAAGCATCAATCAAATGTGAAAATAAACTCACTATTATCATCATTGCCGAGGTTTGTACTTGAAATGGGTTCCTTCTTGAGAAGGTCGGCTTAAAATATTTTAAGGATATCAAGACACGTGAAGACAAAATAAACCTTGCGTTATGACTTGAAGTGAATTATAATCGGAAAAACTTCCGAAATTGTTATTGTAGGCGTCAATAAAATCATCTGTCAATAGGCTTACTTTTGCGATAACTCTTAATAAATATTATCCTTGAATGAAATTGAAAGCTTCATACTGAAATTTAGCGGTGGTGCCGTCCGCACGATTTTGAGGTGATTCTAGACTTTGAACAGTAATAAATATGTTCTTGAGCCGACCATCGTATTTTAATATGATCTCGACATCCTTTGCGACATTTTTTGTTAGTTTAAGAGAGAGTGATGCGCCCATATCTTCATAAATTGCATCCCACGCAATATTCAGAAGAGTTATTTGATCGTCAACAATATACTCAACAAAGGAGGCTGAAGTTGTCGATAGAGTTGCTGTAGTTGTAGTGCCTTTTGTGGAAGTGGTTGTTGCGGAAGCGGCTATTGTGGTAGGGACTGGTAGTGTCGACAAAATGTGATCGTCACCGTCTCCATTGCATTTATTTTCTCCACACCAGGATTTGCAAACTCTAATAACACCACTTGATCCACGGCTTTGATAACATCCCTCCTCGACGAGATTTTCTGGGAATGCAGAGCAACCTCTTAAGATTTATTTGTATGCATGCGAACAAAAAGCTGTATTTATCACCTGAATACTTCCTTGTACAATCTTAAGCCTGTTCTTATTCTTGACTTGGAAGCATAACAACCAGCTTGTTGGAATGGAAGACAATTAATATTGTCCTGACCGCCTTAGAAAAAAATGAAAAAAATTTCGAAAATAAATTCAAAGCTCACCAGGGTTATTTCTGCATCTGAAAAGTCCGGGGTCACCATTTGGTATTTCAGAGTAGAAACAAGACTCGATTAAAAGATTTTTCGTAAGAAAAAATTGCTTGCTTACCTTGCAGCTTGTAACAATTGGGTCATGTGTTTGTGGCTTGAAAAGCGCATAAACCTCATCGTTATTATTATTGCAAGCAATACTGCCGCCCTTTACAACATCATTGCTGCATGTTGAGAAGCAATCTTTGACTGATTCCTCGCCACCATTGTTCTCAAGACAGTAAGGCTTACCAAGAGCACTTTCTTCTGCGCAATAACGTCTGATAGTATGTATCTGTTCCCCTCCGTATCGCCACTGAGACTGCAATTCGGTGACGCAGACCGTTTCTCCTTTTAAAAAATATTTAATGAATAAAAAAATTTAAACAACGTTCTCCGCATGTTTGAATTGTATCCAAAGTCAAAGTCGTTTCATCGAAGCAGGTTGAATTGCCGAAGGATTTTCCAAAGTCGTCAAATTCGTAAAAGCACACATAGCATTGTGGTAACGGAGGAATCGGATTAACGGTTGACCCAATGGTATCCCATTGATTTTTAAATTGGTTTTCATAAAGTAAGCCATTAGCTTTATTCGTTTGATCCTCCATTACGTTCTCTCTATAATCAATTTCTCTTTCAACTGCATCACAAACTATAAAGATTGCCGAAAAAATTACCATTGCTCTCATTTTTTTCTTATTTCTTGCTTCCGGCACAGTTTGCTTTTAAGATATCGGTTACCTCAAATTCAATCGAAGCTTCGCAAAGTTCACTTTAAATGTTAACGATAGATTCTTCATCGCTGCACTATTCCGAATATTTCACCATGCTCATTATAAGTTTAACATTGACTGCAAACTCTTTTTCGGAAAGTTTCATTTTCATTTATCGACACCTGAAGCGGATTGAGTGAAAAAAGAATGAATCTACATTTGAAACTGGGCAGGAGGGTTGAGCAGTAGTCAAGTCAACATTTTGAAACTAAGAAATGTCAAACACTCTGACATCGTTCTCGGCTGGAAGAATTCTCCATTGGCGGGTGGAAAAGTTGAACTCGATGATTTCGCCGGAGTTCTTGAAGTCAACAGCCCAGATGTGGATGAGTTTCTGGTTCGAAGAGTCGTCGACGATACTGTAGTTGAGCTTGGAGGAAGCAAGAAGGGGGCCGAATGGTCTAAGAATGTTTCAATTCTTGTTTGAAGAGGGAGGACTTACTTGACTTGCGAGTAAAACATCCACCTATTCGCCTTGATATCATAAATCTCCACGGTCGAGCAAAAAAGCGTTTTCTGACGGATCTCGTCCTCCCAAAATTGCGATTTGATTCTTGTCTATCACTGCCATTGTATGATCCACTCTTTCTGAAATCAGTTCGGCCATTTTCGTGAATTTGTTCATTTTTGGATCGTATTTTATGAAAGCATCGAGTTTGACTTCTCCACGGGCTTTGGTGCTCCCACCGGAGATGAAAATCGAACCTGAATGGATAATTAAGGCATTTGTTAAATAAATTGTGTTATACCATTGACAGAAACAGCAGCATGCTGCCACAGAGCTGTTGGCAGTTGCGCAATGTTCTTCCATGTATTCGTGCGCGGGCAATAGCGTTCGCACGCCCTGAGCCCGTGCGAGCCTCGCTTGCCCCCGAAGACGTAGATGAACTCGCCACAGGCGACAGCGGCAAAATTTGAGCGTGATTGATTCATCGGGGCAATCTCGAACCAGGTTCCCGTTCGAGGGTCGAATCGTTTTGAGACTTTTACTGGCTGTGAGCTGAAAAAATATTCATAAAAACCTTGTTTTTGTTTAAAATTTTCTTTATCTTGATGTTCTTCATTGAATCAATCTGATGCTTACCTTTTATTTGACCTATATTCCCCAAGAACATAAACAAACTCGTTAAATTCCAGAACGACATGGGCTGGGTCGATCAGGTGACTGTGCTCCCGGTCCATCGCGGCGGCGCTCCTAAAGAAAGTTAGGTTCAAATCGAAAGTAGCCGCGGTAAATTTCATCATTGGCACATAAACACGACTTAGTCTGAGATCTGCAGTCATTTAAAACAGCTGCGGCAGAGCTTATCACGCCCACATGATCCAGCCCGAGCATGATCGAAAGTAGCCAAAAGTGTCAAACTTACATTGCATCTGTCAAATGCTCTCTTCTCATTCTGACCGGTGTTTGGCAGACAATTCCTTCCACTTGAAGAGAAAGTCTTTCTTCACAGCGGAGGCGAGTCTTTGGCTTCTGGATGAGTGGCTGGACGGAAGGGTTGGAGTTGTAGGAGTCGAATTCTTCGCGAAGATCGAAAAGATAGTCGGCGAAGTCGTCGGAGGGATCGAGGGTTTCCCACTCGGATCGGGAGATCAGCGCTAGAAAAGAAAAGTCAGCGATGAAAAAGGAAAATAAATCGTGAAATCAAGGAAGAAAACAACTTTACCTGGTCTAATGAGCCCTAAAAGATCAACTGCTTCTACCGGTGACATTCCATTGGCCTTAATCCAGACCAGACAAGCCTTGAGCATATCTACTTCTTTGCAGTCATAATTCTTCGTGATCAGTTCTTCCATCAGCTCCATCGGCAGCTGCGGAAACTCCTCGGCAGTAGAAGCAGCGACGGGATCTCTTTTCATCGCGTCAAAAGCGCTCTTTGTCAAATCATCTAGCATCATTTCTTCTCCGAGCAAAAATAAAATTGGGCTGTTTTTTGGCTGTGAGCTGAACCATTGAACTCGACTTACGGTTACGATTATGATTTTTAAATAGAAATTTGGTTACATAACAGGAATGTAACGAAAGTTTTTATGGAACGTGATTGTTAACAAATAAAAAAAATGACAAATGATTGTCAATGGATGATTGAGGGAAGGGGCAATCCGTTCGTCCTTGACCTTTCGACATTTTTTCGTACTGACTATGTCAGCAATGTCAGGAACGTCAGTAAACTAGCCCATGCATGAAAATTTCTTCAAGAGCCGTTCCTGTAAGATGCGCATTTTTGAACAAGCTCATTGATTTTGTCATAAAGAGCTGCAATAAACTCATGGCAGTCGAGATAATGGGCGGCTAGGAAGAGTTCTGGAATCGTTGAAGCATGAATTTTCGGAGGTAGAAGACCCGATGAAAGATAATTGACGAATATGTGGAACGCTTCTTTTGTGATATGATCTGAAGGGTTTTAATCACTTGTGTTTGACCAAGATTACCTTTTAAATAAATACAGTTCTGTGTAGACTCCGCGAATCTTCCGGAAAACATGGCGTTGAAAAATGACGAAGATTTTTTGAGGTGATTCTTGTTTAGCGAGAATTTTTCGTCTTCGACAAAAATTTGAATCTGCTCTTCTTTGTTTCTTGGGCTTTCCATTCTGGAGTTTTTCATTCTCTAAATTATTATTTTCTAATTGCTCCTGTATTTGGCCCTGGGCTAGCCAGCCGCTAATCCCTCAATTTCGAAAAGGATCGCTCTTGAACCCGAAAATGAGGTCGATTTGAAAATTTTTTTCTAGACAAGGAGAAAAGTGGTCAGATAGATAGATGATATCCATCGGAAGTAAAGGTCAGGGTCAATATTTGCGAACTGAGTCGTTCCAAGACACGGGGTCATTGCCTCTCTCTATTCTAGTGATCTGGGGTCGGCAAACTGTGCAGAAAACCTGAGTCGGGAGTTGGAAGTAAAGCGAGTTCTTTCCCCTGACTCAGGTTTTTTGCACGGTTTGCCGACCCAAGATCACGAGGAAAAATACAGGCTGCCGAGCCCACCTTGTAATGGATAGGGTTAGGGTTACGAAAAGCTTTTTCTGACCTTCTTTTCTTTCAACTTTACCAAAGTGAACCCCTTATTCTAATTGTCAAATAGGGAAGTTTTCTTCTATATAAAAGCTTTTACCTTGAAATAGATTTTCGTTGATAAAGTTTGATCTCTTGAATCGTTTTTTATCGTTGGTATTAAATAAAAATATAAAGTTTATTTTACTTGAAAGGCTCTCTTAGGCCGAGCGCCAAAATGCCTCAATCTCGGATCATCTGGGTAGTTGCTGATCCTTATGTAATGGGGTGCGCAGGGCCTCAAACGCGTGATCTGAGTTTCTTGTCTTCTGCACAGCACCGATTAATTGGCCGCCAATTACCTGCTCTGCTCATGCGTTCCGCGCATGATACTTTTTTCAGCTTTGTTTAATATTTTTTATCGATTCTTTTCGGTAGTTTTATTGATCGATTTGGAATGCCCGAATTCTCATCCGGTTTTTAGGCACCGAACATATTGATAACCAGAATTTAAGGCTCAAGGCTTTGGAAGATTCAACTACTTTTCTAGTGTTCAAGAGCTTATTTTTCATACCTGAGAATATTCAATAAAATCTCTCAATCAAAAATGATCTGTCTCTGGATGATCGTTTGTTCATCAAATTTATACATTGATTGACGTCAAAACAAATTGTTATCACGTGTTTCGGCACTTTGCGCGTCTAGAGTCTCGCGGTACTATTCTAGTGAAAAGAGGGATGGGCCAGATAAACAGCAAAGCTATTTTGAAGCAGTCTTGGCATCGAGACGTTTTGTCTCAAAAATGCCGGAATTTCTGTTTTTTCGCTCGAGAGAAGAGAATAGAATAGAGAGTTCACATCTTCAAGTACGAAGATGTTTTTTCAAACAAGGATGTTCTAACTGCTGAAACACTTGCTTGCTTTAAATTAGACGAGAAATTATGATGATCTTTACGATCATCAACATCAATGTGAATTTTTAGTTGTATCAAGATGATCGTTATTTATTGAAATAAATAAAATTTCGGCAGTCAAAAACAGTCTATTCAAAGTCAAGTAGCTCTACGTCAAAAGTAAGCGTAGCATTAGCAGGAATCACTGGTGGATAACCTCGAGGTCCGTAAGCGTAGTCAGGAGTGCAGATGAGATTGGCGCGCTGTCCCTTGGCCATTTGAGCGACTCCCTCATCCCAGCCCTTGATAACTTGGCCGACTCCAAGGGCGAAAACAAACGGCTGAAAATGTTGATGAGGAAAGAGCGAGAAAACAGTCCGCTACCTGGCCCCGATCTCTGCTAGAATCGAAGACAGAGCCGTCCTCCAAAGTCCCTGTGTAATGAACCGCGACTCTCTTTCCTACAGTTGGTTTCGCACTCGCATCTGGCGCTGGAGTTATCGTTTCAATTTGAACTCCCATTCTTGGGACGGAAAAGGCAAATTGCCGTCTTGGAATTCTAGTGGCAAGCTTGAAGATTCTGTTCATTCTGAATGAAACGAAAATGAAATTTTAAAACATGTGAATAGTTTTTTTGGTGGCAGTGATCAAAATAAAATTGCTTCTACATAAGTCCCATGGCCAGTTCTAACAAACGATTGCGCTCTTGCTCGATGGCTTCTTCGTTTTCTCCGTCGCCGAGGTTATCTGCGTAGTCTTTGACGACTTCCCGGATCTGTTTCAATGAGGACTTGCGCATGGAAAGATGAGAGATGATGCGTTCACGAAGTGACTCGATTCCAGAGCCGTAGAGTTCCACGATGATGTAATCAATCTAACAAACGGTTGAGATCATGGAAGAAAAAAGAAAGCCTTTACCTGTTGGAGGGTAAAGAGTCCTTTTTCCAGCCTTAGCGCGTATGCCATATCTTCATCCATTTCTACTCCTTCTTGAGCGAGCATAGCTGCTTGTTGCTCGACTTCTTCCTCGGCGTCTTCCATTTTCTCAGCGTATTTGAAGTGTAATTCTAGCAGTCTAAACAATCAAGATCAATGAGGAGAATGAATGGGAAGGTCTACCGTTCAGATTTTGCATGATCGAGTTCTACAAATTTGTCGACCAATCTTCGCTTCAGGGATCCGGATAGATTTCTCATTAAATTTCCGATGATTGATATGATCGCTTCTTCATGATCCTAGAGAAAGTCTCTCAGCAGGTCTACGTTTCAATAATCTTACATTTTCGGTATGACCAGTTTTCTTATTTCGCTTTGGAGTTTTCATAAATAATGGGAACAGTGTCTTGAGTCCGAGAATTTCGATGTATTTGATGGAGTTGTCGCGGCCTTCGTAGCCGCTGACCACGTGATTGATGACTTTCAAAGCGGAGTTGCGGCTCATTTTCTTTTCTCTGAAGCAATATGAACACCACGGCCCGGGAAATAAGCACTACCTGATCATTAAATTCATCAAATGAAGGCCTTCATCTTCAAGGAACTTTTTCCTGTTCGGAACGTATTGAACAACGAGACAAAGAGAGTTGAACAGGTTCTCCATCAGCTCAATTTCTTCCTGACCTACGCCAAAAGTAAGATTTTTAAGGGCTAAAAGATAAGACAGACCTTTTGGATTTCGTTTCTTGAAATATGCCAGTTGCTTGAGCAGAATATCGACTCCTTTCTTCTCACCGACGATTTTTTGGTTCTCTTCGTTTTGGAGCAAAATTGAGAGCATTTCTGCGGCGTAGACTTTTACCATGTTTATTGTTCGTCTTCGAACTCTGAAAAGAAAGTTTGATAAAAGAGAAGCAATTGTAGTTGAAAACTAACCTTTCAAGAAGCCACAGTAAAAAGCTTCCACTATTCGCTACTTTGCTGATAATATCCTGGTCGTCAGATCCATCAATAATCGATTCAACTAATCCAATACATTTGAACGCAGCTTCAAGTTCCTCATTTTTAGTTTCGTCCATTCTTTTCAGTGTGCCGACGGCGACAGAGAGTACGTCTTGTTCCATGTATTTTTGATAGAGCTCTTTTACGATTTCTTCGTGTTCTTCTTCTTCCTGGTCAATCAGATCGTACAGTGTTTCAATCACTTATTCAAGGCTTTTATACTGGGATATTTTCATATGAAATTAGGTTGAAAATGAAAGCCTTTCCCATGGCGGCGATGTCAGTATTTTCGTGAGAAGCGAGCGTTATCAAATTAACAAGAGTAAGTCCATTATTTATATCTTCGTTCCAAAAGCGGATACAACTCGGGCTGTGTGGCAAGCTGTTTTATCTCGTGTATATGAGCATAAAGATCCATTTCGCTCTGAATTCGATTCAAGATTATTCGTTCAAGAGAAACTTACATTCATGTATTTCTCAGGTTTCTGCGCGTATTTGATTCTCTGGTCTTGGTTCTTTTTCATTCTCTTGTCGAAAAGGAGGAAAAGCTTTCGGACAGCAGCTTCGTCCATGTCTTCCTGCTCGCCATTGTCGATTTCCGCTTTTGCCAGGAGTTCTTGTCGTCGCTCTTCGAGCTCTTCCTCTGTTAATCGTACTCCGTCGCTTACGGATTCTAAAAACAGATAATTGAAATTTTGCTTTGATTGCATTTTGAGCTTACCCATGTATGCAGGAAGAGCAAATTTGCTCTTTTTACTGTCAGGCTCTCCATACGCCTTCTTTTGCCGCTCGATTTCCGTCCGCTCGAAAGGATTTTCGCCGCGTAACTCAGTATCTGGCGCAAAGTCCAGAATTTTACCGATATCCATTTTCTAACAGAAATAAATTCAGGCTTTTATAAAATTGAGTAGTTAGCGATTGCAAGACAGATACTTTGAACAAGAGAGGAAAAAATTAGGAAAAATGTTGAGATTAAAGTTGATTCATCGGATTTTCAGGTGATTTTTGCCATTCTTTCCATAAAAGTTCCTTCAGCTGAGATCTTTTTAAAGTTGGGTTCTCTTCTTTCAAGCCTCTATATCGTTTTTGCTCGAAATCTAAAGACAAGAATGAAGTTTCTGTATAAAAACATGGCAAATAATAGACTCTCATACCGTTAAAAGCAGCTTTCATTCGCTTCTCTGGATGCTTATCGACCTTCTTACCGTCGCCAGTAAGAACATCAATAGCTTCTTCGACATTTCTAGCGTCTCCCTCGATTTCTAAAAGAGTATTTCAACAATCATTATCCAAAAACGATTACCGAGGCGGTTGATGTTGTCCACTAATTCATCGCTTTGAACAACAATCTTTGAAGAAGCTTTTTTGTGTTTATTCGTTTGAGCTTCTAGAGCAGCTCTCTGGGCGGCGATTATTTGTGCCCTGCTCACTTTTGTCGACGCTCCTTGGTTTTTCTTTCCCTTTGGCTTTGAAACTGCCGCTAGAATTCAGATTTAGACACAGTAACAAATTGCACTTCCCTACCAGCCATCTCTTGTTCATAAAGCTGCTGGTTTTCCTTCTTTCTCGCAAGTTCTGCTTCTCTCTTTGCCACTGCATCTTCAGCTCTGTTAATTTTTTTATTCACATGTTTATCATTATCGACCCAAGCAGCGTCTTCTTTAGCCTTGTTTTCTGCGGCTTTTTTCGAAGCCGCTGCGTCGGCTTTTCGAGCTCGAGCATCGACTGCCTTCTGGTTCTCACCCTTGAACCCCATTTATTCTGAAAAAAAAGTTACGGATTATTTCGTGAGTAAGATGAGTTTAACAAATCGTCAGTTAGAGAAGTCTGGAGTGCTTTAGTCGTTCTGTACATGTTTTTCGGTGCACATATAATTTACGAAGAGTAGGGAATGAAAGATTGCAGTATGTGCATTCGAAGCCCTCAGTATTATGAGCAGTCATTTTATGTCGGACTAAAGTACCACGTCTTATAAAGGAGCTAGAACAGATCTCACATTTATAATCTTTTATCTTGAAGTGCTTTTTCAGATGGTAGGACAAGTTATTATACTGAACAGCTCGATAGGGACAGAAATCACAAGAGAAAACAATATTTTTGTGCGTGTTTACATGATTTGCTAGGTCGCCAGTGTTCCCGAAAAAATTATTACATGAAGAATAAGGACACGAGTGATTTGCACGTTTTGTAGGAGTACGTCCATGCCCGTGGAAAGCGTTGTGATGGTGATTAAGATTCTTCTGAGAATAAGCAACAAATGCGCAGTCAGTTTTACCACACGAAATATCTCTATAGTCGTGAACAGAGATCATGTGGTCATTAAGACATCCTTTAGCAGCCTGAATAGTAAGTTTACAACCAGGCTCGGTGCAATGAACGACGACTTCTTTTTTGATTTCCCAGTTAAAAGACTCTCTGTGCTCGTAGAAAAACTCAAGATGATCTTCTGGCAGTCCGAATTTCTTTGCAATTTTCTTGAATTCTTTTGGAATTGTTAGGCCTCGGACGTAAAAAAGACGATTTTCACCATCCGGTCATCGTACGGGAACATGAGAGAGCTCATTCGAAAGGTCTTGATAAGGGCTTTCTATTTGACCGATAAAAAAACTGGGCCCTCCTTTTCTGTTACGAGTTATTTTGAAAAATATTTTTCGAAGCTTACCTTCAAAATCAAATATCTCGAAAAAGGAGGACAGGGCCCAGTTTTTTTATAAGCCCAACAGAAAGCCCTGTTCAAGAGCTTTCGAATGAGCCTACTCTTGTTACCGTACGACGACCGGCTGATGGTGATGATTTTTTACGTCCGAGGCCTAGGAATTGTGACAGTTTTGGATTCCTTCTCTTCGGCTGCTTGCGCTTTTTTCTTTGGTTTAGGTGGCTCAATTTCGATTTTCTTTCTTTCTGGAGCTTTCTGTATCGTAAAACTGAGTTTCACGGACTTGCAATCATCTAAAGATAAATAGGCGGAAGAAAGTAAAGCGCTTATCTCACCTTTTTGTTCATTTTTGATTAAATGTCGGTCACTTCTATCCTTCTTCTCCTGACGATCTTCTTTTATCTTTCTATCTGGGTTCTTTGGAATCTTGAAGCTGGGTTTCGAAGACTCTCCTTCGCCTAAAACCAATTGTTTGCTACTTGTACAGTGGGTTGCGCAGGTAGTGCACCCCTAAAGAGCGGGTAAAGGGTGCACCAGTCACGCAATCACTTTGAGCAAGCGTAGAAAGAAAAGTGCACACGAAGGGTGCACTACCTGCGCAACCCACTGTTAATCCAAACCGATCTGAACAAACCTTTCTTATGCCTTTCTTTGAGATCTTTGTTCAAAACATCTAGCGTTTGTAATCGACCAGTCCTCTTTAGATATTTCTTGACCCATTTTAATCTACACTTGACTCGCCCCATGAGTCTGAATTGCATAAAAATGAACTTCAGAGAATGAAATTCAAAGATCTCTTACAAAGATTTAACAATAATATGGGGGTTTCTGGTCATTTTATTTCTGAAATCTTAAAAGGAAAGAAGGTCAAAATTAACGTCTTCGCCATTTTTTCGTCCGTCTACCACTTAATTTCGCCGCTCCAGCGCCTGCCTTCCACTCCCGCTCTTTTCGTCGATGATCATTGAGTTGCAATCCAAGATGTTTTAAAGTCTTCGCTTCTTCAGGTGAAACAAATGGCACTAAAAACCATCAACAGCGGTTCCTTTCTGTCTTGCCTACCTAATGCGATGGCGATTCCTTGTGAAATTGCCCGGGCTTGTTTTCCACCGCCTCTGATGATCGCTGCGTCGTGCTCTTCATCAAAACCGTGTCGAGGCATCGCACCACGATTGGGAAGATGGTACACGGATTCTACGCCAAAAGACCATCTTTTCATATCGCGACCACGAGGTCTTCGGATTGCCATTTCTCCTCCACCGGTTCCAACAACTAGAAATCGGAGTTATTCTCAATTTCAAGATCAGAAGAAATCATCAAGAAAACTAACCAGAAATAACTGCATCAAAATCATTCAATTTTTGCAAAATTGTGAGCGGTTTTAGCGCAGCCATCATCCAACTGGGCTGTCCATCGAAAAACTCATGCATTGGAACTCCATTAATGTCGAATTGCCCGCTTCCATCGCCGACTAGAGTCACATTAACCTGCCCACTTCCAGCTGGTAAACAGAGCGCCGAAGAAATCCATTTGTTTTCGTATGTTTCTCCGAGAATCGTTATCTTTGGAACTTGAACAGCGTAGAAATCGTCTGTGTAAGTTATTCTTTCCTTCTTCGCAACGGAGAACTTGTCCAGAAGGTCTTGAGCAAGATACGAAGTTGGCAGCATCGAGATTTGACGCAGCTTCGAGTGAAATTTTTGAATAAATGCTTTTGGTAGCGTTTCAAAACCGAGAAAACGGGCTGGAGACTCGAATTCAGCGATGATTTTTGGATTGGCAAGTCGCTTTTCAAGGCTGATTATTGTTTATTTCAAGGAATTTTTATTAAAAGCCAACTGCCTCGTCTATAGGGGTAAGAGCCTTTCCTTTTTATATTCCGCTGGATAAGCATCAATCGTCCCTGTGCTAAAATCTTTCTCGATCCTCGCCGCTTCATCTTTCAAAAAATCGCATATTTCGTTCAATTTTTCGAGGGAGTCAATAAGAGTAATGTCTTCGTTAAAATACAAGTAATGATCTGGTCTTCCCGAGTTGACTCGCATGTTCTGTTTCGCCGCCAAGGTTTCTGGATTTCGATACTGGCCCATGTACTCGTGTGGATGCTCGAGCTTTGGACAAGCTTCGGCGTACATGACGTAGCCGGGCATGAGGTATTTCATTGCGGCTACTTGTTGGTCGTATTTGAAGGTTTTTGGGTCTTCGCCCATTATTGAGGCGAGATGACGGGCGGAGATTCGGTAGCGCTCGAGTTCTTGGATTCGGGCTTCGTCTGAAAAGAAACAGTTATTGATAAGGAGTCCTTATTAAGGACCCGGAAAGAATGGACTTTGCTAGAGTAGTACCAATTTACACACCTGTATTCTCAAATTGCTGGTGTTCATAAAGCCTTGATTGAGGCTGCTGGAGTCGAGGAGTTTGCACATAATTATTTCGCTTATTCTTGCTCATGTCGTATCCATTTTTGTGATTTCTTTTCATCGACAACTGACGAGTTTGCTCCGTCAGAATTCGAACACGCACCGATTTCAAACATCCCAACATTTTGATCTTTAAAAAAAATCTTGATCGCTTAATTATTTTCAGTGGTTGAAGGGTTTGTAGCATGAAACAAGGCAGTCTGCAGCGAAAACGAAGAATTTAAAACCATCCCAAATTATTCGATGGATATTTTTCTTGTGAGTCGTCAAAACTAAAAGAAATATTCTTCAAAAGCTGGTAAATTTACATCTGAAGGGATCCTAGCTTCTGCTGAATCTCCCACTTCTAGCGTAGTTTGCCTGCTCTCTATATCTGGACGAGTGAAGAAAACGAGTAAAGTATCTTGACGTCTGTATTTCGAGCTGGAGTAAAATAGAGGTTAATTCACGAACTGCGTGAATTACCGAATGAAGAGAAATACACGGCGGCGACCGAGCAAAGCTCGATCTAGATAAGCAAGTGACCTTAGGGGACGAGGGAGTCTAACGAATCTAAGATCCCAATACCCCCCATGAGACTGAAACGTCCTCTAAGGCCAAAGTGTGTGATTTTTGCAGGAGTATAAGCGTAAGATGAGTAACATGGCAGGTTCGAAACGTCGAGGCAGTCTGATTCGCGTTAAAAAACCCTTTTTTGGGAAAAAGCTTGAATCAGATGCGAAGTTTTCGTGATGTCCGAGCGGTGATGACATGAAGGAGTAGCTGCACATGTAGAAGAACTCAAAATACGTCGGCGACGGTAAACTGTGATAATTTCCGTACCTTTTCAGGCCCCGGTCGATGAATAGGGGACCTGAGTGGGGCAGTACTTGCGCTTAGTCGTATGACTGACCCGAGTTTGTGCCGATGTTTAGAGGTTCGACGGGCCTCGTTTCACGGTGTGCTCGTTTTGTATGTTTCGGGAGATGAGCTGCTCCAACTTCGGTTAAAGTCGCATTCGGATCGGCGCCGGCTGAGTATTGACGATCTGGTGAAGACTTTGGACGGGTTCTTTTCTTGCTGTTTTCAGTTGCTGAGCCCTCAACTACTGTTGAATTATGTTTATCGACTGACATATGGCTATTGTCGGGCGCAGCAACCTCCGAAATCACTGTAGCATCAGCTGACATGTCCTCGGCAGTTTCATAAAGAGTACCACCAGAGTACCAGCGATCTGACGGCTCGGCTGGAGCTACCGACGAGTCCAAAATAGATGTAGCGGTTGTATCTCCCAGATTTTCCATGTCCAATCGGCGTCTACTTTCCAAAATAGGTGATAGAGATGATCTTGGCGGTTTTTCCATAGCAACCATCGGAGTCGACGCGACCTGAGAAGATTTCCTCCCCCCATGCGACTTCGACCCGGACTTTTCCATCGGTTTGGAAGTAGGAACAGGCGATTTTTGTGGGACTTTCGACTTAACGATTTCGGTTAAATGTGGGAATACGTACTCGGCCTCGTAGTAATCAATCCAGCGTAAGTCGTGATTTCGTTCTGCGGCGTGAACCACGTGTTCTCGATGGATGAAATCACGTTGTCCTTTTTTATCTTCGACCATGACGACCCAGTCGTTGCTCGAAACGGCTTTCAGGGGACCTACCCAGCGTTCCTTCTTGCTTTTAGCGTCGGTCAGGTTTTCTCGCTTAATGTACACGACAGCGCCAGCGGGGATTGGTCTCGGCTTAGGCTCGTTTTTCAGCCTGTGCTCCATGGCTCGGTCAGCAGCTTCCATCGCAGTTTTCACAATGGCTTCCGCCGATTTCGCTAAAGCTCCCACATTGAGACCAAACACCTGAGGTGTTTCCGCTGTCATTTCTGCGCCAGTAGAGTGGGTGAAAGTACTTTTTCGGCCAAACCAAACTTCTCGCGGTGAAATTTTCGTGCTTTTGTTTTTCACACTATTGAGCGCGCGCATCACGTGGGGAACGCAGTCGGCCCAAGTTTTTCGACCGGAAGATGAGTTGACCATGCAGAATAGACTGTTTTTGATAGTCCGATTCGCTCTTTCTGCGAAAGCGTTTGATTGAGGGTGAAATGCGGTACTTATTGTATGTTTTATCTGGTTAAGCTTACACATTTCGTCAATCACGCTTGCGCAGAAGTGGGTACCTCTGTCACTGTGTAGATGTTTCGGCAAGAAATCCATGGGAAGGAAGACCTTGTAGATGAGCGCTTTTGCAGCGCAGATAGCAGTGTCGGACCGCGTCGGAATGCACCAAGTGTAGCGAGAGAAAGTGTCCGCCACCACCAAATAATACTTGAATCCGCCAGCGGGAGGCATACAAGCGAAATCGATCTGAATCGATTCGCCAGCTGTTTTTCCACGACGAAGGGTTCCAAGTGGCGGTTTGGTACGAGTTCCAGCAGATCCTTTTCTGCGTAGGCAAGGGACGCAGCTGTGGACGTAGTTAGAAACATCGTCTTGAAATGAAGGCCACCAAACGTCCTCTAATCGCTCTAAAGTCCGCGGCTCGCCCAGATGACCGGACAAGTCGTGAGCTAGAAAGAGAAAGTGACTTTTTACCGCTTCCGGTACCACCGCCCGCGCGCCAGATTTGAATTGACACATCAAGCACCCGGTAGTGTTATCCAGGAACAGAGCTTTTTCCATCTTGAGTAGAGACGATTGTCGGTGGTCGGAGTCCTTCACCAGCGATTTTATGTCCAGTGGCTCCTTACCAGATTCCAGAAAAGTGATGATTGCACTCAGAGCAGAGTCCTCCCTTTGATAGTCCAGAATGTTATTATAATTCGCTGACACCAACGGAATCTCCATTGGCGCCGCGATAGCCTTGACGTTTACCTTATGTATCTTCACCTCTGATAAAGTGATTTTCTCCGGAAACTGATTTTCGTTCCAGAAAGGGACGAAGACACGTACTGGTGAATTCTTGTCGATTTCGTACTCGCGACCAACGGGAAACTCAGAGTCGTATCCAAGTGATTTGTCGTCCTCGCCAGGTCTGCGGCTCATAAAGTCGGCGAATTGATTTTCTGATCCCTTGATGTAGACAATGTGAAAATCGAATTCTTCCAATCGGCTTTGCCATCGGCTTATTTTAGAATTCTTGAACTTCTTTTTGTGTAGGAAGATCAAAGATCGGTGGTCTGTGTGAATCTGAAAGAATCTACCTTTCAGGAGCTTTTCCAGTCGCTCGCAGCACCAGACAATGCTAAACATTTCCTTTTCTGAAGTGTTCCATTTTCTTTCAGCTTTGTTGAAGGTGTGGGAAATCGCGCTTACTAGGTGCACTCTCCCGCCATACTCTTGTAGCAGGACGCCACCCGCTGCGTACAGGCTCGCGTCTGTGTAGAGATGAAAAGACTCGTCAAAGTTAGGAAAACTTATGACTGGAGTCTCGGAGAGTCGTCGTTGAATTTCCTTGAGCGCCAAATCCGCTTCTTTGGTCCACTTGAAACAATTTGTTTCGTTCGCCGAATTTCGAACATCGTTTATGGGCTTCATTCTGCTCGAGAAGCAACCGGATGAAATAGCTTCGCCCATTTTCGTTTCTAGAAAACCTCGGATCCAATTCAATGACCCGATTAATGAAGCTAACTCCTTTTGGGAGCGTGGGGGTTTCATCTGACGAAGAGCGGAGACTTGCGCAGGGTCCGGTTTGATTCCATCTTCGTTGATGATTCGGCCCAAAAAGTGAGCTTCGGATTGTAGGAAAGAGCACTTTTCGCCCTTGAGTTTAGCGTTAAACTTGCGGAGCGCGATGAATAGGTTTCGGAGAGTGTTGTAATAGCAGCTGAAAGTCTTCCCAAAACACACTATGTCATCGATATAAGAAAGCATCTTTTTCCTGGTGGGGCTTGAGTCGAGAATTGTGTTTACGACGCGCGAGAATATATTCCCCGAGCATCGATAACCGAATGGTAGTCTGCAGAAGGCGTAAGATTTCCCACCCCACTGGAAGGAAGTCTTGTACCTGTCGCTTTTCTTTACAGGGCACTGCCAATATCCACTTCGTAGATCAACTGTGGCGAAAAACTTATTGCCCGGTCCAATGTTCGCAATCGTATCCTCCATGCTTGGGAGATGGTAAGGGTCGGATTTGTCGGAGAGGCATTTGTTCAGGCTGTTTTTGTAGTTGATGCAGAAGCGCATTTCCCCAGATTTCTTAGGAATAGGCAATACCGGGCTGTTAAACCCTTTCTGGTCTTTGATCTCTTCTATTATTTTCGTTTCGAGCAGTTCGGAGATGTGATCGCTGACCTGACCATGAAAAGCTTGCGGAATCGGGTGTTGACTGATGTTTCGACTCGTACCATCAGTCGGGATTTCGATCTCGAACGGGAATTCACCCATTTTTTGACCGTCGCAGCCGAATCTGTCGTCGAATTCCAAACACAGCTCGGCGACCACCTTCTTTTGCCCCGGGTCGGCGTTTGCTGGTAGGGTAATTCCGAGTTTTTGCTTCGCTAGCTGAATGGGGCACCTGGCTGCGTTCTTGTTAGGTGCGTCCAGCTTTGGGACTTTTGGTGGCGGTTGAGTGCGGGATCGATCGCTATCCTTGACCGCTGATCTAGTAGTCAAGTATTTCTTGATTTTGGTCCGCTTCACTCCGTCCAGCTTCACCACTTGAGTCTCAGTTTGTGTGAAGGCTTCGTTGTAGCAAAATGAGAGAGTACGATTCTTATTGTCGACTGTGAAGCTGTCCGTCATCGCATTCTCTAGTATATCGCGGCCCAGTAGACTTGGGTATTTACTGCCTGGCATAATGGTGAGATTCAGGGAGAATGCAGGGCCACCATTGAATGATAAGCGGCAGGGAAGGATACCCATCGGCTGCTCGGCGGGAATATTTGGGCTGAAACCGGTGACCTTGAAGGGACAGGGCTTCAGCATCTGGAGAAATTCGTCGGGAACGTAAGCAGCGGACAGACAGGAGGACTCGGCTCCGCTGTCGACTTCCATCGATACGTCAAAACTTTTAGAGCCCGTAATGATGGTAGCCGAAGCGAAATAAGCCTTTCCTGGTCGCTTCTTCTTCACTGTGTAAAAGTGAACGTCGAATGGTTGGAAATCTTCAACGTTCTTAGTCGTATTTATCTTCTTGGATTCTGGTTGTTTATCGTCTTTCCCATCCTTAGAATCGTTGCTGGCGCGCTTAGCATTCTTCTTCTTTTTGTTCTTATTTCTGTTGAAGTGCTGGGAGACGGTCGCGCTGTCAACTCGATTCTGTCTTGTGGATTGGGCGAGACGGCAGAGTTCGTTGATATCGTAAACTTTTGATAGGCTTGGAAGGATTGCGTTGAAAACGTCTGGTTCTTCTTTCCTAAGATTCAAGTACAGCATCATCGTCGAGAATATGTCAAATATTTCATCGACCCCGGCGTCGGCTGACTTCTCTTGTCGGTAAGAGTTCAAAGTCGCTTGCTTCGCCTCGTTCATCTTTTGCAAGACGTTGGCGGTGTAGTGTGCAAACGGCTTCGAATGGTCGTATTCGACGTCGAAAACTTCGCTTAGCTTCAGTAAGTAGTGACTCTTCGCGGCGAATGATTTCTCTAGCAGCGCCTTGGCCGATTTCCAGTCTTGACAATTCAGAAATTCGGTTCCAAGTGAGCGTTCGATGTTCAAGTCGAAGTGGCTGTACACTGCTGCGATGAAAGGCTGTTCACGTGAAGGTCTGTCGCGGACGTAGGCGCGGTGATAAATGTCGGCTCTGCCCAAGAAGGTGTTGAAAGATGTGTTGCATGCGGCGTCCAGCTTCGGCAAGTCTTGGACGTGACGAGACCAGGTAGTGGCCACCCATGCTTCTTCTCTCATTGTCGCATTCGTAGAGTCTTTTCCTTGATCGAGCTCGCAGGTAAGAAGCGTTGTACTGAGCTGTTCTAATTTTACTCTGCTTTCTGTGATCAAGGGCTCTAGGCTTGGCTTTAGTGATTCGTCATTTCGCACTTGTTCTTCGAGGTAGTTTACTCGATCGTTTATGCTTCTTATTTCGGTGACGGTTTCTAGCAGTGATTTGTTCGCCGCCATAGCTCGAAATATATCGGCAGTAAGGGTTTATGGGCCTTGGATTACCTTTCAGGCCCTCAGAAAATACTGCGACTAAAAGTCGCAATATGATGAGCTGAGGTGCCTTTTGCGCAAACGCCCGACGATTTCTCTGTCCAGCGATTGTCGAAATTTCAAGGTCTGGTCCAAGGGTCGATTCTTCGTAAACTTCTCTCGATTTTTGGTGAAAAGTGGCGAAAGAATTATGTTTTTCTCAGTATTTTAGGTTTTCCCCGGCGTGCGTGCGTGGTTGCGTGGGCGCGACTTTCGGCGCGTGGGTCGTGGTGGCGCTCGTGCGGTGGCGCTCGCTCGGGGTGGTGTTGGTGTGGTGCGGAAAATTCTCTGAGTGGAGTTTCTCCGGCGGCGCGGTGGCGGTTGGTGATTCGGTTCCCCTCGACTCCGCTGACGGCCAATCAGCGTCCAAGTTGCGAAACTTCGGTTGTCGATGGCGGAAAAATTTATCTTTTCTCCAACGGGACTACTCTGATACCACTGAAGGGATCCTAGCTTCTGCTGAATCTCCCACTTCTAGCGTAGTTTGCCTGCTCTCTATATCTGGACGAGTGAAGAAAACGAGTAAAGTATCTTGACGTCTGTATTTCGAGCTGGAGTAAAATAGAGGTTAATTCACGAACTGCGTGAATTACCGAATGAAGAGAAATACACGGCGGCGACCGAGCAAAGCTCGATCTAGATAAGCAAGTGACCTTAGGGGACGAGGGAGTCTAACGAATCTAAGATCCCAATACATCACTTACCTGAAAGGGGCTTCAAACTCTTGCAGGTTAAAAGTGCAACTTGTCCGGTCACGAAACCGACTGCCAGTAGTTTGCCATCTTCCCTAGTGTCCATGCAGCCTGGGCTGACCTTTATCAGATCCCATGCTCGCTTTTTAGCGTCTTCTCCTTCTTTTGAAATCTTTCCGTCAGCTTCTCCAATAAAGATGATTTTTTTCTGATTCTCCAAGCAGACACTCGCTAAAAACAGAGCTAGAAATTCGTAAGAAATGGGCCAAACCTGTTAGTAGTTGACACTTCCGTCCAAATTGAACACCTCTTGAAACCGTCAAGTTTTCATTTAATTCCAGAATCTGCCCAGACTCAAACGAACAGTAGAGAAAACAACCCATCACTTCCATAACGAGTGGAATTCCAAGCTTTTTACGTTCGACATCTTCTAGAGGACTTATTTTTTGCAGCGTCGCAGGATGTTTTCTGAGAGGAAGAAGATCGGGGAGGGAAAGGAAAATGAATCTTTCTGACTCTGCTGCTCCGCATGAAATGGCAACTAAAAGGACTTTATATTTAAGTTCTTACAAACAATAGATTTAAGCTAAAACACCAAATGCCAACCGAAAACCCAAGATTCCTAAGAACTTACCCAACATATTTTTGAAAATGACGGGTTTACAGAAGCCCGGAGAAGTCCCCAATCTAGCCTCTTTCCCAATCTGACCATCCTCCGAAAGCATAAAAATCCGTCCATCTCTGCAACTGACAATGATTTTTCCTTCGTACAACAAGATTCCAAGAGGCCGTGAATCCATCGCTTCTTTATCAATTGGTAGATCAATTTTTCCCAGAGCTCTTCTCGAGTTCTTATCGTACTTCAAAACGGACACGTCTGTTAGAACGAACAAATACTCCTCCGAAACCGCTCCATCAAGACATGGCTGTCCAACAGGAAGGATAAATTCTGGCTCTAGTTTTTTGCCACTCGAAACCATTCTGATCGAGAAATCAGGGTAGACAGAAGTCTTCAAAAATAGGGATATATTTATTCATAAATGGCAGTCATAAAATGAAAAAATTGAAATATTTGAAAGAAAGCTATCTTCGTTTTCGCCCGCCTAAAAAAATAATCAGCTGACTTTTTCATTTGCGAAATTTTACCTTTAGATTTCTTGCCTTTCTTCCCTTTTTTGCCCTTCTTCCCCTTTTTGCCTTTCTTCCCCTTTTTGCCTTTTTTGCCCTTCTTGCCTTTCTTTTGCTTCTTCTGTTTTTTCTTCTTCTTTTTGTCTTTTTTCTTCTTTTTCTTATCTTTTTTCTTTTTCTTCTTTTTGTCCTTTTTCTTTTTCTTCTTTTCCTTTTTCTTCTTTTTCTTGTCTTTTTTGCTCTTTTTGGATTTTCCGCCGCGGGATCTTCCTCCTCCGCCGCCGCCACCCCCAGCACCACCGCCATCGCCTCCTCCTCCGTCTCCCCCCGCCATCGTCTCCACCGCCGCCCCCGCCATCATCGCCACCTTTTCCTCGCCCGAAGATGTCGCCAAAGGTGTCCGCCAGCTCCATCTACAAAACAGGGTGGAACGTTGGGACCGGGCAAGTCGGGCAAACCGGGCAAAAAATCGGGCGGGCGGGCAAATCGGGCGGCGTAGGGCTCGATTTTACGAGGTAAAAATCGGGCAATCGGGCAAAAATCGGCGCCCGGGAAAAAAAGTCGGCGCCCGGATGATAAAATCGCATCTTATGGGACATTAATACTGAAATTGTCTTTAAAAACGTCCGGTTTCGGTTCTCCACGAGTGCCCTTCTTCTTTCGAGGTACAAAATAATCCTTCCTCTTCAATAAATCTACATATTTTTTGGTTTTGGGGTTGCCGAAATTTCCGGGCAAAAGTCGGCGCCCGGGCAAATCGGGCGGGCAAAAAGTCGGGCGGCCATCGGGCGGCGCCGACAAAAGAAATTTTAATCGGGCGGGCAATCGGGCGGCCAAATTCAAATATTTTGCCCCAACGTTCCACCCTGCTACAAAAACATCAGAATCCGCTAAAATGAAAACTTTACCATGTCTCCGATGCCCCCTTCAATATCCGGCTCATCTTCTCCCCAAAAGCCAGTTGTTTCGGTTTCAGTCTCCCAATCTGAGTCATCATCATCGTCGTCATCGTCCTCGTTGTCTCCTGAATTGATGCTTTCATAGTCGATTCTGCCGTTGGTTTCTATTCTTCTGCGTTTCTGCTCGGCTTTTTTGCGGACCCAGTAGCACCAACCGATTAAACCGATGATAGTAGCAGCTATTAGAAGCTAGAAAAACATACAGTCAAAATGAACGAAGCTTTCTTTCGACTTACATAGGAGAAGATGCCAAAAACCTTCCAGAAGTTCTTGAGAGCTCTTCCAATCGGTCCTCTTTTTACAACTTTCATCCCCTTTTCTTCAGCCAACTTCGGCGCTACGGTAATCGGGCTCATGATTTCCTCAATCTCCTCATAGGAAAAATAATGCTCTTCCGGAGGAATGTACATTTCTCCTGCATTTCTTCATACAAACAATAAAGATGAAGGATCAAAGAAAAATTCTAGAGAAAGAATCTATTTTATAAAACGAATATTTTATTGGCTCGATAAATGGGCAGCTTGTGGATATAAAAATAGAAAGAATTTCTCGATCAAAAATGAAAAATCACTCATCGTCGTCAGAATCGAAGGTCAAATCGGGATTGAGTCGTTTTCGCTTTTCCATGCCTCTTTTGTAAACGTAAAATCCGCCGAAGATGATTCCCAGAATGGCCAAAATGATCAATATCTAAAGGTTGTTTTAGGAACCCTCGAATTTATCCAATTTTACATACATATGATACAATGCCGAACCATTCTACGAAGACCCCCAAAGTTCTGGTTATGGGTCCTCTCTTGACTTCTAGTATTTTTTGCATTGGAAGTGGATCTTCAATCGGGGCCATTATTACAGCGATTTCGTCGGCTGTGTAAAAAGGAGGCATTCTGAATATTTTATTTGATGATTTTTCTGTTCAATTTTTTTGATTTTATTTTTGTTCTACTGGTTCATTGTTTGAGAGAAAGATTGCACGAAATTGTTGATCCTAAATTAAGAAAAAAACACCGAAAGAGTTTCAGGAAGATTTTTAAAGAGTCAGTTTTGAGCGTCAAGAAAAGGACGCTGGTTAAATTAGAACAGGAAGAGAAATTTTCAGGGAGAAAGGGTTTAGTTTTGGCCAGCGAAAGCTTGGACCTTCATGATGATTTCGAAAATAGCGGAGCCGCAGACGACGAAGATGAAGAGCGCGAGGAGGAGTGGGCCGACAGGAGCTTTTCCTTCGTTCGTTTCTTTCTGAAAATTGATGTGAAAGTTTTGAAGAATGGTTTTGTCGATGAATAGGACGAAATCGTCCTATAAGGAGGATAATAACCCCGTTTCTCATTGTTCTCATTTGAGATGGAAAATATTAACTTACAAGAGTAGTGGGAACATTGCCTCGCTTGAGGACTTTCTTCTCATTGATTTGATTTGCAGCGCGCATACGAGCTCCACCAGCCATTTTGATGAATTTATCTGAAATAAAAAGTGTTAAAAAGGGAAGTTCTGTGTCTTTCCGACTGAGCATGTTCGTCGGCAAAAAAAAAGGGATGAAAAAAGGTTAAAATGGCTTAAAAACATCTGTTTACAGTAAACGTGTTGGTGTCGCGATATTTCTTCGCGCAGAACTTCATGTTTTGAAGGAAAAAACAGTAGATTTTCGGAGGTTACAAAGATAATTCAGTTTCATTTTATTTAAATTATTGAGGAACGAAGGAAGTGGAGGAACTCGTGGAATCTTCACTGAAGCTGGCTGAGGTGGTTGTTGAGGTTATTGTCTTTTTTGAAGGTAAACTAGAAGTCGTTTTGAATTGCTATTTGAAAATCGAAACCTCACATTATTTCTTTTGAATCTTCGCCGAGGGCGCCTTTCGCAAGAAGTCGCTTGGCAAGAATTGGTCGTTCACAGCTGGGGATTTCCGCTGAACAAAAGAACTAAGAATGAGCGAATGGGGAGAGGGAGGAACCTGGGATCATGATAGACGCCTTCAACGGAATATTCTTTTTTGAGCTCATTTTTCGATCGCCTAAGATTAGGACTTCCTCATCTGAAATTTTCGAAAATTGAGACAGGAAAATATTGATTTCACATTTGTTTTATTGATAGTAAAAGAAAGAAAAAGCAAGAATAATGGTGATAAAATTCAATTGAACAGTTAAAGTCAATTGAACAGTTAAGTCTCTTAACTTTATTAACAGTAATAAAGTGGTAATTCAGCATTAATTTGTTTTGAAGATTTTTTCATTTTAAAGTTGGGAAGATTATATTTCAAGATAAAGCTTAATTGACGGTAACTTGGTTTGAAAAAGCCATTTTGGTAACAATGGTATAATTGGAATCGTTATTCATTTTTTCAATTATTTTTATTAATAATAGCTTTTGATGGAACTTACCCTGTAAGAGGTCATGTAGTTTCATTTTGTTGATTTTTTATCAAATATTTCAGAAAATAATAAATGTCCTATACAAGGACGAACCTGTTGCAGTTAGCTCTCAAGAATTTCATTTTATAATTTTCATATTTTAATAATTTTCTGGTTGCATCTTACTTTGATGAAGTTTCATTTCATTCTGAAAAGGGTGCCGTTTTAAAACATCGTTTAACTTCAATTCGATGATAACTGTAACTGTAACTGAACATAAAATAAACACAGCCAAAAGATAAAGTAACAGTATCAAGCGAAGAGTTTGGCAGCGAGTTGTGTCTTTCTCTCTTTCTTTTCGACAACCTTTCGCATTTTCTTTTGAAAACGATCTTCGATCTTTTTTTCTGGTCGCAAATTTGGCTTTTTCACGCTTTGTTTTTCACAAACAAAAGGGGGCTTTTTCTACAAACAGAGGAAGTCTAAGATTGACACGTAGGGAAGGATAAACATAAAAAAAGATCAGCTGTCCGTCACTCTTTTGGACAACAAAGGGATAGATCGAAAAAAAAGAAACTCAAAGAGCTTGAATGAATAGCCGCGGAGCGGCTTTTTCAAAACGAAGCCGCACAATAAACTTATTTATCAATTGCCGGGCTTTGGCAAAGCCACTTCGTGGCTACTTTTAAAAGCCGCTGCGCGGCTTTTCATTTTGGCAGAGACTCAGACCCTGACTCAGATTTTTTACACAAATTGCCGAGCCAAGTCGTGGCCATTCCGCTATTTGTGCAGAAAACCAGCAATAAACAACTAAAGTAAAAATTGCGACCATTCCTTTAGCTCCATATCGACTCCTTTCCTCTTCTTTCTCTCCACAATCGCATTCTGTTTCTTCGACGCGTCCAAATTTCGCACAAAAGCATCTGTTTCCCTAAAATTTTCTCAATCCATTTTTCGATTTTCTGTCCTGACAAACCTCTTGACCTGGCTCAATTCTGCGTCCATTCGTTTCTTTCTAACTTGTTCTTCGTAGTGCAGTTGTTCCGTCAAATGATGCCAGCGCGTTTTGCTCAAATATTTCATGGTCCAAAGCTGGCCCTGGAATTTTGATTTCTTCTTCGTTTCGATCGTTTGTCCATTGAGAAGATCTACCGCCTTTTTTGCGTGTTTCTTTTTCTTGAACTCGACCCAGCCTTCTTTGAAATCGTCTTCTTTGTATCTGAAAATCGGATGAAGAGGATCTCGGGGATGAAATTAATCTGATTAGGGAAGGAGGAAGTACCTGTGAGTGCTCTTTTTCTTTGATAATTCGCCGCGCAGTAGATTCTGTCGATTTCGCCGAACTGCGACAAAATCTGACGTAGATGCACGGGGCCCATCCCTTTTGGAAGTCTGAAAACAAAATGTCAAAGAATTATTCAAAAGCAACGTGAAAATTTCACGTTGAAACAAGAAAATTATGAAATTAATTGATTCAAAAGAGAAAAACTCGATATTTTTATTTAAAAACTTACGTCGAAATATAAATTACTCCTGGGATGACTTTTGGCTCTTCTTTTTCTTCCACTTCTTTTTCAATTTCTGCCATTTTTCTCAATTTCTCCTTCAAAAGTCTAAATTTTAAAATCCTAATCTTCGATCCCAAGAGAATTCAAAAATGACGCGGCGCGCTGATTGGGTGCTTCGCGCTTGTCCGCATTTCGGTGCTTCAGGGACCATAAGATGCTTTTGCTTGTCCGACTTTATAAATTTTAGAGAAAATGCTTAGATGATCTTGACTACACACAATTATTAAGTGCTCCTTGTGAAACAATAGTAAGGTTGATACTATATTTCAGAAAAAAATTGAGAAAACGGGATGAAATGGGGACCAACAATGCTCAAAACGAGGAAATTCATCTTTCTCGGACTCTTTCAGGAATGAATTTGAATAACGACGAAATTAAGCAGGCGAAGTTCAAAACTATTGTTAATAATTTCGACTGATAATTAACGGTGATTTTATCTCCGACTATGATGAAGTTTGAACTCAATCGATTTCTCAAAACAATAATCAGCTAATTAATCCGTCCATTTTTAGAAGACAGAAACTAAAGAGACGATAAAGTTTTTCAGACAATATTAAATGACTACTTGATCCTATTTAGTTCATGAAAAAGATGGTCTTGGCCGAAGAAGTAAAATTGCTGATGAAAGGAGCGCAAACCCATCATGATGATGAATATTTAACGACTCGTATCCCCGTCGATATTGCATTCGACATCGATCTCGACGAAGAAATCTTCGTTAACAAGATCAGCGTCCAAACAGATGGCAAAGTGCATCACATCATCGTCAAGGGCTGTGCCGATGTGATTGACCAAATTCAACCGGCGACGAGTACTTTTAGCGTCTTTTGCGAAGATCCGAAAATTCTCTTTTCCTGGGCGCTTGATGCAGGCCCTCTTCTTCTACCAGCAGATTCTTCCATCCGCTTAGGAGGTCAATCAAACGTCCATTCCATCAACATAGAAGCTCACTACAAAGACAAGTTCGAAGGAATCGACGAATTCACCGGTCTCGTCGTTGAAACATCGAAAGAACCGCCAAAGAAGCTCATTGGAATCTATCTTCTGGGAAGTTCTTACTTTTCCTTGCCAGTTGGAAAACAAACGAATGTCGATATTGAGTGCGAATATGACTTTGAAGAAACTATAGAGGTTTTTGCTTTCAGAACGCATGCTCATAGCAATGGGCAAGTCATAACTGGATACAGGAAGGGTGACAGTTGTTTTTACTATCGTGTTTTTAATTTCATTCTATCACCATCACTGAAGATATCGCGAGCCAGAAGGTTGGCACATGATCGGAAAGGGCAATCCTCAGTGGCCTCATGCTTTCTACTCCCGCGTTGGCGGCTCTATTGAGCTTCAAAAGGGCGATCTTGTCCATGCAACCTGTACGTTTTTCAACAAGAACGATTTCGAAGTCTTCATTGGAAAAGACCGCGACAATGAAATGTGCAATTTGTACTTGATGTACGCGGTTCCGTATCATCCCGGAGCGCTCAACACGCCCTCTTGTTGGACGATGAATCTGCCTACTCCCGACGATATTCCTGATGATTTGACGATGATGACGCCTTATCCAGGGTATGCAGGGGAGGACTCGATAAAGGCAATCGCGGCGGGGGTTAAACAACCAGCTGTGCCGATGGAAATGAAAATGCATCATCATGGAGGAGGTAAATCTTCCTAATTTTTTGCTTCTTTTCAACTGATTTTCTTAAGGAGATGATGAAGAAGACGATCATGGCGATCATCATGAGGCTGACGAGGATCATCACTCTGAAGACCCCGACGATGCAGATGAAAAAAAAAAGATCTCGAATCCATCAAAGCTCCCATCGATCATCTTCAGCATCTCCCTCACTCTGCTTCCCTTCTTTCAATCGACTACAACCCCGATTGGAAAGTCAACTTTTCCGATCTCGGAGAAGTGGCTGGCATCGACACGGACGAGCACGGATATCTTTGGGTATTCCATCGAGGTGATCATACATGGGATGCAAATGCTTACATCGGCTACTCGAATAGAATCGCGTACAGAAAGCCGACAAGTATCGCTTGTATTCTGAAAGTTGATTCAAAAAGCGGAAATGTCGTCCAACAGTTCGGAGAGGATACGTTTTACATGCCGCATGGAATTACAGTCACAAAGGATCATGTTTGGCTAACAGACGTCGGAACGCACATGATTTACAAATTTTCGAAAGACGGTGTGTTGCTGAAAACGCTTGGAAAAGACAAAGAACCGGGGCACGAAGATTACAAGTTCTGCAAACCAGCCGATGTAGCAGTCGATCAGAGCACTGGAGAATTCTACATCGCGGATGGTTACTGTAACTCAAGGTAATAATTTCTTGAGAAAATATGCTTCATCTTCTCTTTTAGAATCGCTCACTACTCCTCCGACTTCCAGTTCATCGCAGAATACGGCAAGGAAAGCCCCCGGCGCGGACCAAAGGGGGCCGGTTTCTTCCACATTGTCCACGATATCTCTATCGGTCCCGGCTCAGATCTGTTCATTTCTGACCGGGAAAATGGGCGAGTCCAGGTTTTCGATCGCAATACGAAGCAGTTTGTCAAGATGTTTCAAAACGATCGAATCGGGGATGCAATTTACGCGTCTGTCTGGAGTCCTCACCTCGCTAGCTTGTTCCTCATCAATAACTGGCCTCAGTACACTGGCAAAGATCAAAAAGGATTCTCGCTATTCGCCAATGGAACGTTGGAAAAGGCATATGTGCCGGAAAAGCCGCTAGAAACAGCGCACGATATCACGCTTTCCAAAGACGGCAGCTGCTTGTTCATCGCCGAACTGCGACCTCATAAAGTGCACATGTTTCATCTCAATACGAAAAAGCAGGAACAGCACATGTTTGCAAGAATAGCGAGTGAAAAAGTGATGGCGGTTGTCAAAGACAAGCCGGAAGCCTTTTCAGGTAAAGTTCTTCCCATAAGTGTATCAGTCAGTTCTTTTATCATCGGATTTATCTTCTTTTTTTTTATTTTATCACAATTGTACAATAGTCACAATTGTTTCAATAGGCATATTTATTATCTGCTCAATATTCGTAATGATGTGCACCTTTCTCGTCGTCCGGAAGCGGAAAAAAGTCGACAAGAGAGTCTTCGTCTACCGACCTCTTCTTCAAAACGATGGCGAAAGCGACGAAGAAGAAGAATTTTCGATATTCGAACGAAAGAACGTCGCCTAATGGTTTGTCTTTCTTTCAATTTTCGCACAAAATGTCCTTGTTTAGTTCCTACATGCTACAATTACACATCTTCATTCTTCTGTACGAAAAATATCGCGCTTTTTACTTTCGCTCTTGTTCAAAACAAACCAATCTTTCCGTCTTTGTGCAATCAAATGGTTTACTTTCTTCAATCTTCCAATTTCAACCACCAAAAGCTACTGTGCTGGTTTTACACAATATTTAAATAATAAATAAAAAAGGAAACACAACAATTTTCCTCACCCACGTCGCCCAGCAGGGCTTGTTTTGATTTTGAATCTCGCGCAACTCGCTCCAAGGCAAAGTACATCACGCCCAGGAGCAAATATTCAAAAGAAAGATCCTCAGAATGTTGAGGCTTGAATACAATTTGCAGGCAGAGATCGTACACGAACTTTAGTAGCGTATTTCAAAAGGTAAATCTTCATACTTCGGCTCTACTATTATTGCTGCGGTTAAATTGAAATGTTAACGGCCATAATTGAGTTGGAATAGATGGCGACTTCAAGAGGAGTCGCCCCAGAGAAATTTTATAAGTGTAAACAATCAGAAAAAGCTTTGTTTTTTAGCGATTCGACTTCTATGTATATTCTTCTCCTCAAGTGGATTGGCATCTTTTACTTCTCGATATGCTTAATCGCGTTTTTATTCAATCTATGGCTGAGAAATAGCGTCACTTTTACAAAACAAGAAGCGGCAAATCTCCGAGAGAAGAAATTCCTCATCATTGGGGCGGGTTTCTCCGGTCTAGCAGTCGGATACTTCTTCAAGAAGTTCAAGCTGGACTTTCTTATCGTCGACAGAGCTGAAGAAATCGGCGGAACATGGTTTTTAAATCGCTATCCTGGCGCCGCGGTGGATGTTCCTTCGTTTCTCTATCAATATTCTTTCTTTACGAAAAAGGACTGGCCGGAAAGCTACAATTGCAGCTCAGAGCTGTTTCGATATTTGAAGAGTTTTGTGAGATGGGCTTGTTTGGAAGAAAACATTAGATTGAACATTTCCGTGGAAAATTGTCGCTGGAATGGGGAACGAAAATTGTGGGAAGTGGAATTCTCAAAAGAGGGGAAATCAAGTGTGGAGTATTTTGACTGGACGATTGTTTGTACTGGGAGCTTCAACGAGCCAAACAAGCCGAAGTTCAAAGATCAAGGCGATTTCGCTGGAAGAATTGTGCATACTGGCGAGTGGCCAAAAGATCTCAATGTAACTGGGAAACGAGTGGCTGTTATTGGCTCTGGCTCTTCTGCTTCACAAACTGTAAATTTCCCTGTTAGGCAATCATTTAATCAAATTTTTTAGGTTCCGGGTCTGCTAGACGCAGGGGCGCTAGAAGTGACGCAATTTCAAAGAACTGCTGGCTTCGTTCTCCCTCGATGGCTGCAATTCACAATTCCGTCTTCCCTTCATTTTCTTATGAAGATTTACCCCTTTGACTTTCTTCTACGCGGCTTTTTCTGGAGCTTTCAAGAAGTTCTCTTCCTCGCATTTGATTTTCACGGGAGTTTTTGGAATAGAGGAGTGGCGAATTTGGCGCATTGGCACAGAACTTCGACGATAAAAGACCCTGTCTTGAGGGAGAAGCTCAAGCCGGCGGAGGGCATGAGATTTGGATGCAAAAGAGCTATTCTCTCAACAGGTTTTTCAAACATTCCAGCGCTTTTTTACGACTTTTCTAGCGATTTACGAAGCGGCAAATGATCCTCGTTACTCCCTTTTCTCGTCGAAAATCGCCAAGTTCACTTCTTCTGGAATCGTTACTGAAGAAAATGAAGAAATTTCTGCTGATATCATCGTTTTGGCGACTGGTTTCAAAGTCCACTACTACCCCTTCCTAAAGTGGCTGGACTCGAAATCGCCTAGGAGCTTTTATGGAACATTTGATACAGAAAAACCGAACTTGGTGTACTTGCTTGGCCCGATGACACTTCTTGGTAACTCGTCGGTCATCATCATGATAGGTACAGAATCATTTGGAAAGGAGGTCTTCAAGCTTTTTCTAGAGGCGCAGATAGAACTACTTCTACGAGTATTGAAAAAGCAGCCGCAAGGAAAGCTCAAATTTGTTTGCCGAAAGAAACAAGTGTTCAAACTTGGCTCCAATCGTGGGAATCGAGAATCGACGAGTCCGTCTGGACAAAGAAATACTGTAACAGTTGGTATCAAACAGGCAAGGAGGGTCGACCGGAATCTGTCTGGCCTGGGACGACGATGGAATACATTTTTGCCGGGAAGACTGTTTCTGTTGACAATTTTCTGTATGAATGAAGAAAGACAAGATGATTTTTATTTTATGCCTTTATGCTAATAAATAATTCTATTCCGCAGATTCAGGATTTTCGCATTTTGCGAGGTTCTTGAGAATTTCTTGGCAGGCTTCAGCTCCTTCGCCCTGGAAAGAATTGATTTGAAACGGAAAATTTAAACGATTTTTTGATGATATTTTGACATTTTTGCTCATTTTTATCTTACATTTTGAGTCTGGCACTCGGCGAGCTGATCAATAAGAGTCTGGCATGGGTTGTCTTCGGTCATCTTCAAAATTTACTGTTTTTTGTGTTTCTCTTACGGAATGAAAGGCTGGGTCGTTCAAACGATCGATTTACGTTTGTACTGAGCAAATTCAACAGTGATATTTGCTTTTATCCGTTTGCCGGGCCACTTGAGCGCCTAAGGGTGGACGGGCACGTTTTCAACTTGCATCAGCAGGAATTTTCAAAAAGAAACTTCCCGAACCCCGGGCTAACCCTGGGGGGTCAGGAGAGTTCGTAGATGCTACTCCGGAGTCCTGAGCTTCATGATTTTCGAAATACGGGTTTTGATTTGAAGAGCCCTCTTGTCAAATCACAATTAAAGAAATTAATTAATTTTAAGTCACTGAATATAAATTATGTAATCATCATCAACCATTTAAGTAGTTACATAATCAAAGACCTACAGACACAACCATAACATGCGTTAGCGTAATTCAAGCAACAACAAAACTTGTTGATTCGTCGTGGTTGTTTTCAGTCGCCAAGTTTTTCGTTCAAAAACTAAGTTTATATTCAATTCTTCGGAGAAACTCGCCTTTCCATGCCTTGGCTTTCATAAAGGCGAGCAGAGTTCAGCTATTAAAATCATTTGACCTTGGCTCAACACATGCTCGTGCTAATATTGATGTTTTCTAGTGACCCAAGCACTTTCGATGTTTCATAATTTAGCTAGTTAGGAATCGAAATCCGTCTTGGCATCATTTGTTTTTCAACGCTTTATTTCCAAGTTTATTAAAAAATTCAGTTTGAGTTGATTGATGAGGTGATCCAAGTTCGGACGAAAAACACATCTCCATAAACACCAGGTCTTCCTGCGAAAGCACATTCTGCTCCCCAGCTCGTAACTCCGGTAAGAACCACTTTCCCGTTGACAGAACAGATCAACGGTCCACCTGAATCGCCTTGACACGTGTCCTTACCTAGAAAAAGAAGCATAGAAAACAAAGAAAAATAAAGAAAAAGAAACCTGGGTCGGTTTCGCCATCGCCATCCAAATCGGGCAATCCTGCGCAAAAATTATCGCTAGCAATTTGCGATGCAAAATAATGCGATTTATCCAAGCAGTAGTCGAGGGGAAGAGGGTTGAGGCCAACTGAGAGTAAGTTTGATGACAGATTGTTGAGCTCTGTGACTCCCCATCCAGCCGCCCAGCAGGCCTTTTCAAAGGGTGAGCGATTTCGCAACATTTTCTAGAGGCCGTTTTGGTCCCCCTTTCCTGACCACTCGGAACAGGAGCGCTTGGCAAACAAGCAATTGCGACACAATTTCCAGAACAATTCTCCTCTCCCGCTTGACTAATCGAGTTGTCGAACTTTACCAAGCAGAAATCATTGTTCCTCGCCGAAGCCGTCCGCCCTTGATGGATTATGAAATTTTCAGACGAAAGTGTGAATTCTCCGGAATCAGCTCCATTCATGTTGTGCTGACCAAAGCGGCCAAAAACACGTGCATTTTCTTCACAGCAATGAGCAGCGGTCAAAACCCAGTTGGAATGGATGATGGTTCCGCCGCAGATGGAAGCGCCGCCTTGGCTCATTTGTGCTTCCGTCTTCAAATTCATGAAAAGATGAATGATGGATTTCTTACCTGAAAAAACATATTGACAATCCAAGGCCATGAAAATGGATCAACTTCTTGGCCGTTAAAAATTCTCCCTCCTCCGAATCCATTTTCCAAATTCGAGCATGTTTCCAATCCATTTGGAATCAAGTCGCTGAGATTTTCAAAAACGAATGGTTGAGTTGTTGTAGCTGTGGTTGCAAGCAGCTCTGTTGTTGGATCTTCCGTCGTTGTCGTTGTTGTCGTGGATGTCGTGGTGGTCGTTGTAGTCGTTGTTGTTGTTGTGTGTGCTCCAAAGCAATTTCCACCTGCAAAATCAGCTGGTCCCCAGTTTGAGATTTGTGAGCAGCAAACGACGTTATTCATCTCATCATAGAAACCGAACTGAGTGCATGTCTCCGTTGTCGTCATTGGAACGCTCGAACCGGTAGTTGTCGTTGTTGTTGCTTCGTCCGGCAAACATTTGATCTTTGAAACGTTGACCTTTTCAAGATCAAGTTTGTACCAAAAGCATTGGAAAGAATCGGCTCTGCGACAGCGACATTTGAGCGTTTTTTCGTCGTAAATTTCGTTTTCGATCGAGAGAAGCTCAGTTTGCGGGCATGAAACGGTGCATTTCTTGGCACCAGCGGAGTTGACTGAGCAAGAGGAAAGAAACGAGGAGGTAGAAAGAGAAGTGAGGTCGGAGCAGGTAGCGCAAGGGTTGAAAGAAGAGGTCCAGAAGTTGCCCTTCTCGGGGTTGAGGCGGCATTTGACTCGTTGTTTCCCGGTCGGATAGAAGCCTGCTTTGCACTTTACCCTGCATTTCTTCCCGGAGCAAATAAATTTCTCTGCATTCGCTGGCAAAACTGGCGCCGGGCAATTTTGCCAATTATCTAGCCCTCTCACTGTCCTCGAAAGAATCGACATTTTCCTCTGGAAAAAGATGGCAGAAGACAAGGACTACGTTTTTATAGAAAGAATATGGTAATTTTGACACTTGTGAGTAGCGCTAACAAGGAACGGAAGACAGTGCCGCGGTTAGAATCTCAGAACTGTCCAAAAAGCTCCAATCAATTTTCCACGACCAAGCGTTAGAAACGAATTTTATTCAACAGAAACAGCAAATTAGACACTTTCCAGACAGCTTTTCTTACTATTCCCTTTTTTATTGCAATTTTCATTGATGATAAAAATTTTTAATTTTGAAAAAAAAAAAAGTCTTTCTTGAAAGATTTATTTATCATTGCAAAAACAGTCAGTTGAAATTTTGACGCCAGCGAGTTGAACTCGTGTCACCACTTTTACACTTGCTTTCACATCCAAGCTAGAAAACGAATATCAAGATAGAAGGTCTCAGAGTCGTGATAAGGGCTTACTCTTGATTGGACTCGACGACCTGGTTCTCCAAGTGTTGGATTTTCTCTGGAAGTCTTCTTTCAACAGGTTTCATTTGCACTAAAAATTTTTGATTTTCCGAATTCGAAAAAACAAACCTGGCGATGGAGCTGAAACTGTCTCTTCCGTGGACCGAGTGGACATTTTTGAAGCCAAGCTTTGAAACTCGTATTTGCCGGAAACGCTCATTCTTCAAAAAAAAAAGGATAATTCTTGTGAGTGGGAGAAAGATAGTCATTTGGTAGAAAGAACGACTTCTAAAATCTTGACAGTTATTTTTGAACGACTTTTCTTTCGTATTTTGCCTGATCCTCGTGAATGCACTCCTTTTTTCTCGGTTTATGACTGTCAACCTGACTGTATCAAAAGATCGAAGAGGCGGAAAAGTCTTAACCAAAACCTGGATGGAGCAGTTGCAAGTGTCGTTGACCATCAGCTGATCTAGCGCCGTGAAAGTTTGAACCCTCAGTTTTGTCTGAAAAAAATCTTGTTTTTCTAGCTCTAGAATCGGTTCTTCTACCTGGATATTGTAGGTCATTACGCTTTCAATCGGCTTGCAATTGATCGGAATCACGCAGGGAATATTGTTCAGCAGAAATTTATTTTCCTAAAAAAAATACCCTGAAAATGATAAACTTTCTCTAGTCACCTTAGCATTGACTTCCATCTTCAAAACTCGATATTGAGCGGAGGAAGAAATGGATTTTATAATGCCGGTATAATTTGCAAATTTCATCTCAATCGTCGAAAGATAATTGCGGCGAAATTGTCTTCTGATCGATTGTGGCCTTAGAAACCGTCTATTTTTTCATCGGAAATTCAGCATTTTCAAAGTTTTGACTGATTTTGAGTCAAAAAATAATGAAAAATTTGCCGATAATTTGAGTCTTCTTCAGTTTGAAAATGAATCGCAGCATAAAAATGCTAAATAATTTTCTAGACGAAAAAATCGTACTTGAAAATGATGCTGATCTTTGCCATTTTTCATTATTTGCTCGTGATCCATTGGATCATTGCGTAATTAAATTTTACTTCCACGGCAATTAAAAACCAAAACTCCAAGAACAACGTTCGTTTTTATCGAAAAAAAGATGTGCGACGCAAAGAAAGAGAGCGTAAAAGAGTTCTACGGAAAGTTAAAAACTGAAGATTTTTCGGATAGTTTGAATGAGACTTTGCAAGCTTGCAACCGGCCAAAGTGCGGCCTCCCGAAGCGAGTAAGAGAGGCGCTGAAAAATGTCCACGAAGAAGTTCAGAAGAGATACTTTGGCTGTGGGCTTTGCATTCCGCCGGTGCTTGAGGGTTGTACCGTTGTCGATCTTGGTTGTGGAGCAGGTATGCCAAAAACCACGATTCTGATTTCTTAAAGAGTTATTTTGACTCGAATTCCGATTGTTGCTAAAATATATGCTGAAAATCGAGAAGCCGCTTGCGGCTTCGAGCACAGAAAAGAAAAAGCCGCGCTTCGCGCGGCTACAGTCTTTTTGACTCGAAGCCGCAAGCTGCTTCTCGATTTTCAGCAGATATTCTAGCAACAATTGGAATTCGAGTCAAAATTCAACGGTCAGAAATCAGAATCGCGGTTTTTTTGTCTCGAAAAATTCTTCAAATAATTTTTTAGGCAGAGATGCATTTGCAATTTCTCAACTTGTCGGCGAGTCAGGGAAAGTCATTGGAGTTGACATGACTGAAGAGCTCCTTCAATTCGGCGAAAGGCATAAAGAATGGCATCGCGAAAAAGCGCAACATAAGGTTTTTTTTGTCAGTAGAGATCAAAAACTTACATTAATCCAGGCTTCCAATGTGGAGTTCAAGCAGGGTTACATCGAGAAACTCGGCGAATTGGGCTTCGAGGACAATTCTGTCGATGTGATGATCTCCAATTGCGTCATCTGCTTGACTGCTGTCAAGGAAGATGTTTTCAAAGAGGTCGCCAGGGTTCTCAAGCCCGGAGGGGAGATTTATTTCAGGTTCAAGGAATTCTAGCGCTCAAATTCTTGAAATTTCCGATTTTTAGCGATTGTTACGGAAACAAGCCAGTCTCAAAAGAAGCTCAAGACTCGGACAAGCTGTGGGGAGAAGGAGCAGGTGCGATGGTTTGGAGCGAGCTTGGCGAAATCTGCGAAAAGTTCGGCTTGTCGATTCCTTACATGCAAAGCGCTTCGCCGTATAAATTTGGGGATAATGTGAAAGATCTTTTGGGCGATGTGATATTTGCTGCTGTGACTTGGAGAATCATCAAAAAGCCGGAAAATGAAGAAAAGGGTTTGTGGCTCGCTACTTACAATGGAGAAATCGAAGAAATCTGCAGTTTCCAGCTCGCCCAAAACCTCAAGTTTCCGAAAAACACGCCGGTCCTCGTCCACTCCTCGACCGTTTCCGAACTCAAATCATCCCGCTACTCCAAATTCTTCACCTTCCAAAAAGTCGAAAACGAATCTGCCTCGCGTCAACTGAATCCATTTGATTTTATTTGATTATTTTGTATTTCTAGCTACTGTTTTTCGCAGTTCTGAATAAATCTGATTTTTTACATAAAGGGAAGTGCTTGCTGATTTACTTCTTGATCCTGATTCGGTTGGCTTGTTTTTCGACTGGTTGATTTTCCATCGGTGAATTTGAAGATGCCTTGAAAGAGAATGATATGTTATATGATTATTTTACATAATTTCATGCATTTTTGGGGCGGCCAAAAAAATTTTCCGACATTTTTCGAATCGACATTCTTTGTGCTACTATCAATGCTCGTTAACGGTGAAGGCAGAGCTGCAAATTTTGCATTATTTTTGCTGAGCTGAGCTAAGCTGGCCTGAGTAAGAATTTCTCCGAGTTGAGCTGAGCTGAGCTGGCCTATTTCGGAGCTTATTGAGCTGAGCTGAGCTTGCCTCTTTCAGAGGCCAATGAGCTGAGCTGACCTGAGCAGATTTTTCTTTAGATAGTTAAGCTGAGCTGAGCTGAGCGGACCCTAATTCGAGCTGAGCTGAGCTGTTTTTACTGTGTTTTTAGAAGTAAAATTGTGTAAAATCATTGAGCTGAGCTGAGCTGAGTGAAAGTTGTCTGAGCTGAGCTGAGCAGATCAGATCATTTTCAAAAATCACTAAGCTGAGCTGTGCAACTGCTCCGCTCACTTAGCCAGTTCAGCTCACTCTGCTCAGGAAATTTGCAACTCTGGGTGAAGGTGCTCTGCTATTGTGAAACAAATATCGTTTTAAAATCACAAACTTGTTATCACCCGAAGTCCAGAACTGACAACAATGTCAACTTTTTTCCCTGAAAAAAATTCTCTTCTCAAAAGTATCTCTTCCTTGATTTCAATTTTGAACGCTTACTTTTTCTAATGCTCGGTCGTGGAGAGAATAGCCCATGTCCGCTCACTTCTCTGTGCCGGATTACACCTAAATGGATTAATCACTTGCTCCGAGTCGCTTTTAACCTTGATTTACCAATCAAGTGTTTCCGCAAATTCGGCTTGAGAAAGGCATAAATCACCGGATTCAAGCAAGAATTCAGCGACGCGAAAATCACCGTCATTCCGTTTAAAATCGAGGCCCATGAAGAATGACGTACTTCTGCGAAAATCATGACTAAAAAAGGGTCTTTTTGAAATAAAAAGAAGCTCTTCTAACTTGTGTTGAATAAATTATTCGGAAGCCACATGAAGAAAAAGCTCAAAATGACGATCAAAATGACGCTTTCAATTTTGTGATTTGACTTTCTGTTTGTATTCGCTCTTGCAGTCACTTTCCGGACTTTATAGACGATTGAACTTGTTTTAAAAGCTCCTCATGTGCTTGATGATCTGTTTGATGCTGTTTTGGAGCCGTGCCTGTAACATAAAATGATGATGAGAAGGGGTAGAACAAAGCCGCAAATGATCTTTGTCCCAAGAAAGAAATTTGATTGGAAAGTGGTCGCAAAAGACCACATACATTTCTGAAGAAAAAGGGTCATTTATTGGAAGCCTGTGTAGAAAATCTGAGTCAGGGTACTGATAAAATTTTAATGTGAAGCCGCGTAGCGGCTTTTTTTAATGTAGCCGCTAGTGGCTCTGTCTTAAAATAAGCCGCAACGGGTTTTCAGTACCCTGACTCAGGTTTTCTTCACAGCATCAGGTCTTACCCCGCCCTCATCAGGCCCACTGCAGGAAGTACTGGCATTTCTGTTGTTACTCAGCGCGCAGGGATGAAACAAACTTCTGTGCGTGAAGCTGATACTCCCCATGACACTGGAAAACAACCAACCAACCAAGCTGATGATTCCAGTATAAACAGGTCCACGGATTTTCCACCCGACGACTGTTGAAAAGTTTCTCACCCGAAGTAACGCGCTAATTAAAATTTAAGGAAGAGGTCGAAACCTGCCTACTGCGATGAAGCGATCTACAGATAGAGCTGTCTTAATAAGGATTTCAGCTTGATAGTAATGGTCACTTGATTATTCTTTTTCAATAATATATGTTACATATCTTATTATAGAATAAGTCTTGACCCTTATACAGAAACTGACAAGTTAAGACCGATTATCACGTGGGAAAAGCCCTGATTCAGGGCTCAGAACCCTGCGAAGAAAACCTGAGTCAGGGTCTGAAAGAACTCAGATCCTGACTCAGGTTTTTTATTTAGCTATTAAAACATATTGAAATCCTTTATATCAAAAAATAAACGCTCGCGTACAAGTTCAGCAAAAAGACAAAGCTGATAAATTTGCAGAGAAAGAGCCTTATTGCTGGATCAGCCCTGGCAGCACCATCATGTTTCGAATTTAAAATAAGGCATTACCCTGTAATGATTACAGTAATTTTTTAATCCAATCTGAATATTTGTGCTGATCCGTGCCCGTAGAGCCAAAGCCCACCACGGAGCTTCTCCATTGCCCAGAATGGCAGGACGGCGGTGTATACTCATTTTGGAATGACGGGATTTTCATAAGCAGTTATTTGACGGCTGGATTCTTAGATTCTAAGTCGACAGTGTCTAATCAACTTTTGATCAAGCCAGTTATTGAGACCCTGGTTGATCTTCTGACCCCTGTTAAACTTGTTTGTCAACAAGGGCAAGTTCGAATTTTGTGTTCGTGAAAGATCGTGAAAGACCGTGAAGATCACGGTTCAAGATCATAATGAGCCGAAAAACTAGGTCATTCCGTCCATAAGTCTGCCATCGCCAAATTTAAAATCAAATTATCAGTGACGCGTCGTTTTTTGACCGTAGACAAGGCAAAGATGACAATCGAGTTTCCCAAAATCCCAAGCACTGATATCAGCAGCAAACTGAATCCGAGAATTGACGGCATCACTAAAACATAATATCTTTCTTCATGTTTTAATGTGGCATAAAAAGGCTTATTAGATGAAAATTAGATGAAAACTGACAGTTTCAGGGCGTACTGTAATAAATAATGATATTGAATGGAACTTTCTCAATTCAGAGGAGAAAGTTGTTTAGACAGCATTTTTGTTGTCCCGCATTTTCCAATATTAATAATAAAGCAGGTTTGTTTGATCAGTTTTGCTGGATTATCAAAAAGTATCTTCATGACCTAAATTCTATTTCGACATCTATCACGTGATCTTTCGGCTTTTTAAAAGAAGGGCTCAGAAACCTGTGTAGAAAACCTGAGTCAGGATCTCGGCCGAATTTGATAAGGGAATGAAATAAATATTTTGCGAAGCCGCTTCGCGGCTTTGTTTCTAAAAAAGCCGCTTTGCGGCTTTTCATAAATGATCTGAGTCAGGGTAAAGTCAAGATAACGAATCCCTATTCTTTTTTTTTTCATACCTGAAGCCAATCTATCGGCAGTGCCCATTTTCTTCCTTTCTTTTTCTTCTTCTTTTTATGAAGTCTTCAAAAAGTCTTCGTCGATTTCATATTTTTTCTCTCGCAAATCGGAAAATAAAGTCGCGCATGTGAGCCATTACTTTTTTCTCATTTCAGTGATCTTCTGTTACTCTTCATTTACATACGCGAATGAAAAAGAACAGCAAAGAGGATAATGTCCGACGAATAATTTATCCCTGCGCGAGCATGTATTGTGTCAGTATAATGAAATAAGAGCTTAAGATATTTCGACACATTTTGGATACTGGTTGCACGCCAAATTAGCTATCAGATTATGTAATACTGTTTTACAGTAAAATCCAGAATGAGCCAATCTAGTAAAAATTTTGGGTTGAGACTGATTTTTCGGGGCGCCCCGGTTATGCCGCCGAATGTCGCCAAATGTCGCCGAATGTCGCCATTTTTTTGTTTGAAAGTAGAAAAGCAGTGTTTTTTGTACTTTTTATTTCTACAAAATTGCCTTTTTGGCGACATTCGGCGACATTCGGCGACATTCGGCGACATTTAGCGACATTCAGCGACATTAAGCAACATTTAGCGACATTCAGCGACATAAGACGACATTTGACGACATTTGGCGACATTCGACGACATTTGACGACATTTTGCGACATTTGGCGACATTCGACGACATTCAGCGACATTAGGCGACAAAACCAGTGTCGCCCTATTTTTCAACAATGTTTTTAACGATGAGATTTGACAAATATCTCTACTCTGCTCTCAAAAATGCTAAATTTGCAATTCCGCCCCTTTCTTAGACCTACATCTTTTTTCGAAGTATTTTAAGCTCTTATTTTCTTCGTAAAAAGTTTAAGTGCTTATAGTTGGATAAAATATTCGGAAAGAAATAAGCCCTCCGTAAAAGAGAGGCAAGAAAAAAAAGAAGGGTTGAGGCGCCATCTTTCTGTTCATATAACCGCTTTGGTATTAAAAGTACTGTATGTCGCCACTACGTAGCTTGCGGTCAAGCATGTTCAATAGAAATGCGGGGGGAGCTTAGAGGATAGAAACAATAATAGAACTATCTAATTGATCTGCGCTCAGCAGAATCGATACGAGTCTTGATAAGATGATCTCTTTAAATATTCAGAAATGGTCAAAACTAAAGAAAAACAGAACCAAAAAGTTTCAATTAGATGCTCCTTAAAAAACTTCTTTGCAAGTTTCAGGAGACTCAATCGTTCAGAGTTACAAACATATGTTCCGATGAACTTATTACGCAAAATAAGCAATGTTACCTTCTGTCCGTCAAAACTGTTTCAACGCTTTGACTGGATAATTTCAAAAAATTTTTTGCGGGTCTGAAAATCGTAAAAATTCTGAAAGTGCAGTTTTCTTCAGCTCGTGAAGACGAGTCGAATAGTGGGTCAAACTCTTGATAACTCCAAGGATTGACCGGTTAACCAGCTGGTTACTGGAAAATACGTTTCCGGTCGCCATTTTTGTTCTAGAAATGCTAGGATGATAAATAAACCTGGAAACTGATCCTTATGGTCAGTTCTACTGTGGGCAAAAATATATTGGTCAAATATAAAGCGGAACTTTTTTTTCGATTAAAATTCTAAATTTTGTATGTATTTCTTTGTTGCTGCACCTTCCTAATTTTCGGTCCCATTTTCATGAGAAAATAGAATTTGGGTGATAAGCATCTTATGGCTAGAGATATGATTTTAATTTTTTCGCCAACAAAAGAACCAACTTTAAGGACCAGTTTCCCGCTTTTTTGTCATTCAAGCATTTCTAGAACAAAAACGGCGACCGGAAATGTATTTTCCGGGAAACTGCCGGTTAACCGGTTAATCATTGGAGTCATCAAAAGTTTGACCCACCATTCGACTCGTCTCGGCGAGCTGAATAAAACTGCACTTTCAGATTTTTTATGATTTCCGGACCCGCAAAATTTTTTTTGAAATTATCACTGTATTTTATTTCGAATTTAACAAAAAATTCAGCCCGAAATAAATCAGCTTGCGCTGCTACACTGATAAGTCAAATACAACATCCAAAAATAGAAATTTCAATATATAAGATAATAGATTACAGAGTCCACATTTTTCTTTTCTTCTTGATAATATTCTATTGAAGACTTCTTCAGCCTTCTATTTTGAACCGCCGCTGATTCACAAACTGGCGAGTTGGTTGTGCCAAGGTACTTTTCCGTGCAATCTTGCGATAAGACGTGCAGGCGCCAGAAAACAGCTGAGTAACGCTCCTGGATATCTCACCTTGTTCTGACTTTTTTTTCATCTAGTCTTCTCAAACCAGCAAGAAAGAAAGAGAGAAAGAGTGAATCTAAATGGGAGTAACAGTCGAAACAATCACCCCTCCTCCAAATGCTGATAACAAGCCTGCAATTGGATCTCCAGTTATAGTTCACTACACTGGAACACTAGAAAATGGCAGCGTTTTTGACTCTAGCAGGGATCGAGGACAGGTACCCAATCATAAATGAAACGTCATTCTTTACATTTTCAGCCGTTCGTTTTCGCCCTCGGAGTCGGCCAGGTAATCAAGGGCTGGGACGAAGGAGTCGCTCAAATGGCCAAGGGACAGCGCGCCAAACTCACCTGCACTCCCGACTACGCCTACGGACCGCGAGGTTACCCACCAGTGATTCCTCCCAACTCGACGCTCATTTTCGACGTTGAACTTATCGACTTTCAAACTGCCAGAAATTGAATCAAAGGCAAATGAATAAACACTTTATTTAGAAATACATGTTCAATGGATGATAGTAAACAAAATCATCGTAAACATCAGAAAAGTCAGCGGGAACGATCTCATTTCCGATTTTGGAATTTCCTTCCCGCTTTTGCGCTCTGATCAGCTTGACTCTTTTGAAAAGATCTTGCCCGTTGAGAAAGGCGTTTTTTCGATCATAGAAGGGGTCGAAAATTGCAGAGCAAAAAAGTTGAGAGATGAAAAAAGGAAAGATTTTTAGCAGCATTGTTTGAAAACGAATAAAAAGTAACGGAATTTATACGACTTTGGAAGCGATAGCTGTCATGATGATTTTGTCAAAGTCGATTTAGGAAACATGCTCTTGCCAGGGATCGATTTTCGCGAATTGAAATCAACGAGGAGTCAATTTAGAAGAAATCAAAGAAAGAGAACAAAGGGAAGTTGTTCTTGAGTTTTATTGATTTCATCATTTTGACGAGATAAAAAATAGTTTCTATTTACAGGTTTTGCTTCAAAGAAACTTGCACTATTTTCTTATTTTGAAGCATTTCTTTTCTCACATGAGTCCACAAGTTCCAATCGAAGTGATGCCAGGAGTCGGTCTTTTGTTGCAGCACTCGAGGGTCTTTGGATCGTAAGTTTTTCCCAAGCAGCATCTTTTTTTCGGATAAAAAATCGGCTTCTTTTAAGTGAAACCCTTAATTTTATCATCCGGTCCTTCGTTGCTCGCCGCTAGAAGTCTGGAACTGGAAGGGAAATCGGTCTGGGTATTTGCCGCAACATCGGTACACTGGCTCCTGTTTTTCCATCACCGATCGGCTTGAAGAACCACCACTTGCGGATCGGCAGCTTTCTTCTTTCTGGAAGCCACCCCAGTTCTTGTGATTCATCGGAACCCAGAACCACTAAAGAGAGATTCGAATGAGGCGATGTAAAAAAGTAGAAAAAACCTCGTTGGCGGAAAGTTCTTCAGCAAGTCGCTTGTCACATTCGCACAGGGATCTTCTGCATGTTCCAGGGGTGTTTTTGCAGACAAGATATCTCGATCCAGTAACCGGGTCCTGAAAAAAATCAATGACGAATGAGAAATGAGGGATCAAAGAAGAGGAACCTCTCGCCCTTCGAAAGAATAGGGCTGTGTATGCTTGCAGGTCTCCTTGAAGTCGTTCTTGACACATTTGTAGCAGTTTGAAAAGTCGCGGCATTTTTTGTCAACCTAAAATTTAGAATTTCAATTTTCAATTTTTTTCTTTTGAAAGACTTCACCTCATCAACTGGGGTTCCTCTTCCAACAGTAAAGTCCTCCCCGACATTTGGAAAGCAATAGCAGCCGTAGTAGCAGAATTTTCCGAAGAGCGGCAAAGTTTGGAGATACATGACCATGAGCTTGAGCGTTTTGAATTTTCGGTACTCGAGTCGCTCTTGAAGACTCATTCCGTTTCGGACCATCGATGGTCGTCGGAAAAACTCTTCGGCAACGTCGTCTCCTGCGATGTACTGGGTCCAGTTGAAGTTCTGAAACCATCCGTCCCAACCGTCCACGGCGGCGGAATAGTCGGTTTCTTGGTTGAAATCGTCAGGGAGACCGAACTCGCGATAATCGTCCTTTTTCAAGGTGCAAATATAGAACGACGTACTTGATGACGCGATCATACTTTCAATATATTTAATTGTCATCATTTATATAATGGATGGTTGGTTTAATTTCTCTCAATTACGCGTCACTGGTTTTACTAGTAGCTGAAAATTTGCGACATAATTTTTCAAGAGAATTTTCTGCCAATCAGAAGCTTGGATTAAGCCAATCGACCAATCGCAAATCGAGTAACCGCCTACCAGTTATTTTTCCTATCTCCGGGCTAGGAAAAATCACTTTCGACTTTTAAAATTTCACCTTTTTCGCGAAAACTTTTCGGCAATATTGCTAACCCTAACCCTTCTCCTTAATCTATCTTCAACCCTTACCAAAAACAAGCAATTGTTTATCTAGAAACAAACTTACACCTTTCCTCAAATTTAAGATCTTCTCCATCCATCGGAAATCTATCTCTTCCAAGTTTTCCTTTCTTCCTCTTTCCATCTTTTTGCGCAGCCGCCAAAGCGACAAAAACGACTAACAATTTCATAATTTCTACAATTCTGCCGCTTCTAATCGATGGCTGGACAAAATTGAGAATAACGAATTTGCAAAATTTGATAAAGCAAATTCAATCCGCTAGACAAGGAGGGAGCCACATCACTGGAGCAACCGCAGGGATGAAAACAAGGAGGTAAACAAAGTGGATAAATAATTACGTAGAGGAGTTCATTTTATGATGCGGTATTATTTCGATAAGAGTGTCTCGATTTTAACGGACCAATTTATTTAAGAGGTCCTTATTTAGACGGATTTCTTAAGGGTGTCCCTCTCTTAACGAATTTTCTTAAATTTTCAGTCATAAATTAAGGGCAACTACTATTTTCTGGGGATTTTTTTCTGGACCTGTTTTTCAAACTGATTTTTAAGGGAGTTAGAGTTATAATTAAGGGAATCTGACTGAGTCAAACGAAAGCTTTTGCCCCGAATAAGGGCCCCTTATAGAGTATGATATCCATCTGTATATTATCACTGTATATTATCAGGATGTCTCCTTGAGGAATACATAGGTGTTAAAGAAGGGAACCCCATAATTTTTTTGGAAGAGGAGCGGCAATTTTTGGATTTCGTCGCGATTTCAGAAGCCGGGCTTGGCGCGTGCCACGTTTTAGTGATTACCACATCATTACCAAGTAAGGTAAGGTATTCGAAGGAGACTTGCGTTTTCGTATTCTGCCAGACTGAACTTTCTTCAACCCTTCCTTGCCCTCCTCTTTTCCAATAATAAAACAACCCCTTCTTCATTTTTTTATCCCCCATGGCTTTTGTAAAAGGCGAAAGAGTTCTGTCTTTTCACGACGAGTTACTGTACGAAGCGAAAATTCTGACAGTCAAAGAGAAGAAAAATGAAACCCGTAAGTTTTTTTTCAGAAAGGGAGTTTTCCATTGTTTTTGAAAATTAATCACGTGACCAATTTGAAACGAGCCGCGTTAGGTTTAATCCTCTTCAGTTTATCACATTCACTACGTTGGATGGTCGAAATCCTGGGACACATGGGTCAGTGAAACAGATATTTTGAAGAAAAACAAAGGTAAAAAAAACCACCCTCTTTTCCCCATGAAAAAATTTGAAATAAGAGAACACCCAAAAAATGGAAAATCTTCTCGCTGAATGCAAAGGTAAAAATTTTCATTGCTCTTTGTTATGTAAGATTCTTTGGCGCTTTCTAGAGGCAGAAAAAATCGAAAAATCGAAGAACTCGAGGAGCCGCAAGAGGAAGCTCTCCATCAGTCTCGCAGACGAGGAAGAGAGTGGGAAGGAATTGCCATTTGAATTGCCTCAGAATATTGTGGAAATTCTCAAGGATTGTTTCATCGATTAAATGGATGAAATTATATGACCCCGTAAAAACCAATATATAAGCATAATTATGCACCTATCGATTCTATCGTCTTTTTTTTTCATTGATATTTATTTGCAGTCAAAAGACATTAACGGCTAAGCCGAGCAGGGATAGGGGAGTAAAGCATAGTTATAATAGTAAGAGGCATGATGATGATGATGACAGCTTGAGGTGCAGAAGAACTCGCGGATTGCTACGCAATTTAAGAGCTTTTATTGTTATATTTTTTCGAATATAATCGTACTAATACGAGACATTTGTGTTTTTACTCCGGTGAATAAGAACCTTAAATCTCACCCTAACCCTTACTCAGGGGAATCAGAAGGCTAACCCTAACCAGAGTTGCAAGTTTTTTTCTGAGCTGAATTCGAAATTGAGCTGAGCTGAGCTTAGCTGGCCTCGTTTAATAACCACTGAGCTGAGCTGAGCTCAGGTCAAAACTGGGCCAGCTGAGCTGAGCTGGCTCTTATCGAAGAACCATTGAGCTGAGCTGATTTGAGCTGAGCTGCAGCTCAGCTAGCTCAGATGGCTCAGTTCAGCTAGCTCAAAAAATTGCAACACTAACCCTAACCCTAACCCGATAACAAAATATTAAATCTTTATTTTGGAAACGATTTCGAAACAAAGAAAGCAAGACAAATCTCTCGTTGAAGCAGGATGTTCATCCAAGTGTAACGTCGGTCCTTCCATCGCGGAGTTTATGAATGTGAGCATTATTTATAGTTTAATTGTTATAATTGTAATAGTTATTATTATTACAATTTCTTTCTTCTCTCCGAGTACGCGCTAGTTCTAACTATTTTTGATAAGTTTTCTTCTAGGCGTTTCGAACAAGCGAGTCGAAAACTCTCGACGATTTCGAAACTTCAAAAATGGAGGAGTTTGAAAAAGGCATCTTGGCTTATTTCGATGTTGTTTATGGAAACTTTTTGCTTTACCGTAAGTTGTTCAAAGCTCAAAAGAAAGCTCATCGCGTTTTCTAGCTTCTGAGAAAGATTTCAATTGCTCCACCATCCGCTCTCCAAGAAACCACTGCTCGGTCATCCACTTCATCCGCTTTCTGTCAAAACTTCCCGATTTCTTGAAAGATCTTTTGCGAAATCCAGCGCATGTTCAAATGCTCAAAGACCCCATTCAATCTCTTCTTCTTTGGACAAGGTAAAAACATCTCTTCAATCAAAGGCTGAAAATAAGAGCGTCCGAGTTCACTTTATCGATTTCATAATTTCAACGTAAAAACGACTTCTTTTCAGCAAACGCATTGACGAAAGCAAACTTCTTCTTGAAATCAACCAATATTTCACTAATCCTTCCACTGCCAGAGCTGCTGAATAAAAAATTGATGCGTTAAAGCTTCATTTGCAAAATTTTTTATATAAAGATTCACATTGTTATGTAAAGAATAGTTCAACGCGTAAAAATCGAAATTGCGCTTCATAAGATTTGTCTTTGCAAAATTCTTTCACGAAAAAGAGTACTTTTAAAAACTTATTTATAAGTCGATTAAAAAATATCTCCAGGTAAACGAAGTTTTGACTAGAAAAAGAGGGGCAATTTTAGTATGGCTAAATTCTGACCAAATTTTTAGCCAATATTTTTTATTTGACCAAAGTTAATTTTACCAAGAACTCAATGAAAAAATCATAAAATTGATATTTTTGGAAAACAGAAATCCTTATTTTTTATTTTGAAAAGACTACGAGACAAGGATTGATATAAATTTTGCTAGCATTACATCTATTTTCGTAACTAACTCTGCTGAATTTGCGATATCTGAAGGGAAACTGTTGTTCTTGCGCCATCAAGCGAGGGGGAACACGAATCAGACGGTTATAGAATTGCTCGAGTACCGAGGAATCTATCATATTTCTACAGGCTTACGAGTTAACAAGAGATAACGGATTGTGTAACTGAAACTTTATCGATCTGCACTTCTAACTATGGATAACATTAACAGCAGAAACGGGAGTATCAACCAACCGGCTAATAAGTAAGCCTTAATTCATCATCTTTAGGTCACTTATTTTTTTTTGGGATATGATGAGAATTCTTGTCTTACTGTATTCTAGGAAAGATCAGAAGAAAACCACCGACGACTCGTTCCTGAAACTTCTCAGTATTCCTGCTCCACCACCAAATTATCGTAAGTCCTCTGAGTCCTCTACTATACCCTTAAGTATTAACACGATACTCTATCATGGTAAAGGGGGTACCAAACGATATGACGTTTTTTATCAAGAATTTATGCCGCCCGAGCCTTGTTTTTGATTTTGTAAGGGACTAAATTTTGATAACGATTCTTGAATAGTTACGTAACATTGGCATAATTTGTTTTGAACAGGGAATATTTATGGAATCGGTCGTCTCAGAATACATTTATTTTGCTGAAAACAACACTAAAGACCAACACTAAATCTGTTCAAAAAGGATCGACTCCCGACATGAACAAGGAAAGCTGCTCCAGCGCCAGTCAAAAGACGCCGAATACTGTAAGTAGACAACGACTTCAACTCAAAAATCAAGGAAGATAGGATTCTTCAAATTAGCTTTTTTTACCTTGATCCAATTATTTTGAGCTCGATAAGATCGCAAGGTAGAGATTTATGTAATCACTGAGCCATATAAAATTACGCTCTTGTTTCGAAACTAACAATCAATATGTACCAAATTTATTTTTCAAATCAAAGTTTACGGATGAATTCAGTCACAATTGGAACCTAGCAGCGCCTCTCTGATTCCCCAACTTTGGAATCCACAATACATGGTTGGATTTGAACAATTTCAGGTAACGCAGAGCAGAGATTTCTTTTTTTAGTAAAGAGGGGTTCTCATTAGAGCTTAGGGTTAGGGACTAGAAACACTTAGGTGGGGGCCCAACGGGGGCGTAGTACCTTGGGTTAAGATTAGGGTTAGGGGTAGCCCGAATGATAGCCCCTACAATCTCTTTTCTACTCTATAAGAAGTTCTTTATTCACAGCCAATAGGAATCCGTTATTTTCTTTTTGAACCAATCAGAAACAAGAAAACAAAGAAACTTAATTCTTTAATTGTTAATTCTCTCAGCCCTCTTTTTATAGGCGCATATTGACGAACCAGCAGAACAGCCACTGAATCCGAACAATATGGACAACAACGAGCTAAACCAGCTTCTTGACGAGTTTGAGGATGTCTTCGCGAAGACCGGCGAGGATGAGCGATTCAATCCTCATATGCAAGGTATCGTCTTCACCCCCCTTCATCTTTCAAACTTACTTTTGCTTAGCTGAGATGCCAGATGGCAACAAGGAGGAAGAACAACAAGCCCATCAGCCCCAATCTGTGACTTCGGTCCCAAGGCAATTTTCAGCTGAAGAACTTGCGCCGCAGATAATGGTTCGAAAAGCCAAAAAGGTAAAGAATTCAAACAAGAAAAAATCTTAACTTTTCATTCAGCAATTTGTTCCAGGAATGGCACTCGAAAGGACAATTTTAAGAATAAGCCGCGTGCGGCTTTTTTCTGCTAAGAAGCTTTTCAAGCCATAAACAGAGCATGCTAAAGACTCAAAATACTGGACTCGTCGCGTGAAGAACAACGCAGCTGCGAGACGAAGCCGAGAAGGAAGGGGCTCTTTCGAATTCGATCTTGTATTTGACGGGCTGAAATTCATTAGCATTGCTAATTTAGCAATTAAAATTAGCCCTGGAAAAAAGCGCGGCACAAGAAAGAAAATCAAATCCGGGTGCGTGCTGCTTGGCTTGAGAAGGAGAACATTCGCCTCCGTGTTGAATTGCTCGATGCTCGTCAGCAGCTCCAGGATCTTCACGTAAGCTACAGTAATTGGCGAAATTTTAGACAGTCTATTTCAGAAATATCGAGTGCGGGACAACAACCAGTAAACAGAAAAAGACGACACGACCAAAAAAAAAAAGAAGCAAAAAAGTTCAATTATTTCAAAAATATTTCTCCAGAATCTTGTCCCTTGAATTTTATATTTGATCGAATTTGTTCATTTATCATCCATTGCCACAAAAGTCCCATGTATCCCTTGTAGATCCGTTTTTTTTTCAAATAAATTCCGAATAAATGTCTTTTTTAAATTTTAGCCTTTATTAAAAAGTTTTATGGTCCATAATTATGGACGATATTTTGCCTTTCTTTTATGTCTAGCCGACAAATTTGAGAAGTCGGATTTTAATTGCGCGGTTTGAATTCGGCAGATGATTGGAAAATATTTGTCTGATCAAATCGGAATGGCATGAGGGCGTGGAAATGCCATGAATTATGATTTTCGTTTACAAACTCCTGCCAAATAAAACTCAAAGCTGCTCAACCAAAACAAAGACGCATTCGTTGTTGATTTCTTGTGGCGGCTCTTGCGGGCAGCAATTTTTGCTGTGACAAGATTTTGCCTTTTTCGACCCTTATCTCCTTTTGAATTGAAAGCTGATACATTTTATTGGAACGAATTAAGTTTTTTATAGAAACATTTTATGAGCGTGCGAGTCGATCGGTTGAATGATCAGCTCCGACGTATTCGTATTGAAGGTTCCTCTTGGCGATTTCTTCAGCGACTAAACACAACCTTAGCCCTCCCAAAATCGAGCAAATCTCACGTCTCTGAAGCGATAAAAGCTGCCTTGTTTGAGCTGCAAAAGCGCATCCCGCTCGCACTCTTCAAAAATCGTCTTTTGCATCAGCCGCAGCTCATTGGAATTGATTCGAACGCTGGAGGAGTTGAGTCGTTGAATCTCCTTTTTGAGACGAAATCTGATGCACATGTCGATGTTGACTTCTTTTGGAGAAGTCTCTTTTAGATATTTTTCATAGATCAGGAGGGCTCGTTGCCGGATCGCCTGATGATCCTGAAAGGGGATGAAAAGCTAGAAAGCCTCGGAAAACTCACTCTTGGGCAAAGATTTTGAACTCCTGAATCGACATGTAAAAACTCAGCGTCTCATGAGCATATTCCATCCTCAAAAACTCCCAAAACTTGAAGAGCAATTTTTCATTTCTCTTATCGAACAGTTCCATCATCTCAATTTCTCTTCCCTTCAAAAATGTCGGCAAATGGAAGCATTTTGTCAGAAGCTTCATTTCGGATTTTCGGATTTTTGAGAGAAAACGAACGAGGAAAGAATGGAGGATGAAAATTTAAACAGGAGGAGGGCTTTGTGCCAGAAGAGCTGAATATAGTCGTGCATTGATTTTTTAGGAAAAAAGCGGGGTTAACAAGAGTTCGGGAAAATTAAAAAAGTGAAGAAGGCTTTTAATCCTTTTATACTGGATGTTCGATTTGATGGATTTATAAAATGCAGGGATTTGTAGAAAAGGGTGATTTTTTAGCCAATGATTCATTCGTTATCAACCAAAATGCCAAAAATATCTAGAATTAATGCTTATTTTAAGGGTAAGGAGAAGGATTCACCAAGAAAGGGGTCCAAGGGGGAGGTGAACGAACCAAGAAAAGGAAATGTATTTTAGGAAGACCAATCAGCTTGCTGTATTTTTCGACCCAAAGGGTCGAAGCCCCCGCCTCACATTAACGGGGGCGCAAAAAGCACCTCTCGCTCGAGGGGGCTAGGTTTGAATTTTGATATTTTGAAAGAAAAGATTACCCTACAATCAGAAGATTTTGACTGTATTGGAAGAACAGGAAGTAAAGGGATTTCTGACCCGCAATGAGTAAAGAAGACAAGTTTTATTTTTAAACTCTTTGATGAAAAATATTTTTATTTCTTCCTGCCAAAACCATAAGCTTAGCGCCAAGTCGAGATGCCAAGGTATTTGACAAATTGATTTCCCACTCACATTTGGAGATTTGAGCGAAGTGCATTTTTTATCGAGCTTTTTTCCAAAAAAAAAAAAAACAATGAACCCGAGTTTTAATCAAGAAGAGATTAAAGGAGCCAAAGCTGGAAAAGCTTTTTCTTTTGCCAATGCCGCCAAAGTAAATCGATCTTTTTTTTTTCATCAACAAATAAATCTCGCCCTTATCAATAATTTTTCATGAAAAAATTAAGGATGTTTGCGACTTTAAATTTCCAAAAGAAACGCCAAAGCCGCGACTCAGTCGACAGGAAAAGATTTTCATATTTTCGGAAAGAAAAAAATATGAAATGATGACTGACAGGTCGCTAAGACCAAAAAGTCAAAAAGAAACACGGGCTAGCTTATCCCGAACGCTAGAATTTTTGGCCAAGGGCTTCATTTTGTCAGCTGAAATGAGTAAAACTTCGAGATTTGATGAAAATCAAGAGCAGGAACGATTCGCGGACTCTGTCAAAGGTGAATAGAAAAAGGTCTTTTCGAATTTTTACCAGCCACTATTTTTTTTAGAAATAAACGAAAGATTAGCAAGAGAAAGAGAGGATGAAAACGCATTGCTGCTGCAGGAAAGAGAAGATTCTGATTTTCAAGGTAAGATTTTTTCAAAGAATTTTGTCTCTTATATAATTTAGGCTTTCCTGTTGAGCGTCATTCCTGCCTTGTTTTCATCCTCTTTATCCTCTTTTTCCCGATTGGCTTTCTCGCAAAGAAAAAACAGCGACTGGTAAAATCAACTGAAACAAAGTTCGATGACCCGTTTTTAAGATAGACGATGAAACGAGGAAATACCCGAAAACGCTGAAAAACTACAAAATGGCTCAGATTTACTCGCAGGAATTGATGGAATACTGTGCGGGAATGATTTTTGCGACTCTCTGCGGTCATGTGACGATCTGGATAATTTTGGTATATTATGTCAAATGCATGGCAAGACCTGACTGTCCTTGGAAATAAAGTACAAATATTTTGATTCTTAATTTTAGAGAATTTTAAATTCCGGGGTTTAAGTTTTGAAATATATCAAACACAGAATCCTACAGGTACTTGAAGCAAGACTGGATGCGCTTCGTAAGAGCTATGACGACCAATAATTTCGGAATTTTTGACTTCGTCTCCTTCTATCTCAACTCTTTGAAGTGGATATTCTTCGCCAGAAATGATGAAAATCGAGTTATTTATTTTTATTGATGAGTGAGAGGCATCGCCCTAAAATATATATTAAAAATTAATCTTTTGCTATTTTTTGAAGCCATTAAAACCACCAGAACACGTTCAAGTGATTTAAAAATACCTCTTTCAATGATCCAATTTGTGACCATGAGTCATTCATAAGAAGCCAAACATCTTTCAAATAATCATTTCCATTTCCCCGTCAACCTAGCATTGGGTGGTGTAAATATAAATTTGCAAGAATTGCAAAATCTCGTTTTTTGCGTCAGTTGTGTCTTATAAATCGATCAGAATGTTGAAAAGAGCAAGAAAAAACGATTTAAAATCAAAAAAGTCGATTTGGCAAGTCTTCCTTGATTTTATGATAGGTCAAAGGTCGAAATTTGATAACGCTCTGGAGGCCAGGCGCATTTATAAATTTCAATAATTCTTGATGGAGGATGATTCTGATCACTAAGAGAAGCTCGCTTCGAGTTTTGAGCGTGATCGGGTTGTAGAAACGCCGACAAAAATGCAAAAGCTGTCGAGAGAGAAAAACAAAAAGCGGCGGCGCGGCGATTACGTAACAGCGCGTGGGCCGCGTGGCGGCGCTGTCCGCCTGCAAGCAAAGCTCAGCACTGAATTATCCCTCGGCAGGGATAATTGATGGACGAATTCTACTTGATGACCTTCTTGCGTCCAATTTCTGCTCTCTCAGCTGCTGGTCCATCTTCTGCTGCGATCGAGCAGGGGACTTTTTTCGAGTAGGAGTAGACGACTTCGGCTCCAGCGTTGAATTCTTTGGTTTCTTCTTTTCCGGCTTTGTATCCGATTCAATCCTTTCTCCCATCAGTTTTGTTTTCAAAAGACATTTCTCCTGGCAGGAAGAGATGATTTGTCTCGCCTGTTTCTTTTCTTTCGTCGCTTCTTTCTTCGCGAGTTGATGATCGGACATTTTCGAGCTGGCCTTTTCGCTCTTTTCCTTCAGGACTCCTGAGTCAGTGTTCTTAAGGTCACAGGTTTCAATAGACATGGCAATTTAGGTGAAGCCGCAAAGCGGCTTTTCATCAAACCTGACTCAGGTTTTTGCACAGGTTGCCGAGTCAAGAAATAATGATTCGATTACCTGTTCATGAGATTGTGCATATCATGCTTGAGGTCCGCGTTTTTCACTTTTTTCAGCTTCTTTTTCAAAATGCTCTTTTCTCGCGCTTCTATGCCTGCGATGAAGGCGAATCTTTTGTCGAAGGCGGTGTGGTTGAATTCGTCAAGCTCAGGGTTGAATCGATGATCCTTGATTTTTGAGCGATAAGGAACTGAATTTGATTATCCTTGAGTACTATGATAATCAGAGCTACTGTTGCACGAGCGCCATGTCACGTGTGCGCCCTCTTTTGACGCATTTTTTGGAAGTGAACTTGCGCTTGAATATTCATATCATAATTATTCCGATTTGAAAAATACTTAAAAAAGAGATTTGAGAGAAGATTATCAAAACAGAGGTTAATTTTTTGAATCGTCTTGAGAAACAGATAAATTTATTTATATTTTTAATCTTTATAACGTTATAAATTTTATTGTGAAAGTTTTCTACAGAGAATTCTTTTCAGTTACAGTATGTTTCCATTTTTCCGGACTAATTTTGTCCTCAGATTTTCAAAAAATGTCCGGAAAATTGGGTCACCTGCAAAAAATGCATGTCCCACCAAAAATACTTAAATTTTTTTCGAGAAACAGACATTTCTCGATTTTCCGCGAAGTAAACTTCTAGCATGATTTATTTTGCAGTGCCCCACTTAAATGCCTTATAATCGGAAAAGTGTCCGGAAAAATGGACTCCGGAAAACTGGAAACAAACTGTATATTTATTTTTAATATACAGTATTTTTTTCAAAAAATTAACCTCTTTTTCAACACAAATGGACGACTTGGAAGGACAATCTCGATGGAAGATGAGATCTTACCTTTTGTCCTTGGCAGACATCATCGTTCTTGCTCTTTTTTCCCTCGGCTTGGGTGTGGCGATTATGTACCTGATTGCCTGTAAGTACTTTTAATCTGATACGATTGACATTTTTTTAGCCGGCAAATGTGACGATAACTCAGAAGAATCTCTCCCAGCAATGATGATTTCGTCTTCTGCGACAGCTTCTACTACGACTACAGCTACTACTTCTACGATCACAACAACTACTTTTGATTGCGACCCTCTTCCCAAGACCGACCGTGAATTTGATCTGTTTCTCATTTATTGCACCGGTTAATAAAACGAATTGAAAATCCAAAATATTTGGAATAGTTGGAAGATCTTTTGCGTCGGAATTTTCGATAAAAACTTTTGCATGATTTTTAGAAATAAAAGGCGTTTCCGTATGATTTTGAGGATAGCGCTTGCCCAGGTTCGAACAAGTTCTTCTGTATCGTTGTTAAAGGTGAAGTCGAACTCTTCATCGTCCGCAATTACTCTCCAGCTGAATCCTAATCTGGCTTTTTTCGACTCTATCGCATTTCAACCAGAAGTTTATGAAAGCCCTTCCTGTTACAATCGACCATGTTTGTCCTCGATCGAACAGTTCTGATTTTTCTGACGCGGACACCAATCACGAATTTTTCAATTTTAACACAGTACTTTCCCGGTGCCTCAGTACCTTGAATATCGACTGTAATTGGCTCCCAATAAAGCTTCCCATTTGAGAGCAGTAAGTCGTGCGAGACTCCTTCAAAAGTGAAGATTCCTTCGAGCTCTTTTGGTGCCAGCGATGTCTGCCGACTCAACTGAGTGTCTAGCGTCAGCCCCGAAAATCGAGACTGCCCGGTCGTTGGTCTAGAATTATTTATGTAAGAAAAAGCTCCAGTTAACCAGGCTCACTACCTATCCATCGCTTTGTCGATTTCTTTTCACAAAAAGTACAGAAAGGAAAAATGGCGTGTTGGTTGAAAACCGTGTCTAGTGCACTGTGTAAAGCTCCAGAATTGCGCCGTTGCTTCTCTCGCATCATATTTTCGAATTGGCTGCCATTCTTGGAAACGTACTGGGCTATCTTATCGATAATATTTTTCTTGCGACGTTTGTTGCGAGATTTGTTGGAGCACCGGCCGACAATTCTTTTGTCTGAAAAGAAGGAATCTTCTAAAAAAGGGTTATTTTATTTCTTTGTTTTTATTTTCGTTGACTCACGAAATAGGATAATTCTCGGCGGGGAATACGATGGGCTGATTTTTCTCTTGAGCATAGAACTAATTTGAAAATGACGCTACTTACATGTTAACAATTGCAGCAAAAATATAGGTACTTAAATTTATTTTTAACTTGATAAAACTCGAAATCAGAAGAATTGAGAGACTTTGCGTATTTTTGAGCTACAAAGAAAAATGAGCTAAAAGCTCAAACCTGGTTTTATGATGCGACTTTTTTGTGCCTCGTCCAGTGCTAGTTCTAGTTACCGTAATTTTCAATTAACCTTGACAATTACTGTATTGGTTCTCGACTCAGTTCTTGCGCTGGTGGTCGGGTACAACGCAAAAGCTCTCGATTTTTTCACAATTTTGAATATTGGAAATAGTTTTTTTGGAATTACTATTTTGTTGGAGAAGAGGTTTAGATAAAAGAGCAAAAAATATTTTGATTTCGGTACCTTTGAGGGGTACCTACCGTGCGGACTTTGGGACTGTGTCGAGAGTTCTACATGCGCATTTCTTCTCTCCAGAAAATCGATGAAGAATTTTTTATTTTTCACGGGTACTTATGTTTGCATCTTGATTTAAATAAGTGAGATTCAGCTGTGGGTTTGAAATTTTCGGGAATTTTAGAGGGAGAGCAATTTGGAAAGGCAAAGAAAAATAGAGAAGATAACCTGATCAGAATCGCGGGCGGACACCAAAACCGGTGCGGACACCGAAGCCACCACGCTTTCATCGCGGCTCTTTTAGTGATATATTTTCCTCCGGGTGCAAAATTCTCGTGTTTTTCGACTGAACCACGAGTTTACCAACTGTTGGTAAAGTTGAACATTTCGAATTGCGACCAGAAGGCATAACAAAGATTCTCACTGCTGTTGAAGAGCACATGGGTGACGCAACTGCTTTCGAACTGGAGTCCAGAATCGGCGATTTAGAATTAAGATGGGATGGAAATGTCGACGAGAAAATAGAAAACGTGACAGTTACTTTCCACAAGCGACTTGAAGAAATGGCCACAGATACCATCGGAACTATCCGTGAAGATCTGACAAAGATTTCAACCAAAACTGACACGCTGAAAACTTCAGTCGAGACTTCGGTTGCAGACTTGTCGGTGCGAGTAGAAACTGCGGTCTCGCAAAGCGGCGCACTTGAGGACGCTTTAGCGGGAACATTTTATAGATTCAAGAACGAAAAATGTGTCGCAAACTTTTGAAAGCTAGGCGTTTTTGTTTGAAGTGATAACGAGCTTTAGATACAGATAAATATAAGGGTGTGATTTTCAGCAGAAATCTTATCACCGATACCCTTAATGGGGTCACTTAACGCGAAAATTCGCTTTTCGAGACAAAAAAAAAAACTAGTTTATTTTTAAGCTGTGAAAAGGCGCTCTTTTACCACTAGATGAAATCAAAAGTGCGAAATGAGTACCTCAGGCTGAATTTCTTTTCAATGATCATCATTTCAGGATGAATTTTCTGAAAATTTCTTTCTTGTTTCTTGTTTCGACACTATTGAACAGCTTTCTACTCATTATTGTCACTCGAAACGGAGAAATTTTCGATAAATATCTTGATGAAATCTTTACAAATGCAAAAAACAGAAGCCGTAGAGATTCGATGCCAGAGATTTTCAGCTCTTCCACAAGAGCGACACCTTTACCTAACGAGAGAAAAAAAATTCATTTATTAAATGATGAATTTAAGTCAAGGTAAAGCGTCAACATAAGAATATTGGGGGATTGAATTAAGCTCTTCAGTAATCAGGATGACATTGTTTCAAAATGGAGAGATCCAGGACGTTCTTTGTCAGAATTTTTCCTGAAAGCTTTTTTCAAATAAGTAAAAGAATTCAAGTAAGCATTGATCTAGTTCTGTGGTCATCTCGCTGACAAAAACGGCAAAAATAGGCTTCCTTGATTGCTTATTATTTGTCAAAAATTTTTCCACAGAACAAAAATCAATTAATTATAAACAGAATTCAAGCTTCTTATTCTTTATCGTCTCGTGTTTTCGCGGAACCGGCCCGAAGGGATGGCAAGCCGCTTTTAAAGAAAAGCTCGAGACTTGGCTGAGTTGGTCTGTCAAGCCGTTTTTTCATGATCATTATGCAATTTGGCGGAACCGGTCCGAAGGGCCGGCAAATCGCTTTTTCTCGAACAGCTCTAGACTGGCTGAACGGGCCAAAAGGGCCCTCAAGCTACTTTTTCTTGGGCAGCTCGAGACTGGGCTGACTCGGTCCGAAGGGCCCTCAAGCCGTTTTTTCATGATCATTATGCAATTTGGCGGAACCGGTCCGAAGGGCCGGCAAATCGCTTTTTCTCGAACAGCTCTAGACTGGCTGAACGGGCCAAAAGGGCCCTCAAGCTACTTTTTCTTGGGCAGCTCGAGACTGGGCTGACTCGGTCCGAAGGGCCGTCAAGCTGTTTTCTCTTGATCTTCATGCAATTTAGCGGAACCGGTCCGAAAGGCCGGCAAGCCGCTTTTTTTTTGATTAGCTCGAAAATTGGCGTAACTTGCTCGAAGGGCGGGCAAGCTTTTTTTTACAGCTCGAGACTTTGCTGAGTCGGCACGTAGGGCCATAAAGCTGTTTTTTCTTCATCATCTGGAAATTTGGCGGAACCGGTCCGAAGGGCCGGCAAGACGCTTTTTTTTCTACAGCTCGAGACCGGGCTCAGTCGGTCCGCAGGGCCGGCGGACCGGTTTTTCTTCGAGAGTCCGCGAATAAGGTTAACCGGCCCGAAGGACCTGCAAACTGCTTATGTTTAGACAGTTGCAGACCGGAGTTGGCCCGAATTTTTCTGGGCTTATTAAAATAATTTTTATGGTTCTCTTCTAGACGTTAATGTCAATCTTTTAGTCTCGTTGAAAAATCAGATACCGTCATTACCTACGAGTCCCGTATAAGCTACGAAACTGCGATTCTTTATCCAGCGCCGTCTGCAGAGAATATATTTTTTCCTAATGAAAAAAATTCAATTGGTTTGTTTGATTTCGAGTAAATTTATACTTTTTATTTTTAAGGACACTGCGCTCTTTTCATTACTCAAGTCCTTGTTACGAATCTTTTTATGGGAATCGAATGCTTTTTGAAATGGACTTACAATCTGAGTCTGTTCGAGATATTCCTATTGACAACAAAGAAATGCAAAGGGAAGCGTTTTATTAAATTTCTGTTGACACCCTTAATATTTATTTTTATTTCGAGCAAATAAAATCAATCACTTCAGTTATTAATGTATACAAAACGCATCAAAGGACTTACCGATCAATGGTAAAACTTATTATCAGAGACGATTGTGATCGCGGCGAGCTCTTTCGGCTATCATGGCGATCGCGAAGGAGTGATGATGCCTTGGCGGGCCCTTGCGTTAATTACGTCGTTGCTCAATTTCAAAGATTGATCAAGCTGCATCATTTTCTTGACGATACAGATTCATCTCTTCTTCGAAAAACGCTTCTTGGAAATTTTATGATTAAAAAGGAATAAGGCAGAATTAATTTTTACTAGCTTAAATTTAATTTATTAAAGTGCAAGCTGTGATCCTAGCTTTCTCTTCTTATGTGAATGAGAATGATTATTATGCCTCCAAGAAATCACAAAAAGAAAATTTTTTCCAGATTCCGAAATCTTACCACGAAAAATTTACGTATTCGAAATTTATGCACGACGAAGACCGACTTTCATTTGAAAAAATTGTTGAACAGGAGAAACTCGAAATATGTAGAGCCTCCAAAATACCGGGACTAAGATTGGCGGTCGCGTTTACGTCAATGATGAAATCAGCAATCCAGGACTTTTCTCCCGAAATTTTTTGGCGAGTAATCACATTCAAGATCTTGCTGACGAAGTGATTCATAAAATACAACGACGTGGCGTTCTCGACAGTCACCTCCTAGACTTTGCGTACGCAAGGAATGGCATTCAGTTATTTCTTTAAACAGAATGAAATTCGTTCTTGAATTTCTTACTGATCTTTTATTGAATGCTTTAAAAAGTCCTTTTTTCGGATCGTATTACAGTCATAAAGAGACGCAGTCTCTCGAAGAGTCACTCAAAAATGTAATCGAAGAATTAAAGGAGAATGAACTGAAACTGGAATCAAATATTGGAACAATCAACGCAAGAATATTTGACTCGATTTCAAATGTTACAAAGACGATTCGTGCCCCTTTTGACCAGGAAACCGTTTCCTGGATACTTGATACGCAAATGAGTCGTTATAAAAAACTCACGACAGTGGCTCATTGTTTTTTGCAGCGGACAAATTTGTGCAGTGGATTAGGTAATTTTAAATTATCATTGTTATCGCAAACATTTAATTATCATATTTTGTACAATTAGAGCTTCTCAATTCACTTTTTCTTTCGCGGATTTACTCAAAAATCCGTGTTATTCCAAGCCTTATTTTTCGGATTCTCGCCGTAAAACGTGAATTTGAAAGGCCCGAAATTGGAAGCCCTGACTGTAAATGATATACGTTGGTTTTCTATAAAAATGAATTTAGACTTTCACACCGAGCAAATCTTTGTGGGGTTATGCAAAGGATCCCAAACGTCTTTCCCCAAAGATGGTGATAAAGAAACAACAAGAATCTGTGAAGAAATAGTACGAAATGGACTTTTTGAAGTCCATCATGCGAATGTGCTCCCTTATAGTAATGAAAAAACGCTTCTTGGTCTAAAGATAAATTGTAAATATTTTTATTCATTTTCGCCGGTTAATTATATTTACAGTGAAAGTATCTTTTCCGATCGGACTTACCCGGTTTCATCGCGTTGAAGTGCAATCTCGAGGCCGAATCGCCGGAAAAAAATTCGAAAAACCAGATTTTGCGGGCTCCGTCATAATTAAAAATCATATTGATGGAAAATTTAACACTTTCAAAAGAGAGAGGTATGTTTTGTGAGTTGACCATTCTAGTCAGTTTTAGTTGCCGTCATGGATTTGGAAATTTGAATTTCTTGTGCCCAGAAAATAAGATGCTTGATGGAATCGGGCGACACTCATTAGCCAGAATCAAGCAACAGGAAGTCTCAATCGGAAGAGCTCATTCACTTGAAACAGAAATTTGCTTTGAGGCTGGAATCGGAGCTTTTGCAATTGACAGATCAGTAGAACCCCCTTTCGTATAATGGATTCGGGTGAATATATTTCGACGACATAATCTTAAAATCTCGTTCAGATGGAGTTGTCTGCTGCGAGAGAAGGCAATCACCGTACGCAATTATTGTTGCTAGTCGAAATATGACAATTCCACCGATTTCAAATGATTATGAGATTGAGTTTTCTCTTACAAATTCATATCAGTTCGAATTATTAATGAAAGAAAATTACGGAATTCAACATCAAATCTTGTCAATAATTGATAATGAGCTGAATCTTACCTCTTTAGAATTTACGGCGCTTGATGAATTTGCAAGCACGTATAAATTTGTAGGTTTTCAAATATTCTCGCCGGGATACTGGCAAAAATTAGTCGCATGTTTGGGAAATAAAACTATCTCATTTATTTTACTTCTTTGGATTTCTCTCCTTCTGCTTAGTCTGATTCTTATAATTCAAATCTGGAAAAAATCGCCTTTTGTATTTATTGTACTCGGTTTCCTTTGTTTAGTTTGTTTTGGCTCATTTTTTATTTAAAATACTGTTGTTTTTGGCAAAAAGATTTTTTTTTAATTCATATTTAAGGTTAAGACAATGCTTTTCTCGAAAATCATTATCATCTTGTTCGGATGTGGATATTTATGGTTAGATAAATCAAGGTTTTTCCGATGATTAATCGATTTTAAGCGACTCTGCTCCAACGGATTTGACTCGAATCGACTTGCCGCTCTCAATTGCTGGAGAAACAGTCTTTCAGCTTGAAAAACATATACTTTCCTATCTATTTGATCCAAAATTTCTCGCAATTTTAGTTTTTGCTTGTCTTGTGCGCTGGATAAATAACAACATCAGATTTATAGTTTTTGTCATAATTATCTTTTGTGTTGAAAATATTTACAATAGATTCTCTGCTTTCATGTCTGAGAAATAAATTTTTTTTTTCTGCGAATTCGTTTGTTTATTGTTTTTCTTTCTTAATATCTTGATTCAAAAAAGATTGGTGATGGCTGTCGTTCTGGGAATAATTTCAGCATTGCTGATTTTGATACTTTTGACCTCATATTTTTTGAGCGCTCTTTTCGTTTCCGGTTATCGTCCGATCGGGCCAATCGTCGTGATGCAAGGTTTTCGAATTCGACTTGTTCTTTCATCAACCTCGTTCTTTAGATACTCCAAACTTCTTTCAATGCTTAAATTGTGGCGAGTTTAGAAGCAGTGAGAACGACGATCACTTTGCAGAATGCACTGGTATATAATAAATCATTCAAATCGTTTAAGGACCCCCCCCCCACGTCAAGTGATTTAGGAACTTTTTGGCTAAAAATGCCGGAAATCAGCGGCAGAAAGAAATCCAATTAAGGGGACTTTCTAGAGACCGATGACCAGGTTCGTGAGGACCAGGTTCGTAGGGCAAGGTTCGTTGGAGCCATGTTTGAAAAATGGTTCGAGTGACTAGGTTCGTGGGTTTTTAAATAGTAAAGATTTCCGTCAGTAATCGAAATGAGTTGTTGACTAGGTTCATAGGACTAGGTTCGTGTGACTAGGTTCGTGTGACTAGGTTCGTCTGAATAGGTTCGTGAGTTTTTAAATAGTAAAGATTTTTGGTCAGTAAAGGAAACGTGTTTGACTAGGTTCGTGAGACTAGGTTCGTGGAATTTGGATTTTTATATACTCACATTTGGTTTAAATCCCACATTTTGCTTATTCAAAAACCCACGAACCTAGTCCCACGAACCTAGTCAAACACGTTTCCTTTACTGACCAAAAATCTTTGCTATTTAAAAACTCACGAACCTAGTCAGACGAACCTAGTCACACGAACCTAGTCACACGAACCTAGTCCAACGAACCTAGTCCTCACGAACCTAGTCGTCATTCCCACTTTCTGAGACTAGTAAGCTTTCTCGGTTATGCTGCAAAAATTATACTTTGAAAAAATTTTGCAGCGACATATTTTTTGCTTTGATGACCCAAATTAAGAGACTTTTTTCGAAAATTTTGGATCAAAAAGAGTCCCTTATTTTTGACTCCGACCGTTATACAGAAGAATGATTCTCAGAACTAATCAAATCCATTTGTTAAAATCGTCAAACTTGACAGGGGGTCCTTAAATAAAATTAAGGGATCACTTGCCGAAAGTGTAAAAGGACATTCACAGGGCCCGAAAATTACAATGAACATTTGGTTTTCGGTTGCGCTCCGAAACGGTATGCAGCTCCACAAACAATAATTATGCCAGCAAAAAACAAATCTAAATGTACGTCATTAGATATTTCGCTTGTTTTCAATTATTTGTAGCCCGTCAAGGTCACAAAATGAAAAGAACCTGCCCATACTGTCTTCAAACGATGTCGCAAAATGAATATTATCGGGAGCATAAACAAAAATGCTTTGGAATTGTCTGCATGGCCTGTAAAACTACCGTTCCGATCACCTTATTTGACCGTCATTCGATGATTTGCAGAACTAATTTTTCGAAAAATCCATACTCGTCTTATCAGAAGAAGGACATAGAGGATATATTGGCTGATGATGAACGAATCAGCACTGAGAATGATAAGACACCAGAATATGACAGTGCAAAGCGAAGAAAATCTTATCAAACAAAAAAACGCTCACTGGAAGCTTCGGAACTCGAGACAGAGCTGACTTTACAACTGTCCCAGGATAACAATGATGACGACATCTCAGACAAGATAAAAACGACAGTTGCGCGAGTTCAAACAATCCTTGATCCATTGGATCCTGAAACGAGACATTGCGTTGAATACGCGCTAAATCTTGTACCATTGGAAGTAATCGGCGGCCTGATCGAAAAAATTCGTAATCATGATGTCTCGAGACGTATTCTAGCGTCACTTATCCCAGAAACCCCTGGACCTCTTGTCAAAAAATTCATCATGAGAAGTTTCGACTCTATTGGCGTTTCTCGCTTTAGGGTTCAAACGGCAATATCCGACCGAGAAAAACTCCAAAATGGCCCTGACTGTCCTGATCTTCGCAAAAAACGTATTGAAACTCTTACAGATGATGAAAAAGAGGCCTTAGTAAAAATTTGGTACGCTTCGTCAACTCCAGTTGTTGGAAAGCAATCGATGATGATAATCGACCCATTAAAATGCACTCCGTTGCACAAACGCTTTTATGATCAGTATGGGAGAGTTTGACAAAAATCCAATTTGAAATTCTTAGATGAAATTTATATCAACAGGCAAGAATTTTTACAATTTATTTAATTTGTCAAACTTCAAAAGTGCGTTTTATGAGGAAAAAAAAATTGGTCAGAAGAGCGCTCAAATTATGAGGGTTCAAAAATATGTTCTTTGTAAAAGTTTGCCGGAGATCTACGCTGAAGTTAATGAAATTTCTTCAAAATTCACACCATACTTAATTAACAAGGAAAGGCTTATAATAGTTTTATGCAATTTCTTATAATTGAAAGACAGACTTAAATAAGCTATAAAAGGTCAGACCGAAAAATATTATAACAAGATCTTCCGATCATTTCTGGCAGCACCAATGTCTTTGCTCGAGTTGCACAAATGCGGAGGCATCTACAGTGCATCTCAATCAAATTATCCGTGAAAATTTACCGCAGGAATCTCGGTCCTCTCATAAATGGATTACAGTGTCTTCGATTCTGGAAAAAACTGTCTGCGGAACAAATTCTTTTGAGAATATTATGTGCGCAGACAGCAAAAAATACTCAAGTAGGTTTGTTTTCATTTTCTTGTTTAAAATTTTTACAAGGCTGCTTCGCTCACTCAACTCAGCAAAATGGTTGTGTTAAATGTCATCACAAATGCTCTTCGAAGTCAGTTGAAGAAGCAATCAATGACCTGCTTAAAAACGTGCAGACTACTGGAAAGATCTATCGACTACCACATTTTCGATCTGATAAAAAGGCGCATGGAAACACTCTTTGGATACCGAGAGGCTCCGAGGAATGCATGATGGATTTCAGAAGAGCGAAAGAATTTTGCATTCAAAGCTTGTCAGAAATCCAAGCTCATTGGTTTGACAAGGTTCATGCAAAAGAGAACAAAATTATCTGCCGGGCTGGGGATGTGGAGATTGATCGAAAATTCATTTATGTTGAGGTTTATCTTAAATTAGTATCAGATCATTTAAACTTAACTTAGTTCGATTATGGCCGATCATTTACACTTCTTCCTTCAATGCGAACTCAAGGACAGTATTTGGTATTGATTATTAGTTAGTTAGTTAAATCAAACTTAATTTCAGAACACTCGACCAATCGCTCCGTTAACATATCTTTTCACGATTTTCGATGATCTTACCGAATCCTGGAGACGATTTGTCATCCATGGTATATCTCAGAAGAAGTCAACCAGTCACATAAAAGATCTTGAAACCATTGCTTTTCGTAAAGCTTCTGACGAAGGTATCGACATTGCGGACAAACATATCGTTATTTGCTCAGATAACTCAGGAATGGTCATAAAATTTTCAGCTGTGATTTATAGGAATGACGACTTAGCTCGTGAAGACTAGGTTCGTGGGACTAGGTTCGTGGTTGGTTCTGCCAGAGTATTGAAATCGGGCTATATTTTAGGGCAGTAAGGGAAATGGGTTGATGACTAGGTTCGTGGGACTAGGTTCGTGAGTTTCTAAATGGTTAAAATTTAAGAGCAGTAAAGGAAATGGATTGATGACTAGGTTCGTGGGACTAGGTTCGTGGGACTTTGTTCGTGTGAGTAGGTTCGTGAGTTTTTAAATAGTAGAAATTTACCCTTGTCTTCACGAACCTAGTCCCGAGAACCTAGTCATCAACCCATTTCCTTTACTGACCGAAAATCTATACTATTTAAAAACTCACGAACCTAGTCACACGAACCTAGTCATCAGCCAATTTCCCTTATTGCCCGAAAATTTTTGCAATTTAAAAACTCACGAACCTAGTCCCACGAACCTAGTTATCAACCCATTTCCCTTACTGTCCGAAAATGCCGACGATACAAAAAAATCCATATAAAATCATATTTCCACGAACCTAGTCACACCAATTATTTTCTCCGACATGGCACCTACGAACCTAGTCTAACGAACCTAGTCCTCACGAACCTGGTCATCCCTCTCTGATTTATCGATGCGAACCGAATTGTGACCATATTTAAGGATCAGAATTTAAAAATAAGTATTCCTTGGCGATGCTTCGGAATCTGAGAAGTTCGACGATACGCTTTAAGGCTCCAGCCCACGGAAAGATTCGGTGAAATTTTTTTTAATTGCCTGTTCTTAAGGTTTAGACTTTCGATTTCAATTTAAAATCCAAATCTTTGAGTATCATTGATGCCTACCATTCTATGGTTCCTGCAACCGCACAGAGACTGAACGCGCGTGATGAGGGGCTTGATATTGATTCGTTGATTTGCGGACTTGAATTGGAAGAAGAACGACTCAAGAACGAAAGGCCTGAAGACACATATTTCGAGAGATTCTTTGTTAATTTGGACAATTATCCAATTTTGCCAAGGGAAGAGCTCATTGGATCATTCCAATGCCGTCGTGTCAGAATGGCAACTTGGAACAGCGACAGGCAGAAAGTGGTCTTAACCAACACTATCTGCAGTCCTGATTGCACGCAATGCAACAGTGGAGAATTCGAAAACTGCAAAATATACGATCATTCTGTTAGTGAGCGAGTTGTCGAATATGTTCGTGAAGATCCAAAGAAAAATCAAACCAATTATCTTCCAAGTCCTCCAGCAAAAAAGAAAAAAAGCACATTAATTGAAGAATTCAAAAGCTTATTCACTGGAAAAGAGACTGAAGAAGAAAACGAAACTGAAGAGCAGATTGATGACAGATCGACTCAGCGACGAAATGTCTATGAAGAGGAGCCTAAAAAAATCTTATCCGACTCTCAAACATGGACTGCCTTATTCAGTCAACAAATTCGTCTTGCCTCAATTGAAAATCGACAATCGAGCTGTTTCTCGAAAAATCGAAGGAATGAAGCGAAAGAATGATCTTGAATACAATCGTCAGATAACCGCGAGAAAAAATTCCTTCTACAAAAATAAAACATATTTTATAGATCAGAGTTCAAAATCAAGCATTCTTAATGTCTTAATTTTCTCTCAATCTCCGTTTTCATAACTTCAAGAATGCCATTCTGAACTCTGAGAAAGATATCTTCAGTCATCTCGTCAAAAACATGAATGATCAGCAGTCAGATGATGTCTTGATTGTGGATCCCAACATTACCAGTGCAATTCTTACGTCTTTTCAACAGGATAAATCAACGATTTTGGAAAGAATAAAATTTTTTTATCCGACGTCCGCGCGAGAATTCAAAAGAATAATATTCACATTTCTTCTGAACGAAAATGCACATAAAGACCGAAAATTTATCGCATCAGGAAGAAAAGTTGGTCATTTCTTTGCTGTTGGACTCTTACGAGACTCTCAGAAAATTATTCTTCGCGATCATGTTCCCGACTCTCCGGATGATTATTGGCACTATCGTATGATGACCTCATAATTTAAGTATAAAAATTTTAAATTTAGTTGGAAAAATCCTCATTGAAATCTACGACTATCTTTGGAATACCGAAGTCGAATGCATTTTACCGCCATTTACTCCACAATACGATAACGATTGCGGTCCTTTGGCTTTAGCCAATTCTGAGATGCTCGCGACAGCAAATATCGAACAATTAATTAACAAATATACTTTTTCTGCAGAAGATTTTATTGAACTGCGTAAAATTCATCGTTATTTCTGGGCCGAAAATATCTACCATTGTAATGATTATTTCAAATAAAATAATTGCTTATAAATAATTTGAAAATTTTGTTCTCTACGTCAAACAGGAATATTAGAAATAAGCTCACGTGACTTAAAATGTTCGAGAATTAAGGGTGTCGAAGGGTCGCCTCTGACAAAAGATGAAAAAATTTAAATTCGTAGTTTTGTCACAGCTACCGGAAGAAAATTGGTAAAAGTCGAATTTGAAGTATCATTTGAAGCGATCGTGGGGATTTATAGATTATAAATTTACTTTGATGCCAAATTTATGTTACAAAATAAGGATTGATTAAAAACTGGACGAAAAATCAGATGTTATTTATGAGCGGAAGAAACCTTAACTGACGCAGAAAAAAAAACGAAGTCGATGATGACACCCTTAAATCTAACAAAAAATCAAATTTTTGGATGAGATTTTCGCGGGCACTGATTTTTCCCTATTTTTGTCCGATTTTTGTTGCGTTTAAACGAGCTGTTTGACGCCCGAAAAGCCTGATCGCTCGATTTGTCCAGAATTTCACTCTGATTGATTCTGAAGTCAGGGATGATTGTTTTTTGCACTGATAAATCAGCCTTCGAACCAGTGAGCGAAATATGATTTTCACAAGTTTTTTTCGCTAAATTGATTAATTTGTCTTTATCACGCTTTCTACGTTTAATTTTTTTAACCAAATAGCAAAAATTTGGAAAATTTTGAGTTAGAAAATCTAAATTATAATACTTATCTGGAAGCTTGAATGGCTCCATTCTCTGAATCATTTCTAGCGGCATTCCTGCCGTTTTGGCAATTCCTCCATGATCCATTCTCTTTTTCACTTGTGCTTCTGCGATTTCTTCTTTCTTCTTTTCTTCATCAGTTTTCTTTTGAATCTCCATTTTTAATATTTTGCCTCTTTCGAAAAAAGATTTTCGATTTCTGAGGGTTCAAATTTTACGCATCAGTTGACAATTTGCGCTCCAGGACATCACAAGTTCAACCTTTCAAGGGTAGAACATCAAATTGAAGCGGCGCGCCTCGCTCGATGAGCGCCCCGCTGTGACCTATTTTTCAGATTGCTGTAATTTCTGAATTATTTTATGTTTTCCATCGAGCTTGTTTTGAGAAGCTCGAGTTTCAAAAATTTTCCAGTTGAGAGAATTCTAGCAGAAAATTCCGACGACGATCTTTTCCACGCTTTTGAAGAAAGATACCCCCTGACAATGAGCTTGAAGAAGTGATGGAAATCAAAATGGTCAAAAACTTCATCATGTACCTTCAAGACGTTCCCCGATTCGGAAAGCACTTAAACAACGGCTGCCACTGCTTCAAAGATAACGGAAAGGATTATTTGAAAAACGCGACTTTTTGAAAACCGCAAGATAGATCAAATCAAGTTTGCCAAGATCATCAAAAGTGCCATCATTCGATTATGGGCAAAATCACGAGTGAACTTTCAGGGTATTCGGGGGGCATAAAATGAGTGAAAACTGCAGAGGAAGCACTCTTTGGAGCTAATTTATTCATCAAATGTGTACGCTCCGAGTTTCATAAACGAGCCCTTCCTCGCTCAATCATTTTAATAAGCTAAGTCAATCTGAATCCTCTCAAATCCATCATTCAAATTTATTTTACACAATTCTGCGGTTTCTTCTTCAAAGATTGTGTATTTAGCCGCTACCAGATGCCCAGAAGATCACAAAAAATGAGCACCAAACATATCTTCTTTCCAGGAAAAAATTGAGGAAATTGGATTTTTTGCGTTTTATCTTTGCCGGGTTTTTTTGAAGGGAGGAACATTAATCGATGGGCCCTTTTTGTACTTTGGAGGATAAGAGTCGAGTCGCTCAATTGATCAGTACTTGATTGAATTTCAAGCTTTAGGTGTTTTTTTGAGAGAAAATTCCTTTTTGATGAGCTAAATACATCTACTGTAGCCGCTAGATGTTTGCCAATAATTTTAATCATGTGGAAATTCCAGCAAAGTTGAGAAACTGGAAGAGGAGCTAAACAAGAGGTCGATTGAGGATGATAAAGGTCAAAGCTGGCTATTTCGAAAGCGAAATTGAAGAGGTTTAAAGCTGAGCGTGAGAAGTTAGGCTCGCTTTTGAAGGAATGCACGATGAACATGCAACTTGTTGGCGTCTTTAACGTTGGGAGCGAGATTGGCGAGAGTACCAGTCGGTTCAGCATTTTGAGCAGGCATTGAAGCGGTCATATAATTGACCTGAGTGTTATGAGTAGCTGCGACTTGCATTTCGCAAATGTTATCTTCATTTCCATCAAATAGAAAAACAGAAATTGAAATAATAATGATTGTCTCACTGTAGATTCTACACTCATTTGAATCAGAAAAGAACGGGGATCATTTTAAGATAAAATTCGTAAGGGAGAATCGACATCGACTTTTTTTTTTGGCGAGCCTTATTCTACAGTATAAATAAAAAATACACAATTTTAGTTTATAACTGTAGTTAAATTAATAAGTTTACCTAATTATCGAGTACTTTCTTAGAAATAGTTAATTGAAAGAAAAAATTGAGCTCTCTCAGCGCTGGGCTAGGCTTGCGGGCGGACAGCGCCGCCGCGCGGCCGCCGCGCTGTTACGTAATCGCCGTGTCGCCGATTTTTGTTTTTCTCTTCCATCACATAACTTCCATATCCGACGTCCGATCACGCTCAAAACTCGAAGCGAGCTTCTCATAGTCACGATAATCTTCCTCGAAAAAAAATTTTTGAAATTCATCAATGCGCCTGGCCTCTAGGGCGTTATCAAATTTTGACCTTTGACCTAGCGTGTAATCAACAACGACTGCCCAAACTCACTATTTTTGTTTTTCTATCGCTTTTTCATGCCCCTTTCAACAAACTTATCAAAATATAAGACTCAACTGATGCAAAGGACGAGATTTTGCAATTCTTGCAAATTTATATTTACACCACCCAATGCTACCTACATTGTTTGGATCCTTCAGGCTGCCGAAAAGATGCAACTGGCCATTTACAAGAGCAGGCTTCGATTGATCGATAGAAAATGCAGAGCTATCTGGAATAAGTATTTTTTCATCGTCATTTCTGAATCCATCACCAAAAAGTGCATATTGTTCGGGTCGTTTGTTGTTTTCATGCAAAATAACATTTATCTGACTTGGTCCATTTTGAAAGAAAAACACATTTTTAATTTCGCTTTCGTTGTCAAATTTGAGGAGTTTTATTCTTTTTTCGTCCATTTTTCTTAGCTCCTTCATTTTTCGTTTTGTTCCTTCGATTTTGAAAAGCAAAAAGTCGTCTTTGACTTCGAAAATAAACTCAAGAGAGAGCCAGTTGTCGTTTGAATTTGTATCCAAAATAATGGATTCGTGAAAAAAATCCGACGATATTTTCATCGAACTGTTTTTGAGCAGATCAATTTCAAAGATGGACTTTTCGTTGAATGATCGAAACTCGAGGATTTTAGCCGCTTCTTGCAATTTTGAGTTCTTCTTCAAAGAATCAAAAAATTATTATAAACCGCTTTTGCACAAAAATTGGGCGTAACTCTATAGCGCCGCCTAGAACCGCCTTGTGCCGCCCATTGCCGCCCATTGCTACGGACCGGATGGAGCAAGGAGGCGCTATTCAGTTTTGACCCTTTCCTTGATTTCAAGATTGAGCTTCTGCGTTTCATTAAAATCAAGCTCGAATGAAGAAATGTGGAACAATGCCTCATCGAAAGACCCGAATGGATAATCCGGAATAATCGCCAGTGGATACGGCGGAGACAAACTGCTAGCTTATTTAAAGGCTCAGAAATTGTTAGAAAGGACCGGTAAACTAGCAGTACTTCTGATCCTTAGCTGAAAGTGGAAATTTGCGAATTATACCAACTGCGTTTTTCGCGAAATTGGGAAAGACATCATCGTGGAATTTGAAAAAGGGGTTGCTTGTTACGAGCATTTTTTTCTCTGCTCTTTGTTGCTGAAAATCGAGCTCAATTTTATCTTTTTCGGGGATCGCAAGAGGATTTTTTCCGAACAAAATTCTTTCAATATGATCCTTTCCGAAATCGAAGTATATTTCAAAGGTTGTATCAAAGACGATGTTTTGAAGATAAATCCGGTCATTATTCTGAAATGCATTTATAAAATACTCGCACTCATCGTTGTTCGTTCCAAATTCATTCGAGTACGCAAAATCCTTCGGCGCAAAAAGTCCAGAATAGCAACGCGACTCTTGTTCGTACTTGATCAGATTTCCGATCCATTCATTTCCGAGCGTCAGAAATTTCCCTTCTTTTTCGAGTAACAAAGAATATTGCATATTCGAAAGTCCAATGCTTCTCGTTACAAGGACAAGCATCAGCTGACCAAGATCGATCTTTTAGGATTCTCAAAAAAATTTTTCTCTGAAAAAAAATTTTTCTCTGAAAAAAAATTTTCTCGAATCCATTCCAGAGGAATCACGTGCACGGGGTCAAAGTCCCGGAACATTGCTGGAAGGGCGACCTTATCCTTTCGCCAGCCTTTTTCCAACTGTTCCGTTGATCGAATTGAGTTAAGCGCGATCGTTCTCGAAAGAGTTATCCAGTTTGTGCCGAGCCTCATGCTCATCAGGAAGAATATGCCGCGGAAGCTGATTGAAGACATTCGAGCGTTGAAATGATTGCTTGCGATATAACCTGGAACGAATGAAACAGCTGAAAAGTACGATTTTTACCTTGGGCGGTTTCGAATCTATTTAAATTATAATCAGGCGCATAATAATAGCATTTATCTGGGCGACTTTTCGGAGAACTTTCAAAGGTCGAAATTAAAACAAAGATAAAAATCCTGAAATAATATTCGACCGTTTTCAAATGACAACAACAGGAAAGACAGTTGTGTTTTTCTCCTCATTTCTGATTGTTATATCGTGGGTTCCTATGGAAGAGCTGTAATGAAAAGCGAAATTTCCCGTTCTTCAAAGACTCGTTAGCCCTGCAAATAATTAATTCATAAAACCTGGCATAAAAACGATTTTTGACAATTAACGAGATTTTCCCATTCTCTCCCAGTCTAATCAAGCTTCCTCTTTGATCGACCAAGTAATGTTCTCCGTTAAGAAATGCAGCACCAATTGCCTTTTTTGCTGTTTAATCTTTGTCTACTTAGAATATTCGCTTTTTGAGCAAAATTAAGTGTACGAAAAAGAAAAGAAAAAACTTTCATAATGCTTGAAATCTTCGAAATGATCGCCTGCTTGAATGTCGATGCTTTGTTTGTTGGTTTTTTGGGTTCCCGAAGGATCAAACAGTATAACAGCGTCATTCTTGATTCTTTCTGTGCTTTCATCCCTCCGCTCGATTGATCGACTGTAATCACGCTTCTCCAAATCGAAGACAGGGACGAATTTTTGGTCTTTATCCGTCCTTTCGCATTTATAAAAGGGACACGGACAGCCATTTATGCAATACTTTTCAGTCGGGCAAACATCTCCAGCAGAAGCGAACGATCGCGTCAGTTGAAAGCAAATTGATTCACATGGTGAAATCGGATGAGTCCTCATTGATTTCAAAATCAGCGTGTTTGAGCAAAGATGGCGGCACACTTTTTGGTCGTAAAATTTTTTCTTTCGGCATCGGCGGAAATTCACTCTGTTGTCTTCTTCGGTAAATGCTTCCGAATCGATGGGGCTTGGTTTTATAAGGGAAACTGGCTCTGGAAGTATAAACTCTTTTGTTTGGTGGCATTTCTTCATCAGATGGCCGCAGATGTCAATGGATTCAAATTGAACACATCGCTTGTAGTTTCGGTGGCAAGTTGAGGTCAGAAAAGTCGTTACACTTTTTGATTTCTCCAAAGAGACGAAATTCGCTATAATTATGACTGTAAGCCAAAAGAGAGAACCAAAAGTCAAATAATTTGATATTTGAATATTCGTGGCAAAACCATGCTTAGCAAGGGTCATTGATTTGGTGACCTTTTTCTTCCATGTTTTCTCCTTCTCTAAATCAGCCTGTTGTGTGTGGATGCTCCGGGTAGAGAGAACTTCCTCTGTGAAGAGAACGACCTTTCCGCCGACTTTTCGCAAAGTTCCGAAGCATTGACAATCCAAACACTTATTTTCAATTTATCTTTTTTGAAAGGATTAATCGTTTTCACACCTGTATTTTTTCCTGAAGGGATTAAATTTACTCTTTTAACGCATTTTGAGAGCAATCGGGTTTACCATTCTGAGTCAGAATTTCTGAAGTTCAAACTGTGAACCCGATCCATTGAATGAAATAATAAGAAAAAATAATAAAAGATTTATTGACCAAAACAGTTTTAGGCATAAGAAACAGTAAAATCTCGGGAGCAGACTTCGAAGAACTCAAGATTGTCCTGATAATCTCGTTTATTGCCTCTGTAACACATTCTGTAATTGCCCGAATTCACCGGTCGCCTAAATAAGAACCGTTCTCTCAACTTAAAATATTTCGTATGATTACCTGTCAGAGTCGAGAATGAGCGAAATGGCCACAAGCGATGATCCATGAGATTTTTCCCCGCCTCTCGGGCAATAAATCCCCCCTGGCTGTTCATCAACTGGATAAGTGATCTCTTCCATGATTTCACTCAATTCTTTTCCTTCTTGATGCGCTAGAATTGCCTTTTCGAAGTCAAATTTTCTTCCCGTCAGAGTGCCGTAAAAATTGTTGATTCCAGAGAAAATGCCGAACTTGTCGAATTCCTCGCCTTCCATTTCTTTCTCCCTCGTCATATTTGTTGAAGGATCTTTTGGCACCCAGTCCCATAAGAATTCCGTTTCCCAGTCATTTCCTTAGTAAAAATCTCATTATCGAATCGACAAAGACAAGGACAATACCGGTAAATGCAATCGATCCATCATCAGCATTTTCAATCCAAAAATGATCTTGGCCACCTTTCAGATTCCTAGAAAAAAACTCAAGAATTTACACACGATCTTCTTTTACCTAGGATTAGCACCGACAACCTCCATAGTGATCCTGTACTCATGTTGGGCAGCAAAAAACGAGACCAAGTCCTCTGGTTGTTTCAAAATTGTACCGGGCGAGGCGTACATGATACTTTCCTCTGTAACATGTCTGTAGTCAAGATCAGCTCCCGGTCTTTCAAGACATTCGATGAGATTGGTAATTGGCTCTGCAGGAGGATCAGTGGGATTTCCGCATGTTTCGCCAGAGAGCATTTCTCGGGCCATGCAGATGGTTTCCTCGGTATAAGCTGAATTTGAAGAAGAAAAAACGAAAAAGAGGGAATAGTTACCTTGAAGAGTTTTTTCGCCGTAAATCACCGACCCTGCTTCATATCGCTGAGCATTGTACTCTTCAACGGTTGTTATGTAATGAGTGTAGATATTTGACAATCCAGCAATGACGATAAACGGATCGAAATCGACATGCTTTCTTATTTCTTGCCTCAAATCTTCTCTTATCTTTCTTCCTGCCATTGTTGAAAACTCGCCAGGAACAGCTTAAACAAGATAAAATAAAAAAAAAAGAAAAAATGATGTTACAAATTATGAAAAACTCTCCAATCCGATAAAGTCCGAGTTCAATCACGTGAGGGTGCCAGAGATACGGGATATCTGCCCAACCAGTTGGGAGAAGAACAGCTTTTTGTCCATGACACTCGTATTCTGACGGATCTGGTGGATTAGTAGACAGAACATTCACTAGAAAACATTTATTCTATACTTGAACCCCCAAAGCTCACTCAAAAGATCTCGAATTTTGAACCACACCCAATTTTCTCCTTCAAGATTTTCATTGACAAAGTCCATATTGACTCCTTGCTCAAAAAGCATCGCCCCGTGGCCATCAGTACAACCAGCTCCGAAAGGCACTCCCATCGCAGGGGTGCATGTTTTGACAGACGGATCTTCTGCAGATTGCCATTTCGCCATGTTGATAAAGCGATGTTGATAGGAAACCGTAGAGCCAATGCTTGTCATCGGAGAGGATAGGAGGTCTTTTGCTTTCTGAAACTGGAATTTGCTGATGTTGTCTGTCTGCGCCTTCATATCATGCTGATGTAAGTCAAAAAAGAAGGTTTAAAATTGCCTGTAATTTCCTCGTCTATTTTTGACCGACAAAAAGTCTTACTCGAAATCCGAAATCAATTAAAGAAATTTGTTAACCGAGATATTTCTCCTAATTTTCTAGATCAAGTTTCGAGTGTTTCCGGCGCCACGAATCTAAGTTCAAGTTGTCAAATTTTGAACCTTGTCATTAGGCTCATCATTGATAAAGAGGGGACCGTTGTATTTGCCCATCGTGTAGCAGTGCTGATTACTGTAGCCATCGAAAATTTGACCGACGAAAGGAAGGGAGACTGGGCAAAGGGAATGCTCGAATTCGCAGTCCATTCCTTCGTACGCGCCGATTGGGATTCTTTCTCCTTCAAAACGGTTATCAATTTTCTCCGCAATAAAAAACCTTTGTAGTGGCATTTGTGCCCATCAGTGTTCGGGCTGACATCGCCAAGATTCGTCGCTGCGAAAGCTCCAACAAATCCCTCTCCATATTCATATTCCATCATTTTGCTCGGCCAACCCTTGACACAGCCATTTATCAGCGTATTTGACTTGTTCATCGCGACCGGGTGGACGGCAAACCAATTGAATGAGCCAACGAGTTCTTCGGACTGGGAGTCGTAGAAGCCGATGAGTGTCATGTTCTTGTCTGTATCTCCTTCTGGGTACTGGTCGATTAACGATTGAGGGTTTTTGAGATAGGATGAAGGGCTTCGGTTGAGATTTGCGTCGAAAAGTTGGCCGTGGTTTAACTTAAAAACATCAAATTAAGAAGAAAAATCTTTCTTGTTTCTTGCCTTGATGTTCCTGAAGCTTTTAAGCCCCAAAATCTGATCGGAGGCATCTCTATAGGCCATTTTTATCGCGTTAACAGTTCCCTCTACCATGGAATCTTCAGTATCCTGGATAAATCCAGCCGATGGAATTTGAAACGTAAAGTATTCAAAATACCCCGCTGGGCCAGAATGAGTGTGCGTGCCGCTGATGATGAGTTGTTCCATCTTCAACGAGATGTTTTCGGCTTCAAGGGCTTCGATCACTTTTCGTTTGTGGCGAAGAGCGCCCATGCCGTTGTCGAGAGAGCAAAAGACGAAGCCTTCTTCGCCGACGTTTTGCGCCCAAAAGCATCGCGCGAAAAGTCGTGAGTGATAACCCGTGGACTTCTGCCTTGGGTCCGCGTAACCCATCATTGCCACCTGCACCACGGGCCCTGTTATGTCCCCTTTTCCGACTCCAACAGCCAGGCGCTGGGAGAAAACCGCCCCGAAAAGGGTGCAAAAAAGCGCACGCATTCTTATTCTCTCTTCTAGCTCTGGCGAAAACGCCCTCGGGGGCGTGTGTTTTACCCGCCGTTATCAGTTTTATTTTACAGCGCCGTATTGAACAAGCGGTAGATTTTGAAGAGAAGATAAATTTGCCAAATGCGATGGGAAATATGAAAATTGCTGACGGATTGATAGACATTGAAATTGCTTCAAATTATTTTCAATTGTCTTTCCTTCTGAGTCAAAAAGCGGCTACACTTGATCATCTACGATGTTAATTTATTAGCAGCGTTAGTTCTGGGGCACAGCAACTGTCATCTTGAAACTTCGCGAGGGTAACAGGCTCGTCGAAGTTGTTATTGACGCATTTAGCGTATTCCAGATCACCGATAAATCGGCCGTAGCGATCGCGAACTTCTTGGAGGCCACAATCGCAGAAAAGAGGATTCGACTGGAGCAGGATTTCCGTCGTTTTCGGGCAGAACGAATCGTTGCACTCGTCCGTCGAAGGGCCAAACACGGAAATCTAAAGAATGCATCATTTTTTGAAAGGGACTGAAATTTTACCCAGTCGTCAAGAATCGTGAACAGCTCATTATTTCGCAAATCGATGATGTTTCTTCCTCCTGGAATCTGAGGAACGTCCGATCCGAAGTTTTTTAAGACATTTGGCATGATATCACTAAATTCTCCTTGGCTCTAGAAATAATAATTAGAACAAACTTGATCAGATTGTCTCGTAGACTGAGTTCTCGGCAGTTCGACAGACCCGAGAAAGCATGATTCTGGAGATTGTCTATCTGAAAACGGCTTGTTTTTCTTATTTTTTCGATAATTTCTTACAATATTGGAGCTGAGATCAAGTTTCTGAAGATTATGAGCGTTGTTGAAAGCGCCAGTTCGAACAGTTTCGATTTTGTTCAAGCTGAAAATATATTACGTAATCACATATAAATTGAGAAAACCTGAGGTCAAGAATGGCCAGATTGTGGGCGACATCAAGGAATCCTCGTTTTGGGATGCTCTCGATTCGGTTTGCTTGAAAACTCGCAAAGCTAGAAAACATTTTAGCTCCCCTTTCTCAAATATAACCAACCTCAGAGAGCTGGGAATTCGTATGGTCGAAAGCGAGACCAAAGAGTTGAACGATAAGTCCAATCTTTGAAGCATGCTCATTCTTCTCAGCATCCCCATCGGGAGCCATTTTAATTTGTTATTACTGAGGTCCAACTCTTCCAATTCCGGAAAGCTGTGGCGATTCAAATCTTCGATTTGCTCGATGGAATTGTTGCTCAAATACATGTATTTGAGATCGAGGGATGGGAGTTTCTTGAGAGCGAAATATTCGATCATATTGTTTCGAATGTCAATGAGTTGAATTTGATCTGGAAAGGATTCGGGTGCTTCCGTTAGCTCGCCAGAAATACATTGAACCAGATCTTTTACGGAATTGAAAGTGTTTGAATAATTTTTCTGACATTTTTTGTCTTAGATTCGATCCTTCAGAGCAGGTACAGGACTCCGTGCAATTGAATGCCGCCGCATTTTCCGCAACAAGCCCGAAAAGAGCCCCTGAAAGCTTCATTTATATTTATTTTCTCTTTATCTTAGAGAAAAACAGTGAGCAAACACTTCATCCTTCGCTCGAAAATAAACAAAAATAGCACCTATCACATGTTTTTTCTTCCTGAGCCGTTGTGATCACTGATCATTCAAAATAATCGAAATTTCACCGGAAGAAACCGATGATTCGTGTCTTCTCAAAAACGGAATCAAAACAAGTCTACAAAAATCATGGCGCCCTCCAAGACTCTCCAAATTGGCCAATTTCAGGAACAAGAAGAATGACCTGCTCAGACATAATCATTCCTCCATTTTCGAAAATCTGAATAAGAAATTTTGAAATTTAAATTCAAAATGAGATTTTTTCTTCTTTTTTCTTTGCTTCATTTTTCTTTTTCTTCCGTGGATGATGTTGATATTGAAATGCTCCGAAATCTTTTTGCAGGAGTGTATGTCGAATGCGAGATTGCCCAGATGTGTGCTTGGATCAGCGAGAAATGGTTGAACAAAGAAGGCATTTATGAACAAGATGTCGATGGGCTTTCCTTTGCCGACCCCACCTGCAGTGCGACTGATGTCGGCTCGCTCGAAGGACTCCCAGAAGATCTTCATTTTTGGCTCTGGTGCTCCACTGAAATTCCGGAAGAGCCAGATGCTGAGCACCAGCTTATTGACGGACTAAAGCATTATGATTGCGGAACAGACACTGAAATTCACCAAGGAGAGAATTACCCCGGTATGGAAACTTGGAAAACCGAGCCGCATATTCGGCATAATAACACAATATCGACCAAGGGAAAATGTAGGTCTTTCAAGAGCTTTTTGAGTGATCCCTTTCCAGATATTCTCAAGCAAATCAGCCTTCCTGTCCAGTGCGAATGGCCAACCTCCCTCCCCGATCAAAAACCAGTCGCGATTCTTGTCGACAGCGAGTCCTTCAACCCATCTTATTTCAAAAGCGAAAAAGATATTTCCCTCGAGGTCAATATCAAAATTTTCACGGATGAGTCATTCTCGCAAGCTTACGAGGACACTCCTAATTATTTGCTTGGCCAGAGAGTTTTTGTCCAGATAAGCTTGAAAGAAGATTTGATGGATTCGACTTTTGGGATTGAAATTAAACATTTTTGGGGATCTCCAGGTAACCAGTTTTTTCCCCCTTCATCATTTTTACTCTCAAGATAAATCTGTGACAAACAACATCTACTTTGCCTGGATCAATGAATTCTGCGCGACAGAGGAAGAAATTCGCCCTGTCGAGTCATCCTCGCCAAGTCAGCTTCGTTTCTCTCTCCCCTCATTTCGATTCCACCAACGAGATCCGAAAATATATCTTCATGCATTTGTCAAAGCATGCAAAAAAGAAGAGTGCAAAGCTTTCAACCTCTGCGGATCACGAAGTAAGAGCTTTGCTTCCTTCGAAAGTGATCGGAGAAAACGCAGATCCATCGGGTAAATACAAGCTTAGTTCTTCTCCCGATAGCATAAAATTCAAGAGACTCGAGTCACTCGACAGTGATTTCCATCCCCGTTTCGATCCCGGAAAAAGAACAAGAAGAAACAGCTGATGAAGTTATTCTTAATTGCTATGGCTTTGCCATCGGTTTTGGTGTTCTTTTACTTGGTGCCAATGTTAAGCTTTTACTGTAAAAATAAATATATAAAGATTTTTTACAATGCTCTTCAACTCTATCAAATCTTCAGCAGATCAGCAGCAGATAGCCCAAATGATAGCCCAAATCAGCGTCCACAATCGGCTTCTTAGATCAAATCCAGCAGGTGGCTCTAGAAACCTTGAAATTCGCATTCGTTTAAAAACCCTCATCGATCTTTTCAAATCATAATCGCAAAAAATGGTGAATCTCTTCAACCTTCTCTTGAAACAACAACGACTTCGGCTCAACCAATTCAAAGAGCTCCATGGCCTCCAGAAACTCATTCCCGATCTTCCAGCTCAAACTGACTGCTCGATCTCCGACTTTGACGGCGAAGGCCTCGAAATAAACGACATCTACGGCATGTTCGAGGAAGGATGGGTGATCGCAAAGACACCAGGTTCGTTTTTACACGATGAAGGAGAATGCCAGCGGGCTGATTTTCGCTGGTTCTCGAACTACGTCGCTGAGATAACGCAAACCGAAATCAGGGAAGAACACACGGGAGAATACAAACTCGGCCCCAGAGAAAGAAACAAACAAGGTCGCCGAGTTTATGCAAGAACTGTCTCTGCAGATGACGGAACTGAAAACCTATTTTTCCACGCAGAAGGGGATTTTGAAGAAAACGGCCGCGAAATCAACCTTGACGCGAAACTCTCCGAAGAACTCTACGGCGAAGCTGGAAAGTACAACTTGCGATACCAGGGCACCACCGATGATGGACACGAAATGATCCTGATCCAAGGCTGCCACGCTGGATTCGAGTCGAATATCTTCATTTGCGACGATGCTGACTGCGATATTGAAAGCCGATTTCTCGATATCAACATCGCTACGGGCAAAAATTTCGAAGGCGTTGCGCTCAACTATGTAGACAATTTCAGCTCCAACTGCCAGCATGACAATGCTGATGATTTTTGCGATCCGTGCCATGGAAGAGAGGTTTGTTTCATATAACGCGATATTTATCAAATTCGGATTTTTCCTTATCAAATTTTTAGGACTGCTGGACTCTAATCGACTGTAGAGAAGAATCCATCGTTTACAATAGAGAATACGCCAGCATCGACGACACAACCATCGGCAACGACTTCTTCCTTACAATGGACATCAAGGTCCACCCTCTTAACAGCGTCAATTACCCTCTCTATTGGGACCAATCTCTTGCAACCGGCACACCAATCGTCTACGAGGGCATTTTCACCGTGACGACCGACGATGATGGGGACATTCGACAAGGCAGCAACTCATATGACGAGAATTCCTACAATCTTCTTCCGACTCCATTCAATTACTGCAATCATGGCAGCTCTGGGTCGAACAATGGCTGGTTGCAATGCATCGATGGGCATTATTTGAACGAGAACCAGGGTTCCGGCTGGAATACAGTTTCAACGGCAATTCAGAGCATCGCCGGAAATCGCCGACTTTTCCGACATCTGATGAACGATTTGAGCGGACCAACCGATTACGTAGGAGGCTATGGCGGGCAGACAAGCGGCGACCCTGGAGAACACAGCTTTCGGGAGCTGAGCGGGCTGAAAATCATCGGCGGCGATCCTGGTCCGTCTTTTGTAGCTTTCAGAGGAGAAGTCAAGAACGCACGATTCCAGAAAGGAAGCATGAACAGAATCATGGGACTCGACAGATACTAAAGACATTTCTCCTCCTTACACTCCTCCCTCTCTTTTTTTCAATCCATTCGTTAATTTATTTGATGTTGTAATAAATTCTTTCTAATCATTATTCTAGTACTTCGTTTCATGAAATGGCCGGAGGCTGTTTCAGCCGCATTCGAAGGTTGAACTTCTTGCACAGTAAATAAGGGAGATTTAAACTAATTAATATGGTCTTTCGTAAAAGGCCATTGTTTCTCATTTTTGTATTCTTTACAATTTTATACATTCTAAAAATCCACGATAAAAACCTCGAAAAGCAATTTTTAAAAAGACAGAAAAAGAGAGAAAAGCAAAGGCGAAAGTTGAAACTTCGAAAAAACTCCACTGAAGCTCCGGAGCTCGTTTTGCCATCGAAAATTCTAGAGGCGGAGAAAGAGACAGAAAGCACGGATTTGTCCATTCCAAAAATTATCAAGCGAGCGTATATTTGCTTTCTGCACATTCCGAAGACAGGAGGAACGACTTTCGAGAGCTTCATCACCAAGTAAGAACCTTCTACTTTTCATTCAATGAATTCGGCCCTAGAAATATCACCAACGAAATGCTCCCCGTTCCAAAAACAGAGGGCGGCTACAAAAACGCCAACATCCTGAGTAGACAAAAACATTTCGACTGGACCCAAGTCGAGCTCCTTCGAAAATCGATCTTCGAAAAGAAGAAAGAGCAAATGGCCGTTGTCTCCTTATTTCGCGACCCAGTAGCAAGAGCTGCTTCTCATTTTAATTTTATTAAAGGTCCGTTAGCATGGGCGGCGGAATTGCTCAAAGATAAGACGATAGACGATATGTTCGACGATTTTTCGCTGATGATGGGAACGGGCAAAATTTTTTCTCGATCTTTTTATCAAAAAAAATTGATTATTTATGCCTTGGAAAGAAATTCGGGGAGTTTGGCAAGATGGAATGGCCGCGGCTCATTACCTAGCCGGTACTCATATCGGATCGAGTTGGGTCTTGCACGATTGGGACAAAGAAAAAGACATGAAGTCTCAAATCCGAGACTTGGAAGAACAAACACTCGATGTTGAGACAATCCTTGAAAAAGCAACAAAGAACCTGGAAGCGTTGGATTTCATCGGAATCACGGAAAACTTTGAAGAATCGGTGAACATGTTCAACTATCAGTTTCCGAATACGCATAAGAAGAAAGGTCGACCTGAGCACCATGAGAACGAACGACAATATGAGGAAGCAACTGACGAGACGAAGGATAAGCTCCGGTAAGTTTTGAGAGGAAGGAGGTGTCTTGGATGAGTGGCACGTGAAAATTTGTTCTGGTGAGAAGAGTCCTAGGTTGTCTGTTTTTTTGATTCTTCAAGCATGACTCATGCTTCAAGCTTATTTTTTAAATATTTTTCAACAATTTTAAGATCTTTAATGCCTCTCGATGTTTGGCTGTACGAATACGCAAGGAACATTTTCAACGCTCGACTCCACTATCTTCTGACAAACGAAAAACAAACTCCAGTAAAGCCGCCACCTCCCGAAGTTCTCTGCAAATCGACCCGATTCGTACTTGCGTGTTCGGGAGGACCGCTCGAAAAATTTGTCTATAAATGGCCGAGGCTTGATAAAATTGAAGATGAAGAGGAGAGACTGAAACAAGAAGAATATTTTAAAAACTGGAAAAATGAAATTGAAGCGCTCTAATGATTATTCGAGCCAAAATTTTGCCTTTTACTTCGTAAAAATGGCCTCTAAAAGCAAGCAAAGTCATTTCAACAAGAGCAAGCTTGTCAAGTTTGAGCCCTGCGTCACGGGAGTTCGCGCATTTCTATCCTGTTTTTAACGACTTTCCGTTCTATAAATACCAACTCTTTTTGCCAATTTTTAGAGAAAATAAACTTCCAAAATGAAATTCACCCTTTTTCTTTACTTTTCACTTGTCGCTGCAGATGGATTGTACCAAAATCGCATGCGAAATTCACTTCAAGCTGCTCCCTCAATTTACTACCGGAGCATTCCAAGGATGGGAGACTTCAGAGTCGTCGCATATCGGGGCAGTAAGCGACTGCCATTTTCTGAAAGAAGAAAGCAAATGCTTCGAAAGCGATTCAATCTGTAAATAGTTCGTTTTTTTCCTGATCAAGCAGATAATTCATCGAGAAATAAAAAGTCAAAAATTATAAATTCTGAAATAAATATTGCAATTCAATTTGTTAATCTTAATAATCAATTTTTCAATAATTCGAATCCAGACCACCATGTCCATGGTTGTTTTAATCGTTTCTTGAAAAAAGATAAACATCAGAATAAATTCAATGCACTGGAAATGTCCGCGACCTCTTATCAAGGCTAAGAGCGTTGCTGATAAGAGAAATCGAAATCTGAGAAGTATTCATCCAACTGAGGGCTTTAGGCCGAATGTACGCTACAGTAGTATGCTACAGTATTTTTGCTACAGTAGACTGCGCGCAGTCCGACGACGTTATTTGTTCCTAATATTCCCTACAGTCTTATTCATCATATTCGCGACGGAAAATACCAATACAGCCCATCGGCTCATTCATCAAAATTCAACGACAACTGCCGCATCAACATCATCAGCAAAAGCGAAAGCCCAAGAGAAAAGGGAGTCAGATCAATTTGAAGCAGTTTTGAAGCAAATTAAGAAAAAAAAACTACCCACGAATAACGAAAGTAATGATGACCAAATACCCAAAATAAAGGGGGCACCGACTCGATTTCAGCCTCTTATCCTCGAGAAAAATCGTTCTCCGACCCTGAAAGCGACGAATATTCATATCTTTTATCGTTCTCTTCCGGAGAAAACTGAGCAGAGACGACTTGTCAGGGCGTATATGAAAATGTGGATGAGTGTGGAGCCCGATGAATCCATGCTTCCGATGAATTACTCCATCATCACTTTTGAGGATGAAAAAACAAAAGAAGAAGGCCAAAAGTTTCAAGATCTCCACTTTTGCTCTAGAAACGCAAGCGAATTGGAAGAATACACTTTGCTCATGAAAGCAGTGAATCTCGCCGCAGAAATGAATTTAAATGAAACTGAAGTGGCAATTTTTGCCTACACAACTGACCTCGTTGATTCCGAAAAAATCACGAGCGTGACTGAAAAACTGGCGTCAAATTTCGAGGGGCGGAGGAAAATGATTTGCTTCAAAACAAAAACACAAGATTCAAACCAAATTTATGGCTGTGGAGAAAATCCGGTTTTCGCGCTGAGGGGAGATGTTATCAAGATGTATTCGAGGGAGATGGAAAATGTCAAGCCATACATGAGAAGCATTCAAGAGCGGCGAATAGGTTGGTTGACTGGAATCGTCCGTCATCGCGCTAATATTGAAGGATTGAGCTTGGATAAAGACTGTTACAATCTTATTCAACTCCCGTTTGAGTTGAAAGCGTTCAAAGATTTCTACGAGGATAACTACGACTGGGGAATGGATCGAAAGCCTCCGAAGCTAATGGACTACGACCTGCCTGATATTTACCGAGAAGAAGCGCAATGGACGATAGAAATTGAAGTTGCGCCATCTTGCGATGCATCTTCTTATTTATATCTCGTCAAAAGTTCAAGGACGAATACTGATCGTCGAAATTTTCTCCGAGCGTTTCAAGAATTCGACAAAAACTCCACGAAAATTCCAATTGATCATCTTCCTCAAATGCGCTTTCTGATTGGAAAAGGCAAATCTTCGGCAGATCCATCAATTGAAGCATCCATTCAAGAAGAAATCGAAAATCACAACGACTTGGTTCTTGGAAACTTCATCGATGAATACGACAATCTTCCTCAGAAAACGATGACTGGGTATACTTATTTTGCAGAATATTGCAAAAAGGGAGGACACGTAAATTTTATCGACGATGATGTCCTGCTAGATGTCGAGCAGCTCGATAGTTATTACAATTTGCCTGAGGCGAGTGATCTCACTTGCTTTGGATTTCTTGGCGAAAATGCCCGACCACATCGATGGGGAAAATACAACGTCACTTTTGAACAATGGGCGAGTGGTCATTTCTTTCCATCATTTTGCTCTGGCCCTTGCGCAGGAATGACTGCCGAAGTTGGCGAGAAGATTTATCAAGAAGCTTCGACATTGGATGCGAAGGGATTCAAGCTTGAAGATGTTTTATTCACCGTGACGGGCGTGATTCGGACCAAAGCAGGCATTGCAGAGCCTTCATTACAAGAGGATATCTGCAAACACTTCCCCCAAAAGACGAAAAAAGAAATGGAAAGATCCATGTGGCAACACATCCAATACCTGTCTTTTCAGCGCAATTACATGTAATAATAACCAAATTATAGGCCGTAACCATTTTAAGGTCAACTCTCGAAGATCAAGAAAAACTCGCAAGAGCGTTTGGACTTGAGCTTTCTGTACATCCGCATAATAACTCCGGAGGATTTCAAGTTTTATATATAAATCAAGTTTAGGCAAAAAAATAGAATAGGCAACTATAGGCTAAATATTTATGTTGTCTGATGCTTTTTGAATCCGCTTTTTCAATGCAATGATTCAATTTGGAAAACCAATGCTTCATTTTCAGAGCTCTTGTCAGAATAATGCCTTGTCAAAGACCCAAAACAGAGCCAGTAGATCAAAATATACATAATTCAAATAAAAGATGTCTCTTTTGAAGAATGGTCTTTTTCTAAAATCTATATAAAAGAGACGTCAATGGATATTTCAACGTCTCTTTTGAGAAAACCGAGGAAAAAATTGTGATAAAAATAAAAATTGATGCCTTCTTTTATTTCTGCAAGTAATTTCGAGGCTACAATGTATATGATTTTTTCTCCTGTCAGTTTATGCCGCATAAATTATGCGTCAAAAAGTGAACTTTGAGCTGAACTTATAAAAAAATCCCGTCGCAAAAATCCAAAAAACTGAAGATTTCTCAAAGATGAGAGAAACACTGTTATTTTTCCTTTTTACAGGAAATTGCAATGGACAACAGGCAAAATGTGCCGCTTGCGTCGGAGTTATGGATCATTTAGGGAATATTGAGGGCAATCATGCTTGTTTTGAAGATCTTGAAGAGGTTTGAAAATTGTTTTTATGGAAAAAAGGGGAAGGAATGGCACAATAAAATGTTTTCTTTCAGGATGACAGTAGAGTAACATGGAGACAATGTCCAATTCTGATCGGTTTGGACCCTGTCTGTGAGTCCACCGCGGTAACTCATTGGACTGAAGACGGTAGGCAAACACTGACTGTATTTCGAAGCTGCGCGGAAGTTCGCAGCGGCACTGAAGAGCATAATGATCAATTCTGCCTCGATGAAGTGATCAGTTCTTCGACTGGAGAGCACTGGAGATCGTGCACAAGCTTCTGTGACGCTCGGGAAGAATATATGTACGAATGCAATCGGAATAATATGCTCTCGACTATCGCGCTTCATGATTCCGGAAAAACAGATCTTTCCTGCCAAACCTGTTCTGGAGAAAACTGCGAGACAGAAGGAACGACTGAAAATTGTCCTATTTGGGCGAATCATGGGTGCTTTTCCTCAGCAAAATTCGAGCTGAATGAAGATGATGATAACTTGGAAATGGAGGCAAAAGAGTATCACAGAGGATGCTCTGCATTTTCGGGAGTAGATACCTGCATCGAAATACAGAAAGACTCAGACATCTGTAGGCAAACATGCCAAGACAAAGTTCTCAATAGCGAAAATCAAGACCAAAAAATGACACCCTTAGTCATCTCAAACTAAGTTGATTTTTTTCCTTTGATCAGATAGAACTTTGGCCAGGAAAAAACTGTAATCAAAATGATCTTCGACCGCTTTCCCGCTGCCATGTTTGCGAAGAAACCTTCGATCCCTTCATTCAAGATTCTTCATTTGGCTCTTGTTTCAACTCAACCGCTGAAAATCTCGAAACCTGTGATTTCGAAGAACCATTTTGCGCGACAAAAATGACCGCTGAATGGACAAAAGCAGGCAAACAAATTCACCACCTCGTCCGAGGATGTTCAGCGCACCCTTCGCCGGAAGAAATAAGCGAAGACGCAAATTGCATCGAGTCATCTGTCAACAATGAGAAAACAAGAGACTGCCGCGTGTCCTGCTCTTCCTACGGATGCAATGAAGGAAACGACATTTTCGACCTCTTCAACTCCGGAAAAGTCAGCAGCTGCATGACGTGCAATAATACCCAGGAATGTTTGGACGGCGATTCTGAGTATTCAGCATGCCCGGAATTCGCGAATGCTGGGTGCTATGTAGGAACAAATTGGGAAGATGAAGAAGATTTCGAAGTTTATCGGTAATTCATTCATCAAGTCACGATTTTGACCTATTATTTAGGCATTGCAGCTCATTTACGGAACCTGAAACTGAGGTAACAAAGTTACCTTGAAAAACGCAATTTTGCTATTTACGATTATGCAGGATTGTAAGCCGGCTATTCTCGACGCTTCAAGACACACAACATGCAAAAGTTCATGCAGCGATAACGATTGTAACTCTGCACCTGCCACTTACCCGGGTCCAGGCAACGGCTTCTGACCTATAGTTTCTGCGCCAAGTACTATTTGCAATGACCACCGGTAGTATCAAGATAAGAGTGCACTATCGCCCTTGGGCATGTCACAGTTGGCCAGCGGGGCGTTACCGTTGTAACCACATCCGTGGCCAAATATCATTTGAGTTCTTGATAAAATTTTTATATTGCCAAAGCTAGGAGCTTCTTTTTTTTGATGAAACGTTGGTCATTTCGAATCTCGCTCCGGTGAAATGAGAAGCTTCGCTTTTTTCGCCAGTTATCTGGCGAGCAGCGGAGTCAAAGCCTTCGGAGAGGATCATGTTTGTGCATTTTGCTTTGTCGTCAGAGATCATACTGGAAAAAGGCTCTTCGGTGATGAAGACTGCGATAATGATGAAGTGATGAACCAAAAATATTTGGACTATATGGACTTCATTGAAGCTGGGGGAAACACTACTGACTTCCCAAATTTTATAAATTGTGCCGCTCCTGAAAGTGAGGGCTTTGTCAGTAGCTGTGAGACGACCGTTTTTGTTCAGGTAAAAGGGCAGGTTATTTTCTAGATATAAAAATAATTCAAGTGGGAATCAAATGGCCGAGAAAACTTCCAAATCAACAGAGGATGCTACGTCCATCCAGTTGGAATTCCTGATGAGGATTGCACCGTCTGGACCAATAACGAACGATTTCACTTGTGTTACAATCTCTGCAGAAGCGATGAGATTGAACAAATCGGCGATGCCAAGGTTCCTTGCAATGCTATGGATAAAACATCAGCCGATTGGACAAAGCTTGGATACGGGTTGGCAAAGGTCGAAGAACTGCACTTTCAAGACGCTGGCGCCAACAAAGTTAAATGTCACACATGCTCTGCTGTATACGGTTCCGACCAGGCTGATATTGATGCCTGTAAGGCTCTCAATGATAAGACCGCAAGCCCTGATGACTGCCCTGGATGGGCTTCCCGAGGCTGCTTTGAAGTCGAAGAAATCACTCTCCGACCTGATATCAACCAGACCAAACCGGATGTCGGCTACCACAAGGGATGCTCTGCCTTTGACACCTACAATGATGATGCTGACGAGAACGGAATCATCTGCCAAGAGTTCCGCGGTCAATTTTTCGAATGGGGCGAAGCTTGCAAGACAACCTGCAAGGACGGCGACTACTGCAACGAAGATCTTCTCGAAGAGCTCCCCACTAAGTGCTACACTTGTGAGTATACCTGGAGCGACCATGGTGGTATCAAGGGAGACCCAGCTTGCGCTTTCCACGATCTTTTGGGCCCAATCCAGATGCAAGATTGCCCTGCTGACAAACACCACTGCGTCGTTGAAATGACTGCCCGAATGGTCGAAACTGGCGAACAGCAGCACACAATCAAGCGATACTGCGGCGACGAGCAGCCCCAGGAAGAAACTCCCGAAACTAACTGCAAGACTTCCATCTCCAGCGATTTCAACAACCTCTGGGCTATCAAGCAGTGCTCTACCTCCTGCAACGATCAGATCGCTTGCAACTACCACGACAATGTATTCGACCTCTTCGAGACTGGCAACATCAACCGATGCTACATCTGTTCCGATGAGCAGGAAGGAGAAGAAATTGGCGGCGGAGTTTGCCGATTCCTCCAGCAGTCTCGATGCCCAAATTTTGCCGACGCCGGATGCTACACTTCGGCAAACTGGATCGCTGATTGGCCACAGGGCGAGAACACCAAGGCCCAATTCTTCCACGGATGTTCTTCTTTCACCAAAGAAGAGCTCCGACAAGAGTGTCACAGACAAATTGTCGGCGGCAACATGGACTCTCAAGCATTCGATCTCACCGTCTGTCGCGAAGTCTGCGATGGCTTTTCTGACTGCAACTTCACCCCGATTCGACCTCCAGTAGCGCCGAAATGCGCTGCTTGCGTCGCAACTATGGATCATATGGGCAATCTCCTTGCTGGAAACGCCAAGTGCTTCGAAAATCTCGACAGAGACGATGAAGATATTCTCTGGGTATCTTGCCCTGCAGTTGACGGAAGTCCATTCAAGCCTGTCTGCGAGTCCAGCGCGACAGTCGTCTGGGAGCCAAACGGTCGACAAACAATTACAGTCACTCAAGGCTGCTTTGAAATTCTTAGAGAAGAGAACAACGACCTTGATGTCTGTAACGTCGAAATTGTAAGTGAAGGTATCCAGACTCGTAATTGCGTCAAAACATGTGATCCAACTGGTTCCTTTGGCAACGAGTGTAATCGACGAAATGTTGAAGGCGTCATTGCCATGCACGGTGTTAACAATACTGAGATTGCTTGCCGATCTTGCTCTGCCAACTCGACTAGCTCTCCCGAAGAAATCGAGTACTGCAGAAATGTTCCAAGCCCAATTGACCCAACTGGATGTCCTTCCTGGGCCGACCGAGCCTGTTTCAACGTCCGTGATGCCGTCATCAAGCCCGATGGTGATTCCAGTCCCGGTGACAGCGACATTGCTTACCACAAGGGGTGCTCTAGCTTCGACTTCCTCGAGGAAGACAATGAAAATGTCGCGACTACCGACAGCGTCAACTGCCGAGAATACTACGACATCAACGCTCATCGATACACTGAGTCTTGCAAAGAAACTTGCAAGACGCCATTTTGCAACTCCGGAGAAGTCAAACAGCCTATGAAGGTACACTTTCTTAGAATGAACGAGTCTAAAGTTTTCTAGTGCTTCTCATGCTCATACTCTTGGGATGATTTCGGAATCGCTGTCGGCTCTGGAGACGAACGATGCCGAAGGCCTGAGAATTTTGCTCCATCCGACCTGACTACCTGTCCTGAAGACAAGCCATATTGCTTCACTGAGTTTGAAGCAGACTGGAATCAGCGAGGAAATCAATTCCATCGAGTCACTCGGTAAATCATTTTTTTTTTCGCTATCATTCCAAGCCCAATTCAAGAGGCTGCACTTCACACAAATCAGTCGACCCACCAACCAAAAAGGATAACTGCGAGACATTCTTGAGCGACGCAAATGGCCAATGGTCTCAAAAAACTTGCGCAACTTCTTGCGACTCTAACGTCCTCGGATGCAACAATAACAATGATATCTACGAGCTTTTCTCGACCAAGAAAGTCTCTAGATGCCACTCTTGTCATCTTTCCCAGCGCCCAGGTATTTATTTTTTCATTCGGAACACATGTCAAAACTGTTCCAAGGTGAGAACATCGGTGTCCAAGACTGCGATACAAACACACATGTTGGCGACGCCAAGAAATGCGAGCTCTATGAAGATAATGGATGCTACACCGCTAAGAACTGGCACGTTGAATACGGAACTGAGCTTTTGGAAGCCTACAGAGGCTGCTCTTCATTTACTGAGGTAACGGTTTGAAATGAAGGGAGATTATACTTTGAAAAAAGGATGAAGTCAATGCGCCATCTTGCGAGGATACTATTCTTGGTGGAGGTGGAGGAAGCTCTTCAACTGTCTACACCACTTGCCGAGAATGGTGCGATGAGGATAGATGCAATGATCAAGGAAAGGCTCTTTTTTGAGAACCATAATTGAGAAATTTTTCTTAGAAATTAATATTAATTCATTTCTTCTTATAACGAAACAAAAAGATAATCCGATCAATTCTCGCGACAAAAGATACAAAAAAAGCCGTCTAAAGTCCTTGAAAACCCCGGTCCCGATCTGACTCTGAAATGCATCTCATGCGAGGCCGAAATGGACTTCTTCGGAAACGTCACTTCTGGAAATCATCTTTGCTTCGAAGATGGACTTGGAAAGGAATACGAGCAAGTCTGCGACGAGAGTGTTGGTGGCGGACGAGTTCCGTATTGTTCGAACGATTTGGAAGTTGACTGGCTGACCAATGGTCGACAGGTTTTGCGAATCAAGCGAGGCTGCAAGCAACAGACTGAAGCGGAAACTTACTGTAACGAAGGTACTGAGAAGTCTTCTGAAAATAGATTTTATCTCATATTTCAGGCAGCCATGGACCTGTCATGTACAAGCACTGCCAGGAACAGTGCAAAGCTGAGAAGGGCGAGGTCTGCAACCGGGATACAATCGAAGCTCTTCTGGACAAGTTTGACTCTGGCAAGAAGAACGTCATGTGCCGAGAATGCTTCGCTGACTCTTCAATGGGCAAAGACTGGATGGAATACTGCCGAAATCAGCCAAGTCCCGAAGATCAGGTAGCGAAAAATATTTTGGGAGCGAAATTCACCCAATTTCAGGGACACTTGTGTCCAAAATGGGCCAATGCTGGATGCTTCAACGTCCGTGTGACCGAAAACGATGAAGATGTTGCTTATTCTAAGGGTTGCTCAACTTTCGAAATTGAGGGAACTCAGTGTACTCAATTCACGGCTCCAGATGGAGAACAAGCATCTGTCAGCAGAAAGACCTGCGATGCAAGTGCCACTCCTTTCTGCAACAAGGGTGAAGTTGATGACTCAATCTGCTATGGTGAGGGTGGTGATGCTGCTGCTCTTACTTTTTCAGGTAAAGAACTTCTAGAGACAATTCAGGATCTAACTCATATTTAGCTATTTTGGTTCTCCTTACTGCTTTTCTGTACTAATTTAACCTACTGACATGAACAAATTTATTATTAAATAAAATTTATTGAATTTGATCCTTCGAAAATTATTAATTTGAAGAAAGATTTGGTATCTGTGAAAGGCAAAGACAATTGTGTTTATGAGGAGGATCATCATCAACTTAAAATATTTTAACGATATCTTTCTCATCATTCTCCTTACGTCTGTGAATTTTACAATGAATTTCCCATTTTTTAATCCCTTCTCGTTTGTATTTCCACTCTGCAGTAGCGTTTGCACGCCCTTTTTCATCAAAATTTTCAAAATAATTGCATCCAACCTCTTTAAATGCATCAATATGACTTTGAGGAACATCTTTTTCATATTCAAGGTTGTCGTTTATCCAGTAATGCTCATTGTTTCTCGAGCCGTATCCCATCCAAAATTTTTCATCGGGACATTTTTCTTGTGTAAACTTCTTGAGAGAATTTGCTTGGTCCAAATTTGCTTTTATAGACAATGATTGAAAATTTGGTCAAGAGAAAATTACCAATCTGTATTGGTTTGTCGTGATGATTAATGCAGTGCTCAAAGCATTCCTTCCAGCCCATTACTACACTATTTGAATTGCACGTGAATCTAAGTCTAAATTGGCATTGAGATTATAAAGAGAAGCTTACTCTGGAAGAGGTGGAGGAGTTCTTGTCGTTGAAGTTGTAGCAGTTGTACTCCTGGGCGTTTTCGTTGTTGAAGTTGTAGTTGAAGTTGTAACAATGGTTGTTGTACTTGTTGCAGCTGTAGTTGGGGTTGTCGTTTGGGTTATAGTTTTTGTTGTTCTTGTTGTTGTTGTTGAAGCTGTGGATGATTTTATTTCTATTGTGGTTGACGTGGTTTTATTTGTTGATGTTGTTGTTGAAGTCGTTTTTGAAATTGTAGTTGAAATTGGATTTGATGGCATAGTTGATGACGAAGATAAAATGGATGTTGATGTAGAAACGGAAGATGTAATATGCGATGAAGATGATGTTAAAATCGTAGTTGTACTTTTGCTTGAAGTTGTAGTTGAAGAAGAAGTCGAGACAGTTGTCGAAGTTGAAGAATCTAAACTTCGCGTCTGGAAGTAGTAAGGACTCATCAGTACCGTCATGACGGATAAGAGAATAACTGAAATCGTTTTATTAAAAAAAAGTGTATTTATTGCTTACAAATTGATGAAAGTAATTTTATCGCTCTTCTTCTCTTATTCCCCATTTTTTCAAAACTGCTTCCTCGGCGAGAGTGTCTTCTAAAGAACGTCGCCCTAGTTTCTATATCACATTGATTTTGTCAGATGTTTGTAAAAGGCACGACAGAAGAGTTCGATTCTGAAATATTCGAAAGTCTGCAAAAAAAAACTAGACACTCCTTGTCAAAGAAGTTGCTGATAAAGAGTGATTCGCTTTTTGAAAAAAAATATTATTTTTCTGAGGTCTAGATATGTCGATTTCGAATCCGTATCAGAGATATTTGACGTGACCATCAACATGAAAAAATGAAAAATATTTACTGTAAAATCGAAATTGCAATGAAATAACTTGATTCTCGCCCTCCACGGTCGAAATTTTCGACTCGGAAAGATTATATTTAGAAATTATCGACATCTTTATGATAACCTCGATCGAAACTAATTATAAGTAAGATATTATCTTTTCAATGTTAATCGTCTAATCAACGTGTTCACTCGAATTTCTCTAGCGGATATTTTAGACAACGACAAACGCTTGAAGTTGAACCGTTTCTCTAACGAGATTCCAGCGTTCTCAAGGTTGCAATAACAAACACGCATTGGCTATAAAACACGTTCATCGAGACGGCAATTATCATTCTACTTTCTTCTTCAGAGATAAAATTAGATAAAAATTTTATCAAAAAATGAAGGTAAAAAGACCTGAATTAAATATGAGAGATATTCTTCATGAGCGTAAATGATGAGAAAAAAACAATATTTTTTAAGCTTTCCTGGTCACTAGCAGCTTTGGCAACAGCCCGAGTCGCTCAAGAATCCGATAATGCTTTGGAGGACGAGCGAATCTGGGTCCCAGACTACACGGAAGAAATCACCGTAGACCTGAGTACCACCGCCGATGGAACCTTCACCTGGTCCGTCCCGACCTTCGACGACGGCAGTGGCTACCAACGATACAAGCCGAATATGTACTATCGAGTTTACGTGACGACACCTTCCGAGCTGGATGTTGTCAGTGTTGCATTCAGCGATTTCGATGTGGAAGAAAAAGGTTCGGTCTATCTCTTCGCGACTATTTTTCAACCAAAATCTTAAGGCATCGCTGGTTTGTGCGATAACGACGCTGCGATGGTCTTCAACGGTCCAGACGGCAACGCCGAGCTCGCCCGCTATTGTGGAAATCAACCCGTTGCGGACGTCACTGGAACTCGTCAGGATCTCACCCTCGTCTTCAAAACCAACGAAAACAGCGTCGTCCACAGGGGCTTCACAGCAACGTTCACGACTGTTCCCCTGCCTGAGAATCTTCTCGCCTGGAACAAGATCAACAACGCTTTCGAAGATTTGAAGAGCGAAGTCTTTGATGGACACGATCACTTCAAAGAACATCTTCAGGCCAAAAAGTAAGCCTAATGCGGGGCTCGAACCCGCGACCGTTGGATTAAGAGTCCAACGCTCTACCGACTGAGCTTACCAGGCTTGCGCCTCGGGGCATGCTGCGCGAGATGAGTAATCATAATTTTTAGGCGATCTTCATCCAGAGAATCTTCAGCAGATTCGTCTGGATGCGCGACAACAGCAAGCCATTTTACACTGATGAATATGGCGAACTCCAGCCTACGTGCGAGATGCAAGCTGACGTTGGAAGCCCAACCGATTTCAAAGCACCAACGACGGACTACAGCGATCCTTGCTACGCTCTCGGCAATTTCATCGAGTCGATTCGCAGCTTTCACTTCGCCTACGTCTGCCAAGACGATCTCTTCCCCACCATCTACTACCCAGTCGCCGGAGAAACGCCACAAGAAGCCAGAGCTAGAAGATCAAAGATTCCAGCAAAGACCAAGAAAATGCTCTACAACCAGTACGTAGCCTTCACCAACCAAAAGTTCCACGGAATGGGCTGCCTCGTTTAAAGACTTAGAATTGATCTGAGTCAAAACTGATCTGATGAAGAATGATTATGAATACCTGTACAATACTCTTTTCTAACGATGAAAGAAATTTTCTAAGCTTTCATACTGTACCTTGCAAAATGTTTAATGTGCTACAAATAAACATATTTTTTCCTAAAAACGATTGCTTTCTTTTTTTTTTGCATTTTTTGCGATGAAAAGAAGAAAAATCTGCAGAAAGAAGAAAATAATGCTCTCTAGCGCCCTCAAGATTCTTTTTATTGCTTTCATTATTGACATCTAAGCAACACAATACTCTAACGGTCCTTGGTTTGACGACTAATTGAGAGCAAATTAGTTGCAAATATTGTTACTTGCATCAATAGAGCAACGTTGCTAATTATCGTTCGTTATACTTATTGCTAAAAACAAAAAAATAATCCGATTATCATCGTTCACCAACATTTCTTAAACATGAGATTCTTCAGTAAATTAATGAAGGGTCGAATTCTAGTGTTCATGAAATCTTGAGTAATGGTAATTATTATAAGCAAGCTCCTTCTGAGTCAGAATAAACGGCGGTTTAGATGTAATCTTTCGAGAAAATTCAAATTCTCATTATCATTCGGAGATAAATTCATTTCGGCAATCGACGTTAGATATCTCCGGGAATTCGTTTTCACGAGAGATAGCTTGTCAAAAATCTCCGAAATCATCCTGAGTCAGAGGACGAATGAGTTCTGGAATTTTGTGTCCAAAAAAGGGACTCCCGGACTATGTCGCGAATGTCGCGAATGTCGGAAATGTCGCGAATGTCGCGAATGTAGCGAATGTCGCAGCAAAATTGTTTTTGTTTTCAAAATTGCGACATTCGCGACTTTCGCGACATAGTCCGGGTAGCCTCAAAAAAAAAAGGATGTCTATTCTTGATTTTAGGATGCCTCCTTGTTAGGCTTAGGGATAAGAATCATATCAATGATATCATCATATATATATCGATCATGTGATATATAAGATCATACATACCGTATCTTATGATACGAAAATGGAAGACGAAAATCGTAGAAAAATTTTCGTATGAACATTCTTAAAGTAACCCTAACGTCATGGCCCTAACGATAACCCCTTACAAGCAGAGATGCTCGTTTGTTAAATTTGCTTCATGAAAATTGTCTATTATGCTTTAGCTTATTGTTCCTTGTATGTATTCAAAACGCCTGTCTAACTGTATTCTCCATTTGCACGAAAAAAATTTCGAAAAGAGAAATTTCTTTATTATAAAGATAAAATTAACGAAACAATGTCGTCATTCATCGATATCATCGCTCCGTGAGACCGGAGATGTTGGTCCTTGATAACCATTCCCTTCGAAAATTGAAATTTGAATTCTTCACAAAATGAATTAACGAGATTGATGAAATTACAAATAAAATTTTCACTTTTTCCACTGCTCCTAGCAGTGGTCAACGCAACGCATTTCAGAGCAGGAAGTTTGCAGTTTAAAAAAGATGAGAACGGCGTCGTTACTGTCAGTAGAACGATGGGCTGGCGGCGAACATTTGCTGGCTTCGGCGATTCTGGATGCGACGAAAATGACATGAACAAGATGTCTGGCCAGATCGGGGCCTGGCCGACCGGACAGCATAGAAACTACTACTTGCCGATTGGCGAAACTACAAATCCTCCAAGCAACGAGATCAGTGGTACGAGTCACAAGAAAGTCACTTATAAATTACTGCAGATCGAGCAGAGTAGCTCCCTTCACCCTAATAATGACCATTTTTGCTTTGGAAAGACCATCGATGAGGAACTTCCAGCAGTACTTAAGGGATCCCCCCCCGATTTCGTCAACTTTGACTTCGAACTACTTTTTTTAGGGCTGAGCTTTTTACAAGTATAAGGGCTCATTTTGAAGCCCGTTTCTTAATGAACAAACTCTAGTACAGAAATTAAGTTTCATAAGGGGAAACATCTTGAAAAGGCGGGCTGAAAACATTGATACTCGCGAAAAACCCCATTTTGGGCTATTTTCAAGATCGAACTAGTTTTTTCTGCTGTTAGATAGAGCCCTAAATCAATAACAACTGTCTTCCTTGATCCCTAATCTACAATCTCTAGTACAGGCGTGTGATTCCGTCAAGGATTGTAGAATTTTTCTTAACAAGATGTTTTTTAACTGATTTTTGCCATTTTTTGACTTTCTTTGCTCTCTAGCGCCTTTTAGTGGTTAGATTTTTTCTTAGATCTATTTTTTTCTAATTCAGTTTTCTCTAAGCTTTCTAAAGAGCCCTTATTCATCAGATTATGTCGACTTTGAAACGTCGAAAAAATTGCGAATTTTTTCTAAGTAAAATTTTTCGTTAAAATAAGCCATTTTCAAAGCTGTGTCACGGCTTACCACGTGACGGACTCCCTTTGACATAATATATGAAAATGATCGCCAGAAAACGGAGATTCCAAAAATATATCACATAAAAGCTCTCGATGATATTTTTCAAATCGGGAGGGGATCCCTTAATGGCCAGTCGTTTACAATGACAAATGGCTACAGAAGTGAAGGAGACACAGTGACCCTCACCCATGATAATGGCAACAGCGCGCAGAGTTATTACCAGTACACGGCGCACGTCTACCAGTACGACAATAATTCGCCCCAATTCGAGAGTCCCGCTATTTGGTGGATCATGAGCGGCTGTCAAGGGCAAACTTACTATCTCACACCGCAGGATCCTGATGGCGACGAAATAGTCTGCAGATGGTCAACGATGTACGAAGCTTCATTTTTAGCCCACGATAAGGAAGGATTCGACGTAGATGGCGAAACAAACTGGCCACTGAACCAACTTTCTCTCGATGCAACTGCCTGCGCCGTCACCTATCACCCAGAATATGACAGCAACGGGGGCAACAAGCCCATCGGTGTTCAAGTTGAAGACTTCGATGCTAATGGCGATATTAAATCTTCGGTTACGTCGGTTTTTCTTGCAAAGGTCTTCACTCCAGGCATGGATGAATCAATCTTGGATAATCCTTACACCGTAATTAATCGAAGAAAAAGAGATGCTGAGGACGATGATACTCATCAAGATGGACAACAACGGGCATGGACTGAGAGACCAAATCTCAGCTTTTTAACGAGAAATACTGATCATTGCGATGGTCTTCCAGTTTGGGTAGATCCAACTCCGCCAAATTAGTCTTTGCTGATTTACGAAGCGACAGTTCTTCACTATCAAGTTTGGGCAGCGCGATTTCTTTTTAACGGAGTTTACTACACGACAGTCACTCGGGCTCAATTCTCGCTGCCAGATGGAATGACCTGCTCGGAGCTGCGGGAAGACGGAACAGCCACGTGCTTCTGGACTCCAACTGTGGAACAGATCGGGTTGCACACGGTGTGTGGCCTCTGCTACGATGTTTTCAAGCGGCCGAGTAATCGAAACTGCGTCAAGATCGAAGTCATTCACAAAGAGCCTCCGATTGAGGATCCCTGCAATACAACGACCATCGAAGGAATGAAACGGTATCTCTTTGATGGACAGGATATGCAAGAAGATTCGTGAAAGGATTTTAAATTTTTTTAATTTTTTTTCTAGATATTTTTCTGGAATTTTTTCTTTAAGAAAGTATTTTAAGAAATGTCTTAGAAATATAAAAATCCTTGAGAAGATAATCCAAGCAAGCGAGCTGGAATCAGATTTCGTGATCTTCGAGTCAAGCAACACGAACGGCGCTCATCACGATTTCAAGATAAAAGTTTTCGGGGATCGCGATGTTTCCGATTTGCCGGAGCTTTTCGACAATAACCCCCACACGTTTTTCCAGTTTGACCAAGCCTGTGGAATCACCGAGTCTCCGCAGAAGATAGAAATTCATTCAACGAAATTCAACAACGCGAACAAACTGCGAAAAATTCTCTTCGAATCTCTTGAATTGACAGTTCACAGTGATACACTAAGTCTTCCACGAGTCAACATTTCTGATGCAAAATGGAACGTGATTCCAGAGCAAACCCCCGTCTTCCAATATGATCAAATGTATCTACTAATCGGCGACGAGAAAATCCAAGCTTTCCAGAATCCCGATTCTCCAGGAAGCTTCATTTTCAAATCGACCTCTGGGCCGATTGTGACTTCGAAGCTGACTCTAGAATTCCACTCGAAACATCTCAAACTGTCGAAGCTCTCATTCAGTTGGTTCGAGTGCGAAACAACCGGGAAGCTTAACCCCTCGATAACAAGCGGGACATTCGTGGACCCAGAAAGCACGGCCCACCCAGTTTGCTACCGATACACCGGTCAGAACGCCTTTGACGAGACAGTTTACACAGGCGAATACTGGAACGAAGCGATCTTGCCGGCATTTTTCAATCCAGCGACGAATGACCATCCTGACAGACATTACAACTTTGTTGTTGTCAAAAAGACCAGCGGAGATTTCAACGATTTTGACGAGGTGAAAAACGCGTGTTCTGAATTTGGCATGAGCCTTGTCTACCCCTACAATGCCAATGCAAACGATTTCTGGCTAGAGAGGCTAAATGAACAGCAAGCTTCAACCCCCGGATTGCGACTCATGATCGGCCTGATCTACACGCTTTTCTCAAAGACTTCAGGGGCGCTCGTTCCTTCTGAAACCGCTCTACCGATCGTCGACGACACTGGTGATACAAACGGCTACATCAACTTCGACGGCCTGACATATCAACAGGCGTTTAATAAAATGAAAGACAACGGTAACCAGTTCATCATGGACGCAACCACAGGGCAGTGGAGCGCTATCGGCTCTGTTCCGGCTGGAATGGACGCTACTTTTTGCTTCAAAACAGAAGAAATAACGACAATTTGCTCGAATTCATTCTGCAACAACACTGAAACGGCTCAGTACGAATGTACCTGTCCCGACGACGGAAGCACTCTAATCAATGAATTCGGCATCGACAAATGTGTCAACGCAACTCTTCCTTGCGATGTCGAGGATCCATGTGTTTTCCCAGCTGTTTGTAAGAATCTCTTCGATACCGCAGTTTGCGAATGCCCCGACGAAGGTTCCACCCAATTTCTTTCCGCTGATGGAGTTTCTTGTGAAATCATCGATCCCTGCTCGACTGGTCTTCATAACTGCGATCACCCGAGTTTGGAATGCGTTTCAGCTGCCGACGGAGATTACACTTGCGAGAATAGCTTCGAATGTCCATGCGACATGGACTGCTTGAACCCTCCCTGCATCGATCTGACTGATTGTTTCGGACTCGGTTCCGTCACCTCGTGTCCCGACATCGACTGCACGGACGTTGGACCAATCAAGGGGCAATACCGTTGTCCTGTCGGAAAAGAAGGCAACTGTGTCCGACCAAGCGATTGTGAATTTGACTGTCAAAGACTTGGCCCTGGCTGGGACTGCCTCAAGGAAAAATGTCAGGCGTATGAAGATTGCTTTTTTGAATGCCTAAGAATCGAGCATAAAAAGTGCCCTGAAGGAAAAGTTTGTTTTAAAGATCAGGACTGTTGTCCGCGCTGTGGAACTCATTCAGGAATGGATAAACAAAGAATCGATAAAGTATTACCTATTTTTTCAATATTTTTTTTTCAATTTTTTGAACGGGACGCAAGATTAACTTTTTACTACTCGCATAAGATGCTCGAAATGAATTATTTTTAGTGCTTTGGCAATAAACTTATTGCTTGATGAGATCGATGGCAAAAGAAGTCTTCAACATTGCTACAAGAAGAACGAAAGCATAACGACGATTTCGGAAGACACATGACTAGCAGTCAACTATTTTCTTATGCATACATTTATTTTTTTTATTTTTTGTTCGGCTTATCTGTGTAGCAGCGTAAGCTGATTATTTTTCGGTGGAAACTGGGACCACAGAAAAGCTGAATTTTCTCTTCTTATTTCAAATAAAATACTTTTTAACGTCAAAATTATTGTTGTTTACTCTGTCAATTACGAAAAAGATGTTTTAAAACATTTACATATGCACATAAAACATATGCTGAATAAACATATTTGGACAATTTTTGATAATGCAGAATTAATTCAACGACATTTTGAAAATCTCACGCTGAGCTGTTTATTTTTCGGAGTGCAGGCTTTTCACTCGACGATAAGTTGTGATTTTTTGTGAGACATGAGAGCGTCAATTGGTATTCTTGCAGGACTAGTGGATGCTGGGTAAGTTTTCAGTGATTCACCATATTTTACAAATCCACTTTAATTGTCGAAATTTTTCCCTAATTTCAGGCCAAACTGGAAACGAGGATTGATTAACTATCTTGGCGAGCGTCTTGTTACTGCCACTCAAGAAATCAACGACGATTTCGAGCATCAGGCGAGAATCGAAAACACCGTTGATAAATTGTTGACTGGGCTTGCAGGCGTCAACACGAGTGCCTGTCCTAAAAATGACGAGTACAAAAATCACGATCGGTATCTTGAAGGATACGACTGGTCGTATGCCCCGCCCGTTGGAAGTTCCGAGGTTTGCGATCTCGCGGTTCGTGTTCCGATGAAAATTCGAAGCTGGAATCGACTCTTTGGATGCGAAGCTGCTTACGAGAAAAAATACATGAAGCAGATGAGAAATCAAGCTTCCAGGAAAAAAGGCACAAGGAAATCTTTAGGGACAAATGGCTCGTTTTTTGCGCCTTTTTGAGACTCAAGAAAATGGTCCAAGAGCTCGGCAATATGCACGGACTGAAATGCAAATGCGATGATCCCTGCGACGCTCTTGAAGGATGCTCAACTTTGATCAATTCTTGCGAGAGGCAAATCTCTCTTGAATTTGCTGATTTGAGCAGCTCATTTTCTATAAAACCAAATCTCGTTATTTCTATCGATATTAAATGCCCCGAGGTAAATGCTCAAGACGGAAAGATCCTTTATGCTCCCTTGAATAACATCATGAACGGAGAGAAAATTCTCAGCATTGAAAGTAGTTTATCAGATGGGGGAAAGAACATCGAGATCGCGAATGAACAATTGAGCTACAGCTTCACTTGTCTTCCTGGAAAATGGCATTCTGTTGAGCTAGAGCATAAGTACGCCCGTGCCAATTCTATGAGTTATCATTCTATTAAGAGAATCGTCCGGATTTCGACAAGAATGGATCAAAATCGACGGTGAAATCAAGCGCGCAAACATTCAAATGTTCTCAGAATTTAGCGATGCCCAAACTTTTGTCGGCCAAATGCTCCACCTTGATTACACATTTCTCCAAAATGAAGATAGAGCAGAGACGAAAGTTCGCAATTTATTTGTTCAGACATTCAATTAATACTTTCGTTCATCTTCTATTGAGAACTTTCTCGTGAAAATGAATAAATTTCTTTGCCACCGTAAAAACTCGTAAACAACCATAAAGCTGAAAATGAAATTTCTTGATTCGATCAGTGATAGTTTTACCTAAATAAATCGAAAGAATCAGAATAAGAAGGTAAGTTACTGATCGCATGAAATTATGAAGGTTCATCATAAGCAATATTTGATTTTTCAAAAATTTCTCTTAATTTTATTTTTTGACAAAATGCTTTCACTAGTTGCATAAACGTTATTGATCTCTGAAGGAAATTTCTATAGGAAAAATAAATATGGTTTCTATGACTTTCGAATAAGCAGTGATTTTTTTTTCTGCTTTGAAAAATAAACAGATGATCAGGAGATTTATTTCCTACAAAATCTTCTCGAATGAGAATAATTTTTTCGATATTTTGTGATTTTCTTAATTTAATTTATTAAAATAATAATTTTATACATTCATTTTTCTTCGTAAAAATTTTGGCAATTTCCATAATCTAACAGACAACGAGTTTCTTCCAAACTTCTTCTTCTTTTTGTTCTTCTTCGGTCTTGAGCCGATTATGTTTTTGGTATTTTGGGCGACGTATTTTTCCATTGTCGGACTCAGTGTTGGATTTGGTGGGAGAACGGATGGAAGAGCAGCCATGTAGAAGGCGGAAAAGCCGCGGCCGTTGCCTTTGTTGTCCGATTGGAAGGTGATAAACAGGCTCTCCCCTGAAGAAATCGTAGAAAAGGGCTGGAAATGGTCTTTTTACCTTGATCAGCAGTATAAATATTATCAGCCAAGAGCTCCGTCGAAAGCGTTCCACAAAGCTCATCGAGTTTTCTTGTCGAATCAAAGTCATTGTTCCCTCTGTAAACCCTAACATAATCGTACTCGCAGTTTCCCTGGCTATCCGGTTCTTCCATGACGATCGATTTGAACTGGAGGTTGACAATGTGGAGCTCACTTGGAGACGAAATTTTCCAAAAGCATTGGGTGTTGAGGGGGTAGTTCAACGGCCAACCTGAAAAAAAAATCTTGATCATAGCTAAGAACCATAAAAATTAAATTTTTGGGATGAGTTTGATTTTTAACCTATCAACTTTTATTCGGTTATTAAAAGAAAAACTTAAAATTCAGTACGTCAATTAGAGCGCGCGGCCTAGATTGTCTAAATCTACACCTGGTGATGAAAATTGTTTGATATCAGAAGACTGTGACTCTAAAAGCCAGTTTTCATCGCAAGTCCTCGTCGCCATCAAATTCTTCTCATGCTCTTTTTCCTTGTCACTCTCCTCCAGGTATTCGACCATGAAGCCCGTTCCCTCGTCTTTCTGATTCGTGTTGAAGTAAAGCGTCAGAAAACCCTTTGAAGAGACTGTCCAAGTTGTTCGAGGAGCGAGGTAGCACTGGGCAGTTCCGATGATGAGGTTGTTTGAGTCGAAGACCATGATGTTGTCGTTGAGGAAGCATTCGCGGGGATGATCGAGGTCGAGAACTTTGAACTTTAGAGGATTTTGCAAGAAAAAAATCTCTAGATTCTAGAGTCTCAAAGGTTCGAACGAAGACCCTTAATTTGAAAATCTAAAGAAAGAATAAGTATTATTTCTTTCTTAGATTGTTCGAATCTATTCATTTAGTCTCGTAATGAGTCTCAGACTCAGAGGAAAACCCATGTCTTGAGCACAATTTTATTCGACGGATTTCTTGCTGAAATGACCCATTTACAACTCTGATTCGGTTGATATCGATAAGGGTAGCCGTCAGAAGTAATCACTCCCGAAGGCCCGTAAAGCTCGCCACCACAGACTTTCTGGCTAATCACATGATTCTGGAGCTCCCATGTGTCTGCCTCCGATTGAAAACTCGAAGCAAAATTTGCGTTTGCAAGTGGATTTGCTGATTCTTCTTGGATTTCTAGAGAAAGGAATGATAACAGATTCATTTTTTCTTCTCCCACCTTTGATAGTTTTGACATTTGGTTCAAACGGGAGCAGATTTCTGTAACTTTCAACTTCCAAGCCAGGCTTGACTCCCGTCTCTTCTCCAATCCAATCGATAAAAACAGAGACTTTCACATACACTCCTGGTGTATACGCTCTAGCACATCCAACTCCCCAGCTTGTGATTCCGTAGATAACCCATGGCGAACCAGGACCAGCTAGTTGGCACATAAGGGGCCCACCGGAATCGCCTTGGCAGGAATCTTTGCCGCCTGAAGGTTCATATTTGTAAACATGATTTAATCGAATTCAAAAAAGAAATTGATTGTTTATCTGAAGGTTCCTTCTTGGCGAACTTTTTTTATTTCTAGGAGAAAAATCGAGAAACTCTACCTTCCAAATGACCGCCGCAAATCATCTTTTCTGAAATCTGATTCGTGTAACCCGGTATTTGCAGACAAGTATCTCGCTCGATTAGTTCTATGTCCACATCATGCAGCTTGTCGGGCAGAATCGTTTTCTTGGCAGAAAGACTTCCCCAGCCAGCGGCGACGCATGTTGTTCCCTCGACAGAAGGGTTGATAAAGGAGTCTTTTGGAGGGAGGCAAATTGGTCGGACGCGGTCGGTAATTTGGATTTCTTGTTCGAGCTCGATGATGGCGATGTCGTTGTTGTAATCAATCGGTTTGTAGAACTAGAAGATTTTGAAGATTGAATAGGAATTTCTAGATGAATAAAATTTCAAAGCCATAAAATTTCTTTTATTATAAAAAATCTTGATCTTTTGAGGACTTAAAATCATGAAAAAGAATTGATGGGATTTCTAGAGGCAAATAGAGGACAACGGACTATTAAAATAGAAAAAAATTATTAAATAAAAAAAAATTGGTGAAAATTACCTCACCTGAGGAAAAAGAATAATCCTCTTCGCTTTTCCTTGTAGATTCCCTGCATCTGTTTTGTCATGCGCGCCGATTATAATTCTCGGAAGGGGTTTCCGGTAAACACAGTGAACGGCCGTCAAGATATATTTCGGATGAATCAAGGTAGCACCACAAGATGATCCGTCAAAATCGAGGTAGACCATCCATGGCCAGCTGTGAGGCCGGGCTTCTTGGCCGCCGACGATTCGGCCAAGGCTTCTTGCTTCAAGGGTCTTTTCATGGGATTGAAAGATCAATAAATTTAAGGGTTCCTTGCATCTGATTTCAGATATTCAGGAACAGATATGGGTCGATCCGGTTTCGTGGAGAGCGGAAAATTTGACCAGCCGTCTTTTTGACGAGATATAAGAGATTTTGCTTGCGACAGAAATTCACTCGACAAAATGATTCAAAATCTACCGTCGAAATTCGCATCGTATACTCGTTCAAACAATAAAAAGTAAAGAAATCAATCCTGTCCTCATTCGTTTCCCTTCTTTTTCTTCCTTTGAATAACAGCTCATTCGGCAACACCCTGCTGGTTCCACAAATTCCCAGCTTCTGAAAATTCCTGACATCTTCTTCTATCTTTTTCGCTTCTCTACCATCATTACTGTAACTATTCGACGTTCCATAGCTGCCCCATCTTCCGCTGTTCTGAGCTCTTATCAAAAATGGAAAAATAAAATTCAAGAAAAACGCAAGTTTGGTCATGCAAACTTTTGATTTTCTCTTGCTTCCGTAAAATGGCCAATTTTAGGCCCGAAATTGAAGTGATTGCTGGAAGCAGCTCAAGTGTCGCTTTATCGAGCACTGGTTAATTCAACCGCGCTGTCCACAACAACTCAGATGTCATAACCGCAAACATCGCACCACTCAGACTGGCCCCTTCATTACGACACGCTGAGCGAACTTCGTGAAAGAGTGACTTTGTTTTTATAAACAAAATTTAAATTTTTGATTTGAAATTTCACGTAAAAACAGTCTTAATTCTTAGTCATTTTTCTTGATAAAAGCAATAAAATACTCGCAAAAAGTAGTTATTTCGATAAAAATTCCAAAATTAAATGTTTTTTTTTTAAATATTAATTTTAACAAATTATTGGTAATAAAATAATTTGAATTTTATCTATAAATAATATTTCTTAAAAAATAATTATATAAATTTATTTAATTAATAATTTAAAATGAAATTATTAAAAATTGATAATTTTCGCTATTATTTTCATAAAAAATTAAGAAGTTTCTCTTAATTTATTTATGTTGTCAGATTGTCAAGGTCAAATCGAGTGGTCTCCGTTTGCCCAAGTCGCCGTTTGCCCAAGTCGCCGTCTGCCCAAGTCGCCGTTTGCCCAACTTGGGCAGACGGAGATCTTAGGCAAACGGCGATGTGAATTTTTTTTTAATTGATTGATCATAAAATGATAGAAGTAAGGCGACAATTTCATTATCATCACTGAGTCTGCTGATTGCGGTCTGATTTGCAGAGACTTTCAGGTGAAAAAAAAGGTTGTCCTGTTATGTCTTTTGAACGGTTAGTAACCGTCGGTTACGTGGATTCTTGACAAGACCACCACAATTTTCTTATATTGTTTTACAATAGTTATATCCGATTTTCGAATAAATTCTTGAGCACAAACACATAAATAAGAGACGAAATGAAAAATACAGTGTCGTGGACTCTACGGAAGCTTTCCGAAATGACATCGTTTACATTGATAACGGAGAGCCTTCGTAATGGATGGTCTAATTATGACAGTCGCTAAATTCTCAATCAAAGTCCTTGTAAACTATTCCCGGAAGAGTTAATCGAGAAGAAAAAGGCTCCGGTTTACTGAGACTGGATCGTAATTCGGTTGTCATAAGATCGTGCATGTGTTTGTAAATCAAGCCTGAGTACCCCTCTTTGCTGGGAGGAGGTTTTGGGAAGAGTTTCATCAGTTTTCCCCTTTTTCTCTTTTTCTTACTAGTCACAATGACTGTTTTCCCTGAGTTTCAATCAAAAATAACTCCAAAAATAGAACGAACCGAAAATGAATCACAAGAAACAGTAATACGGGAAACCATCAATTCAACCAAGTTGGGGATTAGCGCTTGTGAGGACTCGGCGCATCCATCGTTTCCTCAATCTATAGGCCTCGGACGTAAAATCAGCGATTAAACTTTACCTTTTAAAATCTATCCTATCCTGCTGGTTTTGATTTCATAATTCAATATTAGAAATTTCCCGATTTTAGCAATAATAAACTGAAACCAAAGTCTCCTTTGCGCTCATAGAGTTCTGAAACCTTGAATTAATTTCTTAAAATTGAATTATGATTATATTTTCAATTTGATCGCCGTCTGCCCAAGATCGCCGTTTGCCCAAGTCTCCGTCTGCCCAAGTTGGGCAAACGGCGATCTTGGGCAGACGGCGACTTGGGCAAACGGCGACTTGGGCAAACGGAGACCACTCGGTCAAATCAGGATGTTCACCTTGACTAACAAATAAACCGTTGACAAAACCATTTCTACAAGCGTGAAATGCCGAATTTACATTTGTTTGGTCTTCTTTATCGCCTGCCAGAAGCCTGTCCGCAGCAGAAATCAGGAATCAATCAAAAAGAAGCAATTTTTTTCGCGCTTCCTATTTGAAAATATTTTGTAATTTGATTTTACGATTCATAGATTTTCAAGATTCTTGATTCAAAAAGGCGGTTGTTTCACTTGTCATGTGAGAACAATAGAAATCCGAAAAAATGCTTGTCAAGAATTTTTTCGGAAGTTTGCACTTATTTTATCCGGTTTGGATAAATCAAGACCATAATCTCCCGCCGAACTAAACAGCATAAATCACCGTGGTTTAGAAATGTCTATTCGTTGAACTCATTTTGTCTTGCCAAAAACATTGATCAGAACTGACTTAATTATCAGATAACTTTTCAAAAATCATCGTCAAGGAAGCAGCAAATGTAATTGATTTTATACTCCAACAATCGGATCGAGAATGTCTTTCCAATCATCCAAGTCGTAATCCGCGACCCATTCGTTCAGGTTAACCCTGTTCACGAAAATCTCCGGGGTTCCTTAAAAAACTCCTGAAACACGTGATTCGGTAAAAGAAAACAAGAAACGCCGAGTGAGCAGCCATATTTCCAATCAATTCTAGTCAGCCACTCGATGTTGCCGCTATTCATATTCGCCAAAAATGAAATTTTGTCGATTCCAAGATGGTTTTGGACCAAATCGGCGATTAATTCAGCTAGTGACTGCTGGGTACTGACTTCACCGAGGAGCCTGATTTGGGAAAGCTGAATATAATGATGATAAATGAGCTTGATTCGGCTTTATACGTATTCAAACATCAAGTCAAGGTATTCATACGCTTGCTGAGGTTTTAAATTTGCGATGCTTTGAAGGCCAACTGAAGTTTTCCAAGCAGCGATATGATATGGCAGAGGGAAGGCGATAACATTGAGCCTCACCGCTCGTCCATAACAGAGTTGCAAGTTTTGGTTTATTTTTGCTGAGCTGAGCTGAGCTGACCTGCGTAAAAAATTCTCTGAGCTGAGCTGAGCTGGTCTATTTCGCAGCTCAATGAGCTGAGCTGAGCTGCCCTTTTTGAGAGCTCATTTAGCTGAGCTGAGCTGAGCTGAGTGAGCTGAGCTGAGTGAGCTGAGCTGCGCTGAGTGAAATGAGCTGAGCTGAGCTGGGCGAGCTGAGCTGAGCTGAGCTGGCCTATTTCGCAGCTCAATGAGCTGAGTGAGCTGCCCTTTTTGAGAGGTCATTTAGCTGAGCTGAGCTGAGCTGAGTGAGCTGAGCTGAGCTAGGCTGAGTGAGATGAGCTGAGCTGAGCTGAGCTGGGTGAGCTGAGCTGAGTGATATTTGTCTGGGCTGAGCTGAGCAGAACTGATCATGTTTGAAAATTATTGAGCTGACTGCTCAGCTCACTCAGCCAGCTCAGCTCATTCAGCTCAACAAATTTGCAACTCTGGTCCATAATGATCTGCCATTTCGATCAGACTTGGCCACGCACGCTGAGCGTCTTCGTGAAAAAAACAGTACGAGTTTGATGGAAAATTGGAAATGTACCTGGGCATTGGGGGTCAAGAAAAGCTTGGACTTCGACAGGATTATCATCGAAATTCAAGGAAGATTGATTGTAGACGAACCCGACCGGGCGATTCGGGATAGGAGCGAGTCCGAACGAAAATTGAAAAAATATGAACTCTAATAAACGCATTTTTTTGTTGAATTTGAAGTTCCAGTGCATATAAAAGATTCGACGCGGCAGATGGTTTGATTCACAAAAATATTTCACACTCTTTTAATTTTTCATCATCACATGAAAATTGCGCAAAGATCGGAAAAATAGAAAAATATTGAATTCATTGGACTATCTATTGGTGTTTTATTCCAAGTGCTTTTGAACATCTAAAGAGCGTGAATTCCAGCGCCAGCTTCGGCGATCTCCGCGGCTTTTTTCGCGGCTGTTGCAGCTTCGTAATTGGGAAGTGAGTCCTTGCTTTTGGTTGAGTGGATGCTGTTGCGTAAGATTCGCTCAGTATCTGAGAATATAAAAGAGGGCTCTTCTTGCTTTTCTATTTTACCGTTGTCGTAATTGAACTCATCATGCGGCTGATGGGGTCTTCTCCCAACGGCCAGTTTCTTATTCCTTTCCTTCCAAATTGTGCAGTTGAGAGAAATCATCACACTTCGAACGATCAAAATCGCCGCAAAAATACCGACAATGTTGATCAAATGAGAACTTGTATCTTTCCTCAACTCAGTAATGGCGATCCTAGCTTCTTCCTGCGCATCTACCAGTATTTCAAAGTCGTTTAATCGTCCTTTCATTTGTTGTTTTGCTTCGTTGAGTCGCTTGCTGAGCTCATGTTCGATTTTGACATCGCAGTGGGCCGGGCGTTCTTGAAAAAGAATATATATTTTTCAGATTTTTTTGGCTCGAAAACCTGTGTAGAAAACCTGAGTCAGGGTCTGAAAGACCAAAGATCCTCTGTTCATTAATGATTTTTCCGACCCTGACTCAGGTTTTTTACTCAGGTTGCCGAGCCCAGTTTTTCTGAAAACACTTACTTGGAGCAGTACAGTCGCTCATTCTGTAGTGAAGATAGTGAGCCGACGTTGTAAAGGCAGTATTCCACTTGTGATTGTCTTTGTCATGGTTAATTACGAGATGGTCTTCTTCACAGGCTTGAAATGCCAAGTAACAGCCGCCATTGCTGTCAAGATCGAATCCAGTACATTCCTAGATATTTTCGTTTCATGATTTTTCAGGGCAAAACTCACCGGGTAAGAGGCGCAATGATTGTAGCAGTCGTCGACGGAATTGACTCGCAGCGGTTTCGATGTGTTCATATGAGTCCCATCTATGTACCCCGTGCATGATCCATATAGAACATTTTCGCAATGAACATAACCTTAATTTTTTAACACAGAAAATCACTTGGAAACTCGTTACCGTGACATTTGTCATCGATTTCAACACATTCGTAATCGCTAGAAACCTCGAGATTTTTAATGATCGGATGGCAGAACTCATCTTCTTGGCAGGCATTCTCTCCCATGCATGGATGAGCTTATTGAGTTTTTTCAAAGATGAAAAATGAGAGAAAAAACTTACGATTTCCGACCCGACAAGAGACTTCCTCGCGATATTGGGAACTCATGTATTTTCCCCAAGTGCAACATTGGTAAAGAAATTGGCCTTCTGGGATGCAGTCTTCTTCTCGCCTGTTGCACACGTGATCGTCAGTGAAGCATGGGCTTCCTGAAGAAAACAAACGCTATGGAAAGCAGAAATTTGGGTCTTACGTGGATAAGGATTCACATAAGCATTCACAAATGCACTTTTCTCAAAGAGCAAGAAGAGCTTCAAAAATCTCATATGCTCCACTTATTTCTCTTTTTTCTATTTTTTTATTATTTTCAGAGCTGACTTTTTGACAGAAACGAGCATTGATATTTCGATAATCTCCAAGAATTAACATTTTAGTCAGAAAAAACACGAAAAACGGCGAAATTCTTGCCGCTTTTTTGTTTGAAAAGAAAAATAACCTGCTTTTATTTTTTTTTTATTTCCAGTGAATTTTCAAAAGTTCGTTCCTCTGAATTGGTCCAAAATAAATTCCGAGGGATCTTCAAATATAAAATCGACGAAATAGTCCGGATATCTTCTACTCATGTACTCTTCCCCGACGGCGTTGATTTTGCAGATGTTGTCGCGCTTGCTTGCGACGTTTCCAGCGCAGCAGATTTCTTCTTCGCTATCTTGAATGGCAGCCTTGTGAAACGACTTTGAAAGGTCAGGGGATCTGCAGCATCTCTTTGAGCTAGAAGGATTGTAACGGACGCCGTTGAGGCGCCAAGAAGGAGATGGGGTAACGCTCTGATGGCAGCATCTCTAGAATTTTTCATCGATCAGGATTTTTGCTCGAATTCAAACCTCGTCGTTAGGAATCAAATCACCACCGCAGCAAACTCTGTCAAGACTTCCGACAGAACCCTTACAACACTGCTTTTCTTTCGGATTATAGTCAGTTATCCACCCGAGAGTGGAAACACAGCAGCGCTCTGGTTCCGATCTCTCTCGAATTTCCTCGCCGCAGCAAAATTGACTCCGTTTTTCAAAAGCTTGATCGTTGCAACAGCCGAATTTTCGAGAGTCAAAAAGTTTTCCAGCACAGCAAATTTGTTTTCTACGAATAGTGAGGAAAATTCTTAATCGATTCTGACCTCGGTTGATATGTCATAAAACTTCCTCCCTCCAATTCACAGCATTTCGGCCCATTTGACTTTGAAAAATGAATGTTTCCACAGCAAACTCCGTACAACGGCTCAAGAACGTACCCTGAAAGTTGAAAGAGAAACGAAAATGGTTCGGAAACAACCTTCTCCGCAGCCATATTTTGTCGGCGGTAGCTTTTGTCTTCTGAGCGGCTGGAATCCTGCGTCGTTATAGGCGAATTGGTGAACCATTGGCTTGAATTTCTTCGCGAGTTGGAGGGGTTTTCGCGTTGCAAACGCCTTTGTCGTTAGGGCGACTTCTCTTGAGCTTTAAAAAATGATATGGAACAGTTAGAAAATGAAGCTCATAAATCGTTGAAGCTCATTCCTGGAGTCCAAGCAGTAGTGGGCCCAGTTGGAGCCGGAGTCGTCTTCGGCGGCGGCATTGGAAAAAGTGGACAAGCTTCTGGATCCAGTTGAATATCGTCGATGGCGATGTCTGATCGAAAATCGGCCCCCCTTTTTGTATGAAAAACAAAAACAGCTTCTTGAAGTGGTTCCGTCAAATGGACAGCGTCGATTTTGATTTGCGCAAATTTCCAGTCGATCACATTTTCCGATCTTTCAAATGTCGTTCGAAGGTCTTGTCGATCATTACTCGTCGCGGAAAAAAGCGTAACTTTCAACTCTCGAGTTACTTCTCCGTAAGCGAGGTACCAGTACTTCAGGCAGTAGACGGGCTCGGTGAATTTGATCGTCGGAGAGGCAAGGATAAAGACGTCGTTTTCTCTTCCCTCATTCATGCTGGCCACGACATAGCGGCCTCCGATGCTTTTGTGAGTGTGGTCGACTCGTGGGCCAGTGAGAATGCTCTATCAAGGGATAGGAAAATAGAAAGAAAACCCATTTTCTCGCTATTTGGATCGAAAACTGGACTCAGAAACCTGTGTAGAAAACCTGACTCAGGTTCTTGAAGGCTACAAAAAAGCCGCATAAGCTCTTTCAAATCCTAACTCAGGTTTTAACACAGGTTTTTTTAAGCTCTTTTTTTCTTTGGAGTTTTTTCTCTTTATCCCATACTATGACCAGGCCCTTTGCGGACCGTAAAATCATAAACTTCAGCTTCTTCATTTTCTTTCTTAACCAGTTTCATAAAATACTGCATCCTCAAATCCAGCCCCGACCACTCTCTGCACAATTTTCCCGACTCAAAAGTGCAGTGAAAACCAACCCTCTTCTCCACACCGTTTTCCTCTGTCTTCTTGAGAATTCTGTCGTGATACTTGATTGGCCCTGTGATTGCTTCAATATGCCACATGTTTGTTGGATCAAAATCTATTTCTTTCTTCGACACAGAGGGAGGCTCGAGCTTTTTTACCGACATAGGGTCGATCTCTTTCTTCTTTGATTTTTTTGAATCGAAATTAAGGACCATAATTAGGCTCCACGCTTAAAAATTCGTGTCGAAAAAACACGTGATATCACATGTTTCGACCTAATATAAATATTAATTAGTATATGAGGAACATTTTGTTCCGTTACATGAACCTCTCATCTCAATCGGAAAGGGGTTAAAATCGGCCTTGAAGTGCCAAAAACGGCCAATTTCAGTTTTTGGTCACATGACCCCTCCACACCCCACTTTTTCTTGGTTATTATATTTTCTAAAAGAGCTCAAAATTCTCTTTCCATTGATATAGGTCACGACCCTGCCAATTGATATCTCAGCCCTTTTTTGAAGGTTTGAAAGCTTAAAAACAGCGTTTTGGTGACGTTTTTAATAAAAGACAATATTGGGGCTTTTTTCATAAAACAAACGATTGTTTTTGTATTTTGGCCACTTTTGGTCGGTTAAGACCGGAGGACCTCTTGGAGGACCTCATTGGTGGAAGACAATCTGCTGGAAGAAAGAGTCGAAGGCAGGGCCCTGTGATAATTTGACGACGGAAAACTAAACTTAAAAAATGAAGTAAAAACCATAAAAACTAAAAATAGGAAGAAAATATATTTTAACATCAGATGGAGGTGGGTGGGGTTGGGGACGCAACTGAGAATGATCAACTCAGGCTTTTCCCAGCCTATGTCAAGCCCCTTAAATTCAAAAATCAAGGGACGGGGCTGAGACGGCCCGAAGGACCGTCAAGCCCCTTAAATTCAAAAATCAAGGGACGGGGCTGAGACGGCCCGAAGGGCCGTCAAGCCCCTTAAATTCAAAAATCAAGGGACGGGGCTGAGACGGCCCGAAGGGCCGTCAAGCCCCTTAAATTCAAAAATCAAGGGACGGGGCTGAGACGGTCATAATTGACCCTTTAATAAGATATTCAAGTTAAATTAGTTAAGCTTAGTTAAATAAGTTAAATTTACTCTTCCACCAATTTGTTTTCAACCATAGGGGTCCTCCAAGGGATCCTCCGGCCGAATTCGACCATAACAGGCAGATTATTGGAAGTTTAACTGGGTTTTATCATAAAACTTTTATGTTATTATGATTAATTTTACTTTTTTCAAAAAAAAATCCTTAAAAAACACTGTTTTAATACTTTCAACCCTTCGAAAAAGGGTTGAGATATCAATTGGCAGGGTCGAGACACATATCGATGGGAAGAGAATTTTGAGCTCTTTCAGAAAATATAATAACCAAAAAAAAAGTGGGGTGTGGAGGGGGTCATGTGACCAAAAACCAAAATTGGCCGATTTCTCGCACTTTTTGGCAATTTTTAAGGGTCATCACGTGACCTGACATTTTCGTCATAATACAATTTTTTGTTCCTAGGAACATGTTTAACTATTCTAAAGAATAAAAACCCTGAATATCGGGCGTTAAAAAATGGAGCGTTTTTTAAGCGTGGAGCCTAACCATAATAGTCAAACTTATCAGATGAATTTCCATTTTCATCTTTAATTTTATTTGATCAAGATTGTTTTTCAAATAGACCTTTCGTATCAAAATACTTAGACTACTAAAGTACAAATGTAAATTAAGTTTTTATGGTTCAATAGAAAGCCTTACCTGGTGATGAAAATTGTTTGATATCTGTAGAATGCGACTCTAAAAGCCAGTTTTCATCGCATGTTCTCGTCGCCATCAAATTCCTCTCATGCTCTTCTTCCTTGTCACTTTCTTCGAGATACTCGACCATAAAGCCCGTTCCCTCGTCTTTCTGATTCGTGTTGAAGTAAAGCGTCAGAAAGCCCTTTGAAGAAACTGTCCAAGTTGTTCGAGGAGCGAGGTAGCATTGGGCAGTTCCGATGATGAGGTTGTTTGAGTCGAAGACCAGGATGTTGTCGTTCAGGAAGCATTCGCGAGGATGATCGAGATCGAGAATTTTGAACTTTAGAGGATTTTTGAAACCATAAATCCGACAAATAATTTTTCAATTTATTTGTCAAATAATTTTTCAATTTATATTTTATTTTCAATTTATTTGATTATTCAAAATAATCAATTATATCTTTACGAGCCTCTAACGCCTCTTTTCATGAATCCTTTCCTTCAGAACAATTTTATTAGCCGGATTCCTCGCTGAAATGACCCACTTGCAACTCTGATTCGGTTGATATCGATAAGGGTAACCATCAGAAGTAATCACTCCTGAAGGCCCATAAAGCTCGCCACCACAGACTTTCTGACTAATCACATGATTCTGGAGCTCCCAAGTGTCTGCCTCGGATTGAAAACTAGAGGCGAAATTTGCGTTGGCAAGTGGATTCGCTGATTCTTCTTGGATTTCTAGAGGAAGGAATGATAACAGGCTCAGATTCGGATCCCACCTTTGATTGTTTTGACATTTGGTTCAAAAGGGAGCAAATTTCTATAACTTCCAACTTCCAAACCAGGCTTCACTCCCGTCTCTTCTCCAATCCAGTCGATAAAAACAGAGACTTTGACATACACTCCAGGTGTATACGCTCTCGCACAGCCTACTCCCCAGCTTGTGATTCCGTAAATAACCCATGGAGAACCTGGACCACTTAGTTGGCACATAAGGGGGCCACCGGAGTCGCCTTGACAGGAATCCTTGCCGCCTAAAGGTTCATATTTGTAAACATGATTTAATCGAATTTGATGAGAAGAATGATTGTTTATCTGAAGGTTCCTTCTTGGCGAACTTTTTTTGCTCGAGCAGAAAAATCGAGAAGCCCTACCTTCCAAATGACCGCCACAAATCATCTTTTCCGAAATTTGATTCGTATAACCCGGAATTTGCAGACAGGTGTCTCGCTCGATCAGTTCTATGTCCACATCATGCAGCTTGTCGGGTAGAATCGTTTTCTTGGCAGAAAGACTGCCCCAGCCAGCGGCGACGCATGTTGTTCCCTCGACAGAAGGGTTGATAAAGGAGTCTTTTGGAGGGAGGCAAATTGGTCGCACGCGGTCGGTGATTTGGATTTCTTGTTCGAGCTCGATGATGGCGATGTCGTTGTTGTAATCAATTGGTTTGTAGAACTAGAAGATTTTCAAGATGGAATAGCAATTCAAAGCCATAAAAATTTTCTTAATACAAAAATCTTGATTTTTAACCCCAACCCGTGTGGAAAAGTTTGTGAAGAACTGAGAAGATCTAGTGGCCGGAGGATGTAACCGGAGTATTTAAAGAGCGAAAATTTTAATAGTAAAAATCTCTTTGAAAATTACCTCACCTGAGGAAAAAGAATAATCCTTTTCGCTTTTCCTTGTAGATTCCCTGCATCTGTTTTATCATGCGCACCGATAATTATTCTCGGAAGTGGTTTCCGGTAAACACAGTGAACGGCCGTCAAGATATATTTCGGATGAATCAAGGTAGCGCCACAAGATGATCCGTCAAAATCGAGGTAGACCATCCATGGCCAGCTGTGAGGCCTGGCTTCTTGGCCGCCGACGATTCGGCCAAGGCTTCTTGCTTCAAGGGTCTTTTCATGGGATAGAAAGATCAATTGATTTTAGGGTTCCTTTCATCTGATTTCGTAAAAATATAATGAGAAATAGCTCAATTTTAAGTTTTCTTGCAGAGTGGAAAATCGGATTTCACCCTCTTTCGCGAATATAAGAGATTTTCTCATAGAAAAAGTTGAATTTTATAGAATGTTTCGATAACAATTTTTTCATTGAATTTGTCTAGAACTGTCAATAACGATAGAATAAGAGAAATTTCAATCCCATCCTCGTTTGTTTCTCTTCTTTTTCTTCCTTTGAAAAGAAGTTCATTCGGCAACACTCTACTCGTCCCACAAATTCCCAGTTTTTGAAAATTCCTGACATCTTCTTCAATCTTTTTCGCTTCTCTTACATCATTACTGTAACTGTAGCTGCCCCATCTTCCGCTGTTCTGAGCTCTTATCAAAAATGGAAAAATAAAATTCAAGAAAAACGCAAGTTTGGTCATGCAAACTTTTGATTTTCTCTTGCTTCCGTAAAATGGCCAATTTTAGGCCCAAAATTGAAGTGATTGCTGGAAGCAGCTCAAGTGTCGCTTTATCGAGCACTGGTTAATTCAACCGCGCTGTCCACAACAACTCAGATGTCATAACCGCAAACATCGCACCACTCAGACTGGCCCCTTCATTACGACACGCTGAGCGGACTTCGTGAAAGAGTGACTTTGTTTTTATAAACAAAATTTTAATTTTTGATTGAAAACTTCACGTAAAAAAAGAGTCTTTTTTTCTTGATAAAAGAAACCAAATATTCACAAAGAGCAGGATTCTTCTTTTACTTAAGATTCTTCCAGTACGGGAGGTCCTCCAAAAAAAGAAAATGAAATCTGCTCGCTTGGTGTCGCTAATTCGAGCTTTCGGTTTCGGGCCAATCATCAAAAATCATCGGTTATTTCGATAAAAATTCCAAAAATAAATATTTTTTATTGAATATTCATTTCAATAAATTATTGATTACGAAATTTATTAAGTTTTATTTATTCAAAAATATATTTTAAAGACTTATTATACGTCATATGTTTATAGAATTTGAAATTTTCGTCATTTCTATTCAAAAATAAGGAGCCAGCAATTTATTTAGAATCAATCGCATTTTCTAACTTTATTTATGTTGAAAGAAGCCAGCCAGATTGTCAAGGTCAAATCAGGATGTTCACCTTGACTAACAAATAAACCGTTGACAAAACCATTTCTACAAGCGTGAAATGCCGAATTTACATTTGTTTAGTCTTCTTTTTCGCCTGCCAGAAGCCTGTCCGCAGCAGAAATCAGGAATCAATCAAAAAGAAGCAATATTTTTCGCGCTTCCTATTTGAAAATATTTTGTAATTTGATTTTAAAATTAAAAATATCTGCGAATCTTGTCAAAAATGGAATTTCACTTGTCATGTGAGAACAATAGAAATCAATAAAAATGCTTGTCAAGAATTTTTTCGGAAGTTTGCACTTATTTTATCCGGTTTGGATAAATCAAGACCATAATCTCCCGCCGAACTAAACAGCATCAATCACCGTGGTTTAGAAATGTCTATTCGTTGAACTCATTTAAAATGAGTCATTTTGTCTTGCCAAAAACAATGTTCAGAACTGACTTTATTATGAAGTAAGTTAAAAAAACCATCGTCAGGGAAATAAGCAATATTATTGGTTTTATTCTCCAACAATCGGATCGAGAATGTCTTTCCAATAATCCAAGTCGTAATCCGCGACCCATTTGTTCAGGTAAACCCTGTTCACGAAAATCTCCGTGGTTCCTTAAAAATCTCCTCAAACTCGTGATTTGTAAAAAGAATACCAGAAACGCCGAGTGAGCAGCCATATTTCCAATCAATTCTTGTAAGCCATTCGATGTTGCCGCTATTTATGTTCGCCAAAAACGAAATTTTGTCGATTCCAAGATGGTTTTGGACCGAATCGGCGATGAATTCAGTTACTGACTGCTGGGTACTGACTTCACCAAGGAGCCTGATTTGGGAAAAGCTAAAAATAACAATGAAAAATAAGCTTAATTTTACAACGAACATATTCAAACATCAAGTCGAGGTATTCATAAGCTTGCTGAGGTTTTAAATCTGCGATGCATTGAAGGCCAACTGAAGTTTTCCAAGCAGCGATATGATATGGCAGAGGAAACGCGACAACATTTAGCCTCACCGCTGGTCCATAATGATCTGCCATTTCGATCAGACCTGGCCACGCACGCTGAGAGTCTTCGCGAAAAGTTTGTCGATTAGACAAAAAATTTTTGAAGTCACTTAATAGCGCCGCCTAGTGCCGCCTTGCGCCGCCCTGCGCCGCCCAGTCAGTTTTTTTCATCATCACATGTTAATTGCGCAAAGATCGCAAAAATGAAAGAATATGGAAATCATGGGAGTATCTATTGGTGTTTATTTCAAGTGCTTTTGAACATCTAAAGAGCGTGAATTCCAGCGCCAGCGTCCGCGATCTCCGCGGCTTTTTTCGCGGCTGTTGCAGCTTCGTAATTAGGAAGTGAGTCCTTGCTTTTGGTTGAGTGGATGCTGTTGCGTAAGATTCGCTCAGTATCTGAGAATATAAAAGAGGGCTCTTCTTGCTTTTCTATTTTACCGTTGTCGTAATTGAACTCATCATGCGGCTGATGAGGTCTTCTCCCAACCGCCAGTTTCTTATTCCTTTCCTTCCAAATCGTGCAATTGAGAGAAATCATCATAGCTCTAACGATCAAAATCGCCGCAAAAATACCAACAATGTTGATCAAATGAGAGCTTGTACTCTTCCTCAACTCGGTAATGGCAATTCTCGCTTCTTCCTGCGCATCAGCCAGTATTTCAAAGTCGTTAACTCGTCCTTTCATTTGTTCTTTTGCTTCGTTGAGTCGCTTGCTGAGCTCATGTTCGATTTTGACATCGCAGTGGGCCGGGCGTTCTCGAAAAAAATAATTATTTTTCGGATTTTTTTGGCTCAAAAACCTGAGTCAGGGTCTGAAAGACAAAAGATGATCCGTCCATAAATCATTTTTCTGATTGAACTCAGGTTTTTTACTCAGGCTTCCGAGCCAAGTTTTTCTGAAAACACTTACTTGGAGCAGTACAGTCACTCATTCTGTAGTGAAGATAGTGAGCCGATGTTGTAAAGGCAGTGTTCCACTTGTGATTGTCTTTATCATGGTTAATTACGAGATGGTCTTCTTCACAGGCTTGAAATGCCAAGTAACAGCCGCCATTGCTGTCCAGATCGAACCCAGTACATTCCTAGATATTTTCGTTTCATGATTTTTCAGGGCAAAACTCATTTTCGCTTTTTTCGCAATTTTCAATGATATTTCGCTTCGCTTTCGCTTCGCACATGGGCGAACAATTCGCTTCGCTTTCGCTTCGCAAAAATTTGAAAAAATGGTTCGCTTTCGCTTCGCTTTCGCACTAGGATTTCGGCTGATATTTAGACCCCTGCTCACCGGGTAAGAGGCGCAATGATTGTAGCAGTCGTCGACGGAATTTACTCGCAGCGGTTTTGATGTGTTCATATGAGTCCCGTCTATGTACCCCGTGCAGGAGCCATACAGAACATTTTCGCAATGAACATACCCTTAATTTTTTACACAGAAAATCACTTGGAAACTCGTTACCGTGACATTTATCATCGATTTTGACACATTTGTAGTCGCTCGAAACCTCGAGATTTTTAATTATCGGATGGCAGAACTCATCTTCTTTGCAGGCATTTTCGCCCATGCATGGATGCGCTTATTGAGTTTTTCAAAGACAAAAAATGAGAAGAAAAACTTACGATTTCCAACCCGACAAGAGACTTCCTCGCGATACTGGGAACTCATGTATTTTCCCCAAGTGCAACATTGGTAAAGAAACTGGCCTTCGGGGATGCAGTCTTCTTCTCGCCTGTTGCACACGTGATCGTCAGTGAAGCATGGGCTTCCTGAAGGATACTACGGAAAATGGATGTTGATTTGGGTCTTACTTGGATAAGGATTGACATAAGCATCCACAAGTACGGTTTGCTCAAGGAGCAACAGAAGCTTCAAAAATCTCATTTTCTCCACTTTTTCTCTTTTTTCTTTTTTTATTATTTTCAGAGCTGACTCTTTGGCAGAAACGAGCGTTGATATTTCGATAATCTCCAAGAATTATAATTATCGTCAGAAAAACACGAAAAACAGCGAAATTCTTGCCGCTTTTTTGAAAAATTTGCTTTTATTTTTTATTTTCAGTAAAATTTCAGAAATTTGTTCCCCTGAATTGGTCCAAAATAAATTCCGATGGATCTTCAAAAATAAAATCGACGAAATAGTCCGGATATCTTCTACTCATGAACTCTTCCCCGACAGCATTGATTTTGCAGATGTTGTCGCGCTTGCTTGCGACGTTTCCAGCGCAGCAGATTTCCTCCTCGCTATCTTGAATCACAGCCTTGTGAAACGACTTTGAAAGGTCAGGGGATCTGCAGCATCTCTTTGAGCTAGAAGGATTGTAACGGACTCCGTTGAGGCGCCAAGAAGGAGATGGAGTTACGCTCTGATGGCAGCATCTCTAGAATTTTTATCGATAAGGAAAACAACGGATTCAAACCTCATCATTAGGAATCAAATCACCACCGCAGCAAACTCTGTCAAGACTTCCGACAGAACCCTTACAACACTGCTTTTCTTTCGGATTATAGTCAGTTATCCACCCGAGAGTGGAAACACAGCAGCGCTCTGGTTCCGATCTCTCTCGAATTTCCTCGCCGCAGCAAAATTGACTCCGTTTTTCAAAAGCTTGATCGTTGCAACAGCCGAATTTTCGAGAGTCAAAAAGTTTTCCAGCACAGCAAATTTGTTTTCTACGAATAGTGAGGAAAATTCTTAATCGATTCTGACCTCGGTTGATATGTCATAAAACTTCCTCCCTCCAATTCACAGCATTTCGGCCCATTTGACTTTGAAAAATGAATGTTTCCACAGCAAACTCCGTACAACGGCTCAAGAACGTACCCTGAAAGTTGAAAGAGAAACGAAAATGGTTCGGAAACAACCTTCTCCGCAGCCATATTTTGTCGGCGGTAGCTTTTGTCTTCTGAGCGGCTGGAATCCTGCGTCGTTATAGGTAGGCTTACCGGACTAAAATTTGGCCACTTTTTCTAGCCTAGTAAGGGGGTTATATGACACAGTTTTAGAAAGCCCAGAAGCTGAGCTCTCATTTGGGCACCATATCAAGGGGTCAAAAGTGGACCGCGGTCGAACCCTAAAATAAATAATGAGTTTAGAACTCAAATCTTGGAATTTCCAGAACTTCCGGTTCTTTACCCCGACTTCTAGCGCCCCCATGAGGCCACAAACCCTCCACCTGCTAGATTTTTTGGGCTCAAATGAAAGCTCAGAGTCTCAGCTTTCTAATACGCCTATTCTTGACTGCTCTTAGCGGGGGACCGGCATCGAAAAACTCGATTGAAGAGTTCTTGTGCCTATTTTGGAACTTCAGGTCCCATGAATTGCCTTGCGGGCATGACCCAGACCCCTTGATATGGTGCCCAAAGGAAAGCTCAGCTTCTGGGCTTTCTAAAACTGTGTCAAATAACCCCTTACTAGGCTAGAAAAAGTAGCCAAATTTTAGTCCGTTAAGCCTAGTTATAGGCGAATTGGTGAACCATTGGCTTGAATTTCTTCGCGAGTTGGAGGGGTTTTCGCGTTGCAAACGCCTTTGTCGTTAGGGCGACTTCTCTTGAGCTTTAAAAAATGATATGGAACAGTTAGAAAATGAAGCTCATAAATCGTTGAAGCTCATTCCTGGAGTCCAAGCAGTAGTGGGCCCAGTTGGAGCCGGAGTCGTCTTCGGCGGCGGCATTGGAAAAAGTGGACAAGCTTCTGGATCCAGTTGAATATCGTCGATGGCGATGTCTGATCGAAAATCGGCCCCCTTTTTGTATGAAAAACAAAAACAGCTTCTTGAAGTGGTTCCGTCAAATGGACAGCGTCGATTTTGATTTGCGCAAATTTCCAGTCGATCACATTTTCCGATCTTTCAAATGTCGTTCGAAGGTCTTGTCGATCATTACTCGTCGCGGAAAAAGCGTAACTTTCAACTCTCGAGTTACTTCTCCGTAAGCGAGGTACCAGTACTTCAGGCAGTAGACGGGCTCGGTGAATTTGATCGTCGGAGAGGCAAGGATAAAGACGTCGTTTTCTCTTCCCTCATTCATGCTGGCCACGACATAGCGGCCTCCGATGCTTTTGTGAGTGTGGTCGACTCGTGGGCCAGTGAGAATGCTCTATCAAGGGATAGGAAAATAGAAAGAAAACCCATTTTCTCGCTATTTGGATCGAAAACTGGACTCAGAAACCTGTGTAGAAAACCTGACTCAGGTTCTTGAAGGCTACAAAAAGCCGCATAAGCTCTTTCAAATCCTAACTCAGGTTTTAACACAGGTTTTTTAAGCTCTTTTTTCTTTGGAGTTTTTTCTCTTTATCCCATACTATGACCAGGCCCTTTGCGGACCGTAAAATCATAAACTTCAGCTTCTTCATTTTCTTTCTTAACCAGTTTCATAAAATACTGCATCCTCAAATCCAGCCCCGACCACTCTCTGCACAATTTTCCCGACTCAAAAGTGCAGTGAAAACCAACCCTCTTCTCCACACCGTTTTCCTCTGTCTTCTTGAGAATTCTGTCGTGATACTTGATTGGCCCTGTGATTGCTTCAATATGCCACATGTTTGTTGGATCAAAATCTATTTCTTTCTTCGACACAGAGGGAGGCTCGAGCTTTTTTTACCGACATAGGGTCGATCTCTTTCTTCTTTGATTTTTTCGCATTTGAAAATGATAAAAGAATAAATGTTAAAATCCTCATTTTCAATTCAATTATTTTGCGGGAAAAATTTTAAAGCGGAAAAAAATAAATAAAATTGGAGCGCTGATCGGCTTTAGGGAGGATTATGAAGGTATTAACAAAATGCATATGAATTTAGTAATAACAAAATATTTTTAAAAATTATATCTCTAGTTGACCATTGGCATTTTTCTGGTTTATTTTGTTAACTACCGGTTTAACCGGTAGGTAAAATAGAAGTCCTGAACTGGTCGAACCTGATTTGTTCACGTGAAGAAACCACTTTTCGTCAAAAGTGCTCCTTCCACCTTTTTCTTGGCTTTGTTCCAACCACATCAATGTCCCAAAACCGGTTTCAGGACAGCGCATATTTCCGCTGCGGCACCTCAACCTTGTAAATTGCCACTTTCGCGATTTTACGAAAGAGAAACGTCGTTGCAACGAATTATTCGTTGCCCTAACGAATTATTTTCAAGGGCAAACAGCCGTAAAAATAATTCGCTTAAAACGAATAATTCGTTAGGGTTACAGAATTACTCGTTTTGAAAGGCGGTCCTCCCGCTAGGTTCACAACTCGATTTTTCATAAAAAAACTGACTAAAGGCGCGGCTGAAATTATGACAGCATATTCAAAAAAGAGTTTATCTCTGAAATAAGGCGCGGAGCGCATATATGCCCTCATTCAACCGGTTTCAACGAATTATTGCTCCGGTTACCAAAAAAAAACGGTTCATTCATGCGCTTTTCTCAAAAAACTCAAAATATTCAGCGATAAAAAAGCGAGCTAAGAAGCCCTCTTACGTGTCCATAAACACCCGATAAATTATTCTAAGCCGCGGAAAAGAGGGCTGATAGGTTCCATTTTTCCCGAGATTAGCGAAAGTTGTTTAGATTCGAGCTTGAAATGGAAAGTTCTTGGAACAGAATTTCTCCAGATTTTTTCGCTAATATATGTTCGGAGTTTTGAAAATTATGTATTTTCAGCGCTCCCGCAAATTTTATATTTCGCGTAATTCGAAGTCCCGAAACCGGAAGAAAGCTTTTTCCAAGGAAGAAAATGCAGGTTCGAAAATGAAAGTGATATTTTCGCTTAATTTTCGCAAGTTTTATGTTCATTTTTGCAAATATTTGGAAACAAAAAGTCAAGCCTGGTTAATTTATCCGCGCCAAATCGCCGGCCAAATGTCAAAAATTGGCTTTCTAGAGCCGATGACTATTTTAACTCGTAATTAACCCAATTCCCGTGTCAGCCACAAGAACCTCTCGACGAGTGAAAAGAGCCAGCTTGTGGGCAAGAAGCTCTTTTTCGCGGTTGAAAACACATTTCCGGCTGTTTTGAGCTCTTTTGAAATTTGAGGAAATTTTATTTTTCTTTTGCTCAACTGAACAATAACTTTGCTTGAAATTGAATAACATATCATTTGGGACCCTGACACAGATTTTTACACAGGTAGCTGAGCCAGGATATTTCGGCTTCTCAATTTAGAGCTGAACTCGGCAACCTGTGTAAAAACCTGACTCAGGGTCTCTAAAATGCTCTTTGTGGGACCCTGACAAAGGTTTTTACACAGGTTGCCGAGTTCAGCTCTAATATAAGCCGAAATATCCGGGCTCGGCGACCTGTGTAAAAACCTGTGTCAGGGGGACCCTGTGTGAGAGCGTTTTCGAGACTCTGACTCAGATTTCTTACTATTGAATTTAGAAACCTGAGTCAGTTGTTGTCAATTTGTTTTTGTTTTTGCTGTTGTAGGACCCTGACTCAGGTTTTTTTTCATTGCGAAGATTCAGGGAGCTCCCGAAATTGAACAAAACGCGGCTCAAGTGCAACTCACGTTCACCGAAGAGAAACGAAAACAAAGCTCGCGGTTGTGACAAGCGCTGTCTCTGGAAAGCACTTTCTTTTCTATTCTCTTTTTTCAAATCCGATTTTCCTCCGTCAGAACTCTCCTTTTTTTGCAGCTTCGAAAATATTGAAATCGCAAAGGTTCAAGTGTCCAAATTTTTGATCAGGCACTTGGGCTTTTGGGACGAGTGGAAACAGATTTTCAAAATAATTCAAAATAATAATTTTCGCGCTGACACGTTTTTGGAAATTTTTATTTGTCACCATTCATAATAATTTTCGCCGGTTTCATCATCTTCTGTTTCTCCTTCGGCTCGTGGGCTTGGAAACAGAACCTGCGTCGTCAACAAATGGCAGATAATCGAGCAAATGAAGCAAATGGCAAAAAGAGTGCAGAAAATAATCAACAATTTTTCTCGATCGAGGTCCTCAAACTCGATCTCTTTTAACCATAGAAGAAACTGGATTCGATCTTCTTCTGTAGTGTCCACGTCTCTCCCTTCTGCAAGAGCCATTTTTACGAGTAAAAAATTAATTAAAAGAATTCTTGGAAAAATGATCATTTTTGTTTTATTTCTCATCCTCGCGGGGCTTAGCAGATTGAAAGAAATGATGCAAAATATGCAAATTTTTTTTCAGTCATCAAGAGCATCGTTTTCTTCTTCTTCTTGCTCTTCATCTTCATCTTCTTCTCTACTGCAACACCAGACAGACAAAAACAAGAGCAGAAAAACACCTGCCAAAGTGATCACGATTTCGTACTTCAAAAAATATCATTGTTGAAAAGAAAAATTGAAGTAGATACCCATTGAAAACCTTCCGTGTTCATTTTCCTTGAAAGGCTGCTCATCCAACCTCCATTTGAACCTCCTCTGCTTTTGCCCCCTTTTGCTTCAGCAATATGAAGAAAAAGAAGGAGCAAGAAATCTATCATCTTTTCTTTGATTCCAGATTATTCATACGGGGCTTAACACCTCAAAATGAACATTTTTCTGCAAAATAAGCATTTTTTATAGCAAAAAAAAGTTTTCGCATTAATTTTTCCCTCTATTCCTTATTTTCATGATCGCTCATTGCGACAGCGCCATCTAGACCGCTCAATCCTGCGCATATAAATCCCCCGCTGCGCTCCCTTTAATCAAACTCTAGAAATTCCAAAAACAAAAAGAGAGAAATAATTATGATAAAAAGTTTGAAAATTTTTCTTTCCCTTTTTCTCCCAACCGAGCCCTTTTCCCTCGGAATTCTCGACGGTTCCGCCGCTTACAATTTCGATCAATACAGAGGAAAAACATTTGATGGCTTCATTCGGCACTCTAATAATCCGAATTATGTTCGCTTGGCGAATAAGGATATGTCGCAGTACAGATTGATTACTGAGGGAGAGTGGGAAAGAATGGACAATACTCAATGGAACAACAATCAGAATAGGCAGGGAGAAGAAATTCAAGAAAATCAGGTTCGTAGAAAATGATTTTCCAAATGAGGGTTTTGATTGGCCGGCAGGCAAAATGCGGCAATCTTATTGGTCCTTCAAAAATGCACTTCTTTTTCTTGCTTTTAGCTGATTTTTCACTTCTTCATCGTATAATTTCGATCTTTTTCTTCTTTTTTGACCCTTTTAAACTCTCTTTTCTAGCCAGTAGTCGAGTTCATCGAGTCTGAAATCCCAACCACCATCATTCCAATCGTCACCACCCGCGCCCGCCTCGACTGTTCCACAATCCAGCCTGATGTGTACCCTGAATGCTCCGGCTGGATAAAAAAGTGCCACGTCAAAGATATCTTCATTTCCTGCCCGAGCACTTGTAGTGGCTGCTAGTTCTTGTTTATTTTGAAAAAAATCGAGATCGACTTTGATTTCGATAATTTGTACACTTATCGAAAATGACTTGTGAAAATAAATTCATTCAAATGCTTCTAAAATCGCTGTTTTTGCATTTTTTCTTCAAGATTTTTAAAATATTCTAGGGTTAGAGTTACTTTTTGGTTTTCTGAGGATTAAAAAATCAAATTGATACCACAAGAATTTCTGAATTGAACTTGCTTGGGTTTTAAAATTGGCTTAACGAACGCCAAATTCAATTCTTGTCTCCAAATTCACTAAATCATCAGCGCAAACGTGACCAGTTGTAAAAATTCTATTTGCAGAATTGCTTTCCTATGCAAATTATTTATTTCAGCAGGAGTCAAAAACGCGAGCCAATTCAATGTCGCAAGTCGAAATTCCGGAAATAACTTCAGAAGAAAGAGTCACGTTTAGTTGATTCTCATAGTTTGTCCATCGTGGAAAATGCTGTATGAATTGTGCTCGCTCTGCGACGCGAGAAAGACAGTGATTCGCATATTGGAAGTCGTCAAATTCGAAGTTTTTCATCGCTGAAGAGAAAGCTCGAAATGACTAAATCTAAATAATGGTACCGAATTGATCATGTTCGATTGTCCAATCGTTTGTTATCAAAAACGCTTTCTCCAAGTCTGAAATCGGTGAGGAAATTTTGCTGATGCCGCTGAAATCTGGCTGAATATCTGGATTTTGATGAGCGTTGGCAAGAAAGAAAAAAAGGAGGCTCAGCATTATTTCGAGAAAAGAGGTTGGTCTTTCTATCGGAAGAGTCACAGGAGCTTCGGTAGTTTTAGGAGTTCTAGTCGTTGTTGTTGGCGCAGCTGTAGATACAGGAGGCCCCCAGAAGAGCAGATCTCGTCGCAATTCTCTACTCTCAAATCGCAGCAATTTTCTGTCAAACTTTCAGAAGGCCAGTTGCAATTTTTAATCCCATCGTCCCAAACAGTCCCCGGCGCGCAATCCTTGACCACAGTTTTGTCCGAAACATCGCAGTGATAAAACTTCTGGCAAATGCAATGGGCAAAGTGCCCATTCAATGGCTTGTTGTTTTCTGCACAGAAGTTCTCAGCTCTGGCAAGCGAGAAAAAATGGAAAAAGATCATTTTTGAACGAGTGCGATTGAGAGTGAGGATTTTATGCTCTGAACTAAAGCGCCCCTTATTAAATTTCTTTTGTATTTTTTGTTGAAAAAAATTGGATCAGATTTGTCCAAGACGATTTTTTCTCAGCAGAAAGGATTGAAAAGCGTCGTCTTCTAGTCCAAGTTCGATATTTATTCATTTCGGTTGAGTGACTGAAGTTTAAATTTGGTTGCAGGAGAAAGTCTGATCAAAGTTAAACACAAGCTTGTTCTTTCCTGAAGGGCCGAATTTGCAGGAAAAATATTCAGTAAAAGTCGATTGTCCGTCAAGCTCAAGTTGAATTCCGACCCAAATGCTTTCTTGATCCACGCCAGAAAGTGTAACTTGAAAAATATGAATAAAAATCTCAAACGAGTCGCAAACCTGAGAGCATAGTATGAGTTACAAGGAGTTCTGAAAATCGCTGCGGGGAAACTGAAAAATTTTTTGTTTTTTCTTTGTTTGTTTTAATTGCTTTGAACCTTTGACCCATTTATTAATTTCGCCAAGAATCGTCACATACGATTGAGATCTTCCGGGAATAAGAATCAGGGGAGCAAAATACATCATCTTCAGCTTTTCTGATGGCGCTAGAAAGTGCTCGAATTCATGATCAATTTTTCTTCCTTCCGATTTTTCGAAGTTTTCTGTGAGAAGAAACTTGTCCCCTTTGCCGCTTCTTGTGAAATGAAAATTTCTCAAATTATGACTTCGATGAACAGTTTTCTCTGTCACATTTTTGTACAGAAGTATGATTCCCCATCGATGGCCATTCAGCTCAGAATATGTTTCAAACTCCGAAGTTCCATTGTTCACTTCCCAAGGATTCAGTTCCCAGAGAAGATGGTCGGGACAAGCGATCGGACGGGACGGTTTAAGAATTTTTCCGTCAGGCCGAATCGACTTGCTGACAAGGTCATCATTTGTGTAGCCAACTCGGTCGCTGATTCCGACGATTCCGGTTGAGAGAGTTGCCATGGCCGATTCGAGCTCCGGATGCCATTCGGTAATGTTTTCGTAGCCTGAAATCAAGGAAGAGTTTTCAAGGAATCATTCATTACCTGGATGACCCGGCTGCTTTGGCGTCGTCCAGAAAGTATCTTTGAAAGGGGCGAGACCAAGAGCATGAGTGTAAATGGCGGAAATGCTGATGTCCCACTGTCGATTTCCCGGCTCGTAGTCGCCTGAGGATCTGATGGAAACGACGTTTTGAAGCTCGACAGATTGGAGCATATGTCGGGAAAAAGCCATGCAATAGAGGATAGAGATGCCATTAGCTTCTGCTGCTTGAGACATCTGAAGAAGCCAATTCCTCTCTAGAAATTTTCCAAATGTCTTGTTTTCGTCTTGTTTTTTACCGATTGAAAGATCTTTCTCAAGCACCGGAAGCTTGCTTGTTGCGACTCCCATCCAATCTTGAAGGTACACCCTTAATTTTTGATAAGCTTTTGCAGAAAAAGAATATTACCGAAGACCCCATCTTGTTGAATTTCGAAAGAGATCATCCCAAAACTGATATTCCGTTGGCAAAGCAAAGCCCGTCTTTCGGTCAATCGAAAAATCATAACCCCCTCCATTTTCCTTCGCATAAGTCGTATTGCTACACCACCAGCGATTATGAGCGATGACGGGTAGGGAGGTATTGTAATAGAGGCCTTGCATCGAATCAGGAAAAGCATCAGGTCTTGCTGTCCAAGATATCGTTCCTCCGCCTCCGTCATTTGCATGGCCGCCACATTTGTAGTACCACATTTTGACAGGGTTGAAAATCGGGCATTTTACGAAATCAAGGAAAGATCAAAATAATTTTCAAACCCGTCCCAAGAATCAAGGTTCCAGCTTCGAATTGGTACTTCTGGCTGTCCAAATCGCAGTTCGTCGTTTACATAATTCATCGTTTCCTGATACGTCCCATTCGGATTGTAATAATAATAAGCACCTTGGTCAGTCCAGTAGCTCAAGTAATTAACTGTCAATTCAGACTCTCGATATGCTCGTGTCTTCCCATATTGCTTCAGCAAAACATCGCCCCAGGCGTGAACACTCTCATAAAATCCCTCGTTTCCAAAGTGCAGGATAGTTTCGATTTCATAGTTTGAAATATTCTCCAATGATCCGGGCAGGCCAAAAGAAAGGGTAGAGCGGAGAGGAAGAATTTCGATTTCAGAATTGACGGCGGTGAATTTTGAAAAAGACGAAATTGTGAAAACTTGACTAAAATGCCCTGCTGAAGAATTCGTTTTGTCAAAAATGAAGAAGGGTCCCCCTGAAAGAATTTTTATCAAAAGAAGTCTTCCTTGATTTCAACGACCTTTTAGTCCCCCGCATAATTTATCCGCATTTTCTTCATTCCATGGTACCCTAACCATCTCTTGTTCTCCTGCCATATCATCGCAAGGATTGATAACGAACATTTCTTTCTTCCCTTGTTTTGGGATCTCGAAGCTGGGAAAACTCGTGGAGACGGAATTGGGATCGTTGTTGGACATTCCCTCGAGATGGTCAAATTTCTGGTTAAAGATAACAAAGGTCTGGTAGTGTCGAACTGACGCTTCCATCAGCAGCTGAGATTTGAATTCGGTAGAGTTGAAGTGGAGAGTTGTTTTCGTGAAGATTCCGTGTACATCAGTGCCTGTTTCTTTCTTCACAGTCGTGATCTGGAGAGTGTTGTCGGTGGTGGAGTAAGTTTTGTTATTCGCCCGAATGAAGTAAGCACCAGAAGCGAGGTTGAAATCGTCTTCGTCGCCGGAGACCAGAAATCCTCCATTTTCCCACACTAAAATTCAGTTATTCGAGATTAAAATTAAGTCAACTTACAATTGAAATTTATAGAAAAAGCATAATTCAGGAGAAAAAGGAAAATTTTCATTTTTTTTTTCTCGAGAAATAAAATTATCATCCAAAACGAGGAAAATATATTTGACCGTGAAAAGATGATCAAACAAGCTCTTGAAATCAAAAATTGCCATTTGTCATTGTAAAGCGAATTTGCAAAATGTTAATTTCATGGCGATAAGATTCGGCCCGGGAAGATAAAATGAAAGGATGACCGATTGGCACCTCGTTGATCACCTCCATTTAGCAATTCGTCAGGAGCCAATTTCGCGGTTCAGATTTACAAAGTGACTACAGATGCACGCCTCGTTCCTGCGCTAATTTATGACCTACTCGAGTGGTGGAGCCGCGAAAAGGAAAAAACTTGAAGAAAAAAAGATGAAAACAAGAAAATGAACTCATTATCGCATCATACTGTATGATTCATACACCCTTATTGCTTCTTGCTTTTGCTGCGGATCTCATGAAAATTTCACGCCCCCATTCCATCAACTGAGCTCATTTGATCATCCTGAAGGCCGCCGATCCTGATCAGATAGCTAATAAGTCGGGCCAACACACGCCCGGGGCGACCAAAAGGATACATAATGAACGGGATGGAATCACGTATGTGTCGACTTGTTCTCAAGACGAGGCGCCCATTTATCACTCTGCTAAGGATGGAAAAATATACGAGCCAAGTTAGCCCGATTTTCTGCTGAGGAACAAGTTCATCTACCTATCATTTCATGCGTACTCAAAAATATATCTTTTGCGGTTGTTTTGAGAACAAGGTGAAAACAAGTATGGAAGAACCTGATGAAAGATTGGCCCATTTATCAAAGCGCATTTCACGACCTGCGCTGGCGGACTTGCACCTACCCTGCTCATTTATCATTTCCGCTCAGGCACCAGTTCATTTTGGTTATAAATGGCCCTTTGGGAGTGTCTGTACTCATTTTCCTGCATTCGAATACAGAAGATACTAATAAACGATATCTTTTCTAGCTTCAAAAATAAAGTATAAAATTTCAAAGAATAATTTTTCGATTTTTGATCTAAACCCTGCTAGGGAAAAACCATAAATCTTTTAACAAAAATAGCAGCAAAGATTTTTAAAAACAGAATTTCAAGTTGAATTTAGGCAATAATCATAAGAGAACTATGAAAATATGAGAATTAATTTGAGTTTTTAATTTCTTAAATTTTTACCTTCTTGAATAAATTTTCCTTCAAAGCGAAACTTTCGTGTCAAAAACGAGATTGGCTGATCCTCCCTCGGGCGGCGTCCCTTGATCCTCTCGCTGGATGGCGCTCTCTGTAGGTCGAAAATCACCGCGGGGCTGAGCCCGTCCAGATTTATAGAAGTATATCGAGTAATAAATTGGCCCGTTATCGTTACAAATCGGCTGTCAACACACAATCTTCGCCATTATCGTTATAAACGACCCCAAAAACCAAGATAAATTGGAAACGATTAAAGAGATAAATCGAGAGAAGTGCGATCAAACGGGAATCCGGGGAACACACCCACCTACTGCAGGAAATCACGAATCATGAATTGGAATTACACAAATCAATTTCCATCTACGAGCTGGACTCACTACCCAGCTCAGTATGATCCACTCGATCCGGTAAGAATATTTTTTCTAGAAAAAGATCCTTGACTGAATGCATTCGTATTTCAAATGATTCAAAAGCCATATTAGTATCATAATTTCGGGAAATTGGCTTCTAAGAAATATTATCTCGGTGATCAGAAAAAATAACTCTTTTTATAAAGTATTGATTCAAAATTGTTATTCAGGCGGTTCAATTTCTCCATCATCCTCTTCAGCCACCAGAGCTCCCCGAGCCAGAAAGGTAAAAAACGCCATTCTTCCCTTTCCTTTCTCTTCATCATCGATTCTAGAGTTTCATTCGAGCCAGTGTCCTACCAACTCCAGCCACATGAGCGACCCCTCTATCCGGAACCGCTACCCCTTGGGCCAGTGAACGGATCTATTCCCCAGTCGCTAATGCATCATCAAGATGATCTGGGCAGCTGCGACTCTCGAGATAACAAGTCTGACGATGCAAAGTCGCTGAAAATCTACCCATGGATGCGGCGCATGCACTCTGCTCAAAGTAAGAAAAAATGCCCGACAAACATTTTCTTAACATTTTCAAAATGAAGTGGCTGCAGAACAATCACAAAAACAAGGAAACGATAATAAACGAATCAGAACAGCGTATACGAGACATCAGACATTGGAACTAGGTTGGTACTCTTCCTTGATTTCATTCATTGACTGGCTATTCATTCAAGCTTTTTGAGGCCTGAGTCAGGTTTCTGGCACGAATTGCTGAACCTTGTCCCTAGAGATCCATGTTCTTCCGGGTCAAAACTATGAATCTAAAACAAATAATCCTGCGGTTTGATTTCCGGCTAGAGTTCAAGCTTGTTTTTTATTGACATTCACATGGCTTCTCATATGCTATTTTGGGTACAAATGATTCTTTTCAGAGAAAGAATTCCATTTCAATCGATACCTGACGCGCAAGAGGAGGATCGAAATTGCAACTACTCTTCAGTTGTCTGAGAGACAAGTCAAAATATGGTTCCAGAATAGGTTTGGAGACACGGTTTAATGAGACGTAAAGGATTTTTAGGAGAATGAAATGGAAGAAAGAACACAAATCGAACGGAAAAAATGCACAAGAATAACGAAAAATATGCAATAAATTTAATGTTTGGTTGTATATCAAAATTGTAAATACATGTCTTAATAATATGCTCCAGATTTTCTGAATTCCAGAAAGGTTTTGTTCTTCCCTCGGAATCCTGACCTGTTAAAATGACTGTTACTGTCCCTGTTTACAAGATTCCGAGGACAAACCAAGTTCAAGCTTTTCTCAGAAAACAATTGAGCCTCACAGACAGACTGTGAACATGACAGTAGTGACAGACGAATATAACGCCTGTAACTTGCGATGCACTTTTTGGTCTCCTTAGGAAACTCTCTTCTTTCATAGAAATGAGAACTCTCTGTTTAATATACCTTGGTAGGTACTAATGTTCTCCGCAATTGATTCAAACGCACATGCAAAAATCCATTCTGAATCATAATAAATGATGCAGGATGACGAGCGGTTGGTTTTCTTTTGTAAATGAAAGTTGTATCTATCTGTTACAAATTAAAATGTTAATGCTAGGCCGCATATCCTCCTCTTTCTCGGTAGAGCACATTTGAATATGTCTAAAGATGTCAGCAAATCTCGTGATTTGCTTTATATCATAACCCTAGAAGTTATTATCTTGAGAACTTGAAAAAGGTCATGGTTAGGTCGTGCTTATGTCAGGAGAAAATGTTTCTCTGAACAAACAACCGTGAGCATGACAGTACTGACAGACGAACCACGCTTGTAACTTGCGTTATTTTTCTTTGTATAATTGTTCAATGAACCGTCAAACTCGTCTTGTATAAGATCAAATGATTTTGCCTCGGAAAAGCATCTTCTGATTTTTCTCAGAATGCAGTTTCTCTTCCTTTTATTTTTGCCAATGTCAATTTTTGCGATAGATCCGTACGCCCATACGAAGATCCATACTGAATCCTGGAAAACGATGAACGACGAAGAGCGACTGCTACTTCTTTATAAATATACGCTCAAGTGCGAAACTGGTATGACTCCTCGTTGTCTTCTTCTGCTCATGATATTTTAAGATGCGATAAACGCCGTGGAAAATCAAGGAAAAGATCTCACTGCTGATCTTTACCAGCACATCCTTGACGAATGCCATGAATCACCAATTCTCACCATGATTTGGAAGCAATAAAAACGCAAAAATGTTATTAAGAAATGTTGACTTTATTAAGTTATTTGAGCCAATTCAGAGAGAGACTTCTCCGATTCGAATTTTGTTTGACTTCTTTTGTACAGTTGTATCTATCTGTATTATCACAGCAGAACAGGGAAGCGCTAGAAGGGATTCTAGAGCCCGCTTTTTCGAAGGTATAAAAAGGGAAACACACAGGTCGGAACATAGAAAAAAGAAATGCTATTTGGCAAAGTGGAAAGAATGATATGTACAGATTGATAAGTTATGGCAGCATTTGAAGATCGGCAAATAACATGAATAGAGTTTTTTCTTAGTTTCCAATGACCCAGTATTTTTTCCCGATGGATTCAGGGATCTGGACGCGCTCAGTGTTGGAAAATCCGAGTTCGTTGGATCGGGATCCTTGGGTTTCTCGCACAGGGACAGCGCTTTTGGCGATAGCCTAAGAATGAAGAATTAATTTCATTAATTTTTTCTGAGAAACCATAATTTTTTCTTTCATTGTTCAAATAAATACTTATCAAGATAACGATAATTGAATATCTTAATATCTGAATTGTAAAATGTTGACATCTGTTGATTGATAAATGAGTTCGATTTATTTGCAGTACTTTACTTAGCCATAAAAAAATTTCTTTTTGCACGGAACCCGGTATTTATAGAATCAATCTCGATTTATGTATTAACAGTTGTCTTGGTTTACCAGGGCTCTAAGTCTACTGGTCTGATCTGGACTAAAGTTTTAGTCCTTAGTCTAAATTCTAAAAGTCTAGCAAGACATGACTCACTCTGATCTCTTAACTAGTCGACTAGACTTAACTAGACTAAAAAATCTGATGAGAAAGAGTCGACTCTTTACCGTAAACATAAGTTTGGCGTGTCCTCACAAAATTTAAGCTAAAGATAATACCTTAGGTATTATACCGAAATTTTTTATTTTTCGACTTTACTCATCGAATATGGCTTCATTTTTGCATTGAAAAATGCCTAAAATTGTTAACATAGGCTATGTTACATAGCTTAGACTAAACGAGGACTAGCAATTTTGGAAAATCTCAAGACTAGACTAGACTAGACTTCGACAAGCAATTTTTAAAATAATTTAGATTTGACTAGACTTAGACTACTGAGTTCGGGATCAGATTAAGAATCCTGATACAAACCTGATAAGTCGCCTGAAAACCAGCAGAAACAGAAGTCTTGTCGGTAACCATCACGACGCACAATCCTTGACCCTGAGAAAAGTGCTCCCAAACTGATTTCCTCTTCTTCAATCCGCAGAGAACCGCGATCTGAAAAAATTTTCTGTTGAGCTCGAGAATTTCTTGGCTTCTTAGGAGTCCGGATCTCTGGCTAATTACCCAAATCAGTGAATTAACTGGTTATAAAACAAGCAAAACAAAAATTATCGAGATTTCACGGGCTTTTGAATGCTCGCCAACGTGATATAAGAGAAAATCGCGAATTCTACCTGATTTTCGGGAGTCAGATTGTCCTTGTTACAGTCAGGGGAACTGTATAGCGCGACGAAGTGGAATTTGCAGTTTTTGGCGAGCTTGAAGAATGAGAAATTGATCTGGACGACTTGGTTCTTGTTTGGAGCTTCGATGTGCCAGGAGCACTCGCTGCCGGGAGGAACGCGCTCTAGAATCGGTTTTAATATGACTTTGAAATTTAATGCGATAAAGAATTTCAATCCTTGGTTGAATTCTGAGCAAAAGCCGAAGAAAAATGATTTTTGAATTTCAACCAATCAGAAGCCTCGGATCAATTTTTCCGCTATCAAGAGGAAGAGATGTAGGTTTTCAAATTTTCTCGATTGTTGTTGATTTGACTGAGGCGCAATCCTCATTCAAAATAAAACGACTTCGAGTTGGTTATATATTTTTTTCTACAAGATTTTGGAGCTCCAAAAGCTTGTACATACTTTTTCCACCAGTTTTTCCGCCTTTGCGACCTGGGAAGTTCGCGCTTTCAATCGTCCTCTCCGCCGAAAGCTTTCGCCTTGGATATCGATCGTTGACAGCAGCAACGGAATTGGCATTGCCTCCACAAGCGGATTGGAATTCGTTGACTTCGCTGAAGAGAGCCTTGAATCCGGCCCGTTGAACCTAAAAAGTGAACTTTAGAAGCTATATTTTCAAGTTTATTTTCAAAAAACGGTCGCGGAAGTGATGATCCCCGGAAGTACCATCGTACGTTCAAGAAGCGGGTAATTCTAGCGAGGGACTTTTTTGTACCTTTTCGTTAGACATCATTCGTATACAAATAGCTTCTTCGGCCATTGCTTTGATGGGGCTTCGACGAATGATTCGGCAGATAGGGTTAGAGATCGGCTTTCCTGCCAAATCTTCGACGATGATATAGTCTAAAAAAATTTAGAAAAATTCATAAAAAATTTTGATGAAAAAAAATTTGTTTCTTCAAATTTTTTTAAAAAATTCAGAAATGTGATCAATCAAAGGGTATCCGATGAACGGACTGATTTTCCGATTATTGCAACCCTACCATCATTCGGATAGCAGTTTCTTTTCTGATCCAGTCTCAAGTCCGTAATCTCCAACTGCACGAATCCACCATCCTGACTCGACTTGACGCAATACCTACAGTCCGTATCAGGCAAATACGGCTTCGGATGATTCTCAGATGTTATCTAAAATAATAAAACACGTGACTACTGTCATAAGTAATTCTCTGTAATTATCGCCACCGCAGCGCATCCGCTCCCAACCTGGAAACGGATGAATTTCTAGAGCGAGAAGAGTCAAGTTATAACTTTTAGACGCGTGGTGCCATGAAATTGACCAAACTCTTTGACACTTTAAATTTGACGCTGGTTAGCGGGATATTTTTATTTGCTGATTTTGCGATTTTGAAGAAGAAAAAAGTCCAAAAACCAAAATTTTTTTTCAGAAATAAAGTTTTGCTTTCAATAATTTTATTTTTTATTCATTTATTTAATTCACCAATCAAATCTCTTCAAAATGTCTCTCAACCAATCAAAGTCCCGAATTTTTGGGATGGTGTCTGATACCGACATAAAATTTCGACAAATTTTGCGTGGGAGGCTACTCGGTTGCTGATTGGCCGGTTTGCAGAATGCAGGTTTGTGATTGGTTGAAAATTTCTACGTAAAATTTGTCGAAATTTTTTGTCGGTTCCAGACACCTCCCCGAATTTTTTACCAAAATTTTTTTCAAAATTTGTACCTTTGCTGGAGCAGTTTCAAGAACATCGCATTCTTGAGCCTCTCGACCATCAACTCCGTCGAAGAATTCCGACTTTTCTTTAGCTTCGTCAAAGGGTTTAAAGTTTTCGTCTATCCATCTGAAAATAAATTACATATCGTGGCAAATTGAAACATAAGAGCAAATTCATTGATTCCCCGCAAGAGGTGTAATTCCATGTTTTCATGAATCATCAAAAAGCTGATAACAAACCCGCCGCATTGCTTGTCTTTCGAGAGTTCTGGGAAAGCGTCGGTGGTGATGCCAGGTTCTAGTTGCGTCATCTCTTTGATCCAATCGACAAATTGGGGCACACGTGCGTACACTCCTGGCGCATTAGGCCGCGCGCAACCGATGCCAAATGATGTGATCCCATAAAACACCCATGGACCGTTTTCTCTGACCTTGCACATCAACGGTCCTCCTGAATCGCCTGAGCAAGCATCTTTTCCACCATCCTAAATCAAGAAATTTAGCCAATAATAGTGGGCTAGGCTCAGAAACCTGTGTAGAAAACCTAAGTGATGACTTGAGAAAGGTCTCTTTAAAAGCCGCGTAGCGGCTTTTTCAAAAACGAAGCCGCAAAGCGGCTTCGACATTTCTAAAGAAAAATGAATTCTCAGAAGCCGCTTCGCGGCTAAGTTTTTGTAAAAGCCGCTACGCGGCTTAAAAAAAAGACTTTCTCAAATTTTCACTCAGGTTTTCGAAGCCTGAGTCAGTTGAACGAACCTTGTAGCCCGCGCAGACCATCTGCTCGGTAACTTTATCAGTGTAGTCTGGATAGGTCAAACACTTCTCATTGCTGATAACGCGGACGACGACTTCTTGCAGCTCATCAGCGGTGGAGGTGACGTTCTTTTCGTCAGTGATTCCCCAGCCAACAGTCACGCAAGGGACGCCTTCCTTCATGCAGACTTTTTCGTCTGGTAGACAAAGAGGCGAGATGTTGTCGGAGAAATGGACCGGTGTTTCTAGCTTGAGAAGGGCGACGTCGTTATTGTAGTCTTGGGGCCGGTTGAATTCTAAAAAGGATTAGATGATGAAGGAAGAATGTCAAGGTACCTGGATGAGTGATGATGTCGACAACGTCCCTTGATTCCGCGTTTGCCAAACCCTCATCAGTCGAATCATGGACTCCAAGGAACACTTTCATTTTGAACACACCCTTAAGCTCTTCTCTGGACCGTTTCTTGATGTCGAACCGTTTTTCAAGATTCGGGAGGGTCAGTTTTGGCGACTTCGTGATCGACCTTCCATCCTCAGAAGTGACATTGACCGAGAATTTTGGAATACAGTGAGCTGCAGTGAGGACCCATTGATTGCCGATGAGTGTTCCGCCGCAGTAGTCCGACTTCTTCTGGTCTGAAAAGCAATAATGTTAATTGAATAAATGCGGTAAGGATTAGGTCCAAAAAAAGCACGTTCGTAATCCTACGCCGTCCTTCAATTATCTACAAAAAATCTGACTCTTCCGCGTAGGGCTCGTAATAGACCGCTTGTGCAACAAGTTTCAGGCGCGGCTGTGTGGGGACGCATTCGCGACCAAATTCCAGCCGGATGTCAACGTGAGCTCAAATAAACCCCATGTCAAGATAAATGTCTGAACGCCAAGTTTGAACATACAGATAACATAAATACAACAGCGGTTTACAAAAACAACTTCGCATACTAATTACAGGAGTTTCAAAAGAACCCCTTTCAAAATTTCATTGAAAATGCGTTTTTTTTTGGGGAGATGTCTGGAACCCTCATAAAAATTTCGACAAATTTTGCGTGGAATTTTCAACAAGAAATTTTCTTAGATTCGGAAACTGGCGAATCACCAGCCGAGTAGCCGCCCACGCAAATTTTGTCGATTTTTTTTGTCGGTTCCAGACACCATCCCTTTTTTTTATAAAAACTTACTCGAAATTTTGATGTAAACAGTCCAAGGCCAGGAATTTTTGAGTGCAACTTGTCCACCAACAATTCGCTTAAAATTTGGATCTTCGACGAATTCTGGAATCGTCGCTTTTTCGACTTGAGGGGCGAATAGTTCAGAAAAAGCTGCACTTGGGCTCTTTTTGTTTTTCTGCTTTTTCCTTTTCTTTTTTTCGGAAGAGGTTGGAGGAAGATAATTGTTGAAAAAGAAGTTCGCACCCAAACTGGCTTGTCGCCGCCTTCTGTGTGCTGGAAGTTGATTAAACAGGGATGTTCTAGGAGCGAAAGCTGGGTTCGAGCAAATTGACAGATCCTGTGGATTTTCTGGCAAGGGCTTCTCAGTCGGAGGCTCTGTTGTTGGCTTCATTGTAGTCGTCGTTGTCGTTGTGCTGGTGGTCGTGGTTGTGGTTGTCGCCAAAAACGCTCGCTCTCGTTTTTCATCGTCGCAAGAGACTTTTGGGTAATCATCGTCGTTGATGGATGGAGTGATGCCGGTGACGCTGGTGATCCATTTGTTGTACAAATTGACTCGGGTGTAGACTCCGGGCTTGCCAGCGCGGCCACAGCCGTATCCCCAGGAGGTGACGCCATAAACAATCCAGGGCGATTCTTCGCCAGTTTGACAGAGAAGGGGTCCACCTGAGTCGCCAGTGCAAGCATCTTGTCCGCCCTCATCGAATCTGAATTTTCGTGATAAAAAAGTACATGTTATCAATGTTTCAATTCAACAAGCGATAAAAAACTTGTCCAAAAACAGTTGGAGTCTTACCCAGCGCAGATTGCATATGGAGAGACGAGATTGTAGGGCTTCGGCAGTTTGACGCACTTGGATCGAGGGATGAGCGGCACCGACACCTGCATCAAAATGTCCGACGATTGATCCGAGTTTTCTGACGTGACGCCCCAGCCAACTGCGACGCATTTCTTTTTCCGTATTGAAAAATGCCGGGAAGGGATATGATGTCATCCCTTTTTTGGAATCAAATTTGGAGGTCAGAAAATGAGTTTGAATTGCCGCTGTCAGACCTGTTGTGATTGAATCTTAGCAGTGGCCTAGGATAGAGAGAATGGACAGCGAGATCAAAAGTGGTTTTGAAAATAAACTCGACTTGTTCAAGAGACCACAAACGTGTCGTCTACGTCACCAGCAGATTTTCCCCACTTTTTGAGTCGAAAAGGGTCCAGCTAAAGGCTTGTAAAGACGGAGTTAGGGAGGTGAAGTTTATTTTGCACACAAATAACGTAGCATAAAAAGGTTCTTTTACTTGAAAAGAGGGTCCAATCTCCAAGTTTTTATAATAAAAGAAGTCATTCTAGAGCCGTGAAAATCGAGTTATAAAATCGATTCGAGTTCAACTAACTTAATAGCCACTTCGTCTCCCCTGCTGCACGAAAATCCCTTCTCCCCGCTACAGGTTTACGTTTTTCCCAATTACGGCTCCGAGCAAAAGTCACGCCACTCGGCCCCCAAAATCCCCCGCCACAATCCAGCTTAGAAGAACCCAAAAACGTGGCTGCCGCGCCACATAACGTGCCGCGCAGAACGCCCTGATTCTCTTTTATTTCAAAGGGACCACAATAGGGAACCTTAAGCTTCCGCTGCTGCGATTTATCCCTTTCATCCTCTGTTTCTGTTTTTCTAAAATTGACCCTTCCTTGTCATTTATTTTGAGGTTTTTGAGAAACCCAAATTCGGTCTTTCCATTCTAGAGTCATGAAATATTCAATACTTTCCTGCGCTTCCGGTAGGCAAATTGAGCTGTCTGGTAGACAGATTGGTCGAACTTCGGAAAGATCTCCCATTGGTGCTGGCTTGACAAGACGGGCAAGAGCGATATCGTGTTTTAGGATTCGTCTTAAGAAGAACTGTAATGAAGAAACTCTGTATATACTTTTGAATAGAAAAGTCAGTAATTAAAGTATTGAAAAATTTATAAAGATGAAAATAACACGTCAGTTATGGTCTCTTGTTTACCTCTCGTAAGATGGATGAATCACGAACTCCCGAATATCAATCGAGTCAATATGCTCTTTCTTCTCCGAAATCTTATGCGCGCCAAAAAGAGCATATCCTTGCGCCCCATATCCAGTCGGAACACAATGGCCAGCAGTCAGAACCCAGTACGGCGAAATCAGTGTCCCTCCGCAAGTCATGCAGCCATCCTGTTGGCAAGAGACGATGTAGGTTTGCCAAGGCCAAGAATTTTTAACAGCGTGCTCTCCGCCGATAATTCGCCCGGAGAATTCCACTGGGGGTGCTTTTGGCTTTCGAACGGTTACGTGAAATTTAGCGCATATCACGAACGAGTTTTGACATAATGCTCCACCCATGTTCCGCAATTTTTTCTCCAGGAGAAAATGTTACTATAACTACACATTTCTCTTCTTTTAGAAAGAAAATAAAGTTTTCCTCTGGGTCAAAAAGTAGGTCACGTGACCGTTTCCTGAACATCTGGAACACCGCAAATTCCCTCTTTTTGCCAGCCTTTTGCGTCTTCATTGTCCGGCAACTTGAGGCCCGCACTACTCCTGCTGGTTACATAGTCGCATATTTCATCTTCGTTCGGCTCGGATAGGCCAGAATCAATGGATTGGTATTGGTTCACCCAGCTGCTCACGGTCTTGAATTTGGTGTAAACGGAGGCCGATTCGACGCCACATTCTTTGACAGTATTGACGATTCCATACAGGACCCAGGTGTTGTCTTGAGGAAATCGGCACATGATTGGGCTTCCAGGAGCAAAAGAACACCCTTGTTTCTGGGAAAATGAGCCAGATCGAGCGCAGTTTTCGTAGAGGCCGTTTATGTTGACGTTGTAGCCGTGGCGAACATTGCATCTTTCTTCTTCCATCGGCTCGATTTGCGTTTCCGTCTGTCCGTCGGGGCTGACAACGACGCATGTGGATGGCTTCCCGTCCAGACAGAATGATGGAGGAGGCAAGCAGATGGATGTTGACGACTCGCGGGCAAGTTTAATCATAGACACGTCCACGCTATCAGGATGGTCGATTACCCGACGAACTCGGGCAGGGGAACCATTAATGATGACGCTAATTGAGGAAAGACAACGGGAAAAAAGATTAAATTAAGAGACTGATCAAATAGAATTTCTTCTGGATGAACTTATGAACTCAAATGTCAAATGTCATTGTCAAATGTCATGTCAATGTCAAATGTCAAATGTCAATGTCAAATGTCAATTGTCAATTGTCAAATGTCAAATGTCAATTGTCAAATGGCAAATGTCAAATTACAAATGACAAATGTCAAATGTAAAACGTCAAATTTCAATGTCAAATGTCAATGTCAAATGTCAAATGTCAAGTTTCAAATGTCATAACGACATGATGTCTTTCCATTTTCCTTATCGTTGCTCCAGAATCCCTCCTCAAACAGTTTTTAGAGGTCAGAACAAACTCTCCGCCGTGAAGAATTGCACCTCCGCATTGTTTACAATCGTCTCCGACACAAGAGTTAATTTGGACACTGTAAGGAAAACTGCCCACATTTGACTTTTGGCCGTCGTAAATGCTGGGCTCTATTCAGATCGAGTTCGATAATACTTTTTGTTGGCAATTTTTGAGACGAAAATGAATTGATTATGCATTTTTTGAAGGCGAAAATGCGTCAAAAACCTTGTCATTTTATGCTAATTTGGATCTTTATCCCTCAGAAGAACCCACTTTTGAATTACAGTTCTTTCAAAAACAATGATTATCCGAATCGTCATTATTGAACTTCTCTTTCATTTTTGTCAAACTCGCCATCGACATTGACACCACCAATGAACACATGAATATCCTCTCTCTCCGCTGCGATGCGCTGTTGAATCGCCTCCGTCGCGTTTGTCGCTGATTTACTGCATTGTAACACTGCCTAAAAGAGGAATTAGGCGAAATTAGTTACTTGAGAGCAGGATGGATTTAACAAACGGAAAATCCAAACCGTGAACACTAATTTTTGCTAGCATAATGCTGTATCAAACTCAAGATCTTTGGGAATGAACTAAACACGGGAAAATTTAAGGACCCCCTCGTCAGCTTTTTTCAAAAATCAAATTTCGGAATTTTAAAATTTTGACCCCGGAAATGGTTTTCGGGTCAAAAAAACGATTTTAAGGCTCTATTTTTTGGGAGTATATCTCGACTCTAACACCCTTAAAATCGCGTTTGAAAATTGGACTTTTCGCCGAAAATTGACGAATTCACCCAAATTTTGGAAAAAGTATTGATTTTGGACCAAGAATCTTGGTCAAACATTTCTCTTTTCAAGTTTTTGAAGCAAATTTAACCTGAGGACCAAAAATATGTTGTTTTTAAATTTTCATTTTTAAAAGGAAAAACCTAAGGGGGTCCTTAAATCGGTAAAAATTAAATTTTATCACATTTAACTTCCGTATTTATTCGAGAAAGAACAGGTTTATCGAGAAAATCAGGCAATGTCTTATCGAATCAATAAATGCGCTCATTTCACGGATATCGAGATCCTTAGAAAACTAATCCTATAAAGCAGATTCACTGAGCAGAACCACTCGACATGTGTTTCCAATTAAACGAGGCCTTCCATGGTGGCTTGTTCGTGAGCGAATTTGCAGGCGTTTTCAAATTCATGGGTTTGTTTTATAATTTTCAGCAGAAAAAATCGGCTCTCAATTTTAGCATTGCCAATTTGATAATCGTCTTTTGAAATATTTAATCTTTATAACTATCATTTCGTAGAAAAAGGGAAAATATTTGATCTTAAGTCGGTAAACAACAAGGTCTTTTGTGGTTATAAGAAAAGAGGTACATGCTTCTAGAGTTGGTGAAATCCTGATAGTTGGGGCCTTATCAGCCAATCAGAGTCGAGTTTTCTTTCAATCAGCCAATCGAAAGCGAGATATCCCCCTTAGAACTTTCATCCATTCATAGCTCTTATCCAACGAAGAAGAATGATCTGGAAACTTCGACTTTCAAAAGTCAAGTTGAAAAGAAAAAGCATGAAGAATTATTCCCAGTCCTTGAAATTCGGAATCCGTCTGCTCGGTCAGTGACAGATTTGCGGTCCTAGCTCTATTTGCATATTGAGCTTCTAATTGGCGAGTAATTATTGTCCTTACTTTGCGCTTTCAAGAGCTCATACACATAAAAAGTCACGTTCAATTTTCCGCCCTTTTTTACAAAATTCATCAAAAATCAGGCAAGCAAATTCGTTGTTTTGAGACACATCAAGAGTCGAAATTGAGTTTGGAAATTTAAAAATCTTGTCAACCTTGCGTTTGAGAAATGTTTTTAGCTTCTGATCTCGCAATCAATCGGTCAAGATCCTAACCCACTTACGCCCATAAGTAAGGACGTACCCTGGGAAAAATGTTGTGTTGACAGATTTAGGCTTATTTCTCCTATTTTTATCGAAAAAGAGGAAAATTTTCCGGTAAAGAATCTTAAATGTCGATCTTGGGGAAAAGGCCCAACATTGATTTTCAAAAAATCTAAACTGGATTTTCCGCTTTTGGAGATTTGAGCGTGTTCCTGCGGCCGAGCAGTATTCACGTTGGGCAGCTTGTCGCCTAATTGAATCTCTCACGCACTTCCCAGCCTTGTTCAACCCCCTTTCTACTTGTGTTTTTGCTTCTACAGAAATTTTATTCAATGACAAAAACGAGCTCTTTCACGTTATAAAAACTGAAATTGAACTTGATTCTCGATCAAAAAATAAGAAAAAATTGAAAGAGAGAAAAAGATGAAAATAAAAATTATAAGTCGGAAAGTGTCTGAATCCGGTGGTGAACGTTATCAATGCCCAGCAAAACATCTATAAAAATATCGCTCGTGCGCGCTAGAAAACTAGACATTATCCAGCGCAACGAGTTTTCGAACTCCCGGTTGGGTTTCTCCGTCTTCCTGTAAAATATAGCAATGAGTCATTGCCGATGACCCAGTTTGATATGTAATAATGGATTCAGGTTAATTCAAGTAAATATGATTCTGATCAATAAATAGGATATCAAGTGAAAGCAGTCATCGTCGACTAGAAATAAGTTTAAAAATTATTGTTTCTTAAATCGAAATGCCTACTTATGGTTTTTATTTTTTTCAAAAATCAATCGGAAAAAAGCCAAAAAAGTTCACAGTAGAATTGAGATACCTCAAATCGTCAGGGGTTAAGAATATTTACTCCTGCTCGATAATACAAGTAGTAAGCTGTTAGGTGTCGCCTTATCAGTTGAAGCGAAGTTGAGTTTGTTTAAAAGAGAGTCCGAGATTTGGCCTGAGTCGATGAGTCTTCTAATGTCGTTATAAATCGCTCAAAGCGGCTCACTAAGACGCGCTTTACAACAATGAGTTAACACTCGCCGCGATTCAAATGACAAGACTCCAGTTTCCGATTATTTTTGACAACAGAAAAATGATTTGGCGGTGTATATATATTACTTCCTGTTTTGGTAACTACGTAGGGTAACTAATCAAATCAAAACTAAAACTAGAAAGCAAAAAAGAATGATATGGAATTTTATTTTCATACAAATACGAAATGAGAGGACTTACTCATGATTTTTAATAGGGTTGGATATAAAGGGAGCTGCCAAAAATTTTGGTCAAAAACAGAAACTTCTTGGTCCTTGAAAAAATTATTTAATAATAATTTGAAAAATAATTAAATAAAATTAAATAATTAATAATATATTATTATTTAATAATTATTTTTATAATTATAATTTTTATTACTAGAATTATTTATTTATTAAATAAATTATTTTAATAATATTTATTTTTCTAATTAATTTATTATATTTTGAATTATAATTTTTGAGCTTAAGAAGATCGAAAAAAATCTTCAAAATTTTGAGAAATTTTGACGCACCAAGTTAAATTCTTATTATCAAAATTCAACAAAAATTTCTACCCATCAATCTGAAATATTTTTTATGTTATATCTTTTCGTAACTTACATGTGATATGTGCAAAAACCCCAGTAGGGAAGTATTCTTATCATTCTCCTTCTTCTTCTTCTTCTTATCACAAAATTTCTTTGATTCTTTCTGTATCAGATGTTTCAAAGTTCTCTTCTAGAAAAATAAAAAAGCGTCTTCCCAAAATATCTCAGGTCAGAAAAAGGGGTGAACAGATGGAAAGTCTTTGGTGAAACAAAACGAGCGGTGAAAATCATGAGAACGCGCGATTCGCGCGCGAGCGCCATCCAGGAGCATTTTTTCTTTGCTTGCGCGGGGCCGATATCTGGTTTCTTATGGGGTTCGAGGGCTCGGAAATAAGTTTTCGGAAAAATTTTAGGGCTTTTCATATTATCAAAAAATCAAGTCAATTTCAAAGATTAAAAACTTCAGGATAAAAACCATAAAATCTTTATTTTTTCAATAAATATCATCTTTTTAACTAATTTACTTTGCGATTTTATATATAAAATTAAAATGGAAGGCTTATGTACCAAAGTTATCGTGATTTTATTTTCTTGGAATCATAAAAAATCTAAATTTTAAGAGAAAAAACAACCTGATGTAGTTTTTAAAAATCAAAGGACAAATTATTTCAAAAATTGAAGCCTAAGACTATTGTATTAGTAAGGGCAGGAATTTGCCATCTAAAATGTTTAATAGACTTTCGGTCTTTCCGTCGACCAAATTTGGTCACCTTTATCCCCGCGTTCGGCACGTTTGATCGCCAGCCTAGATTGTGGTCGGCACGTTGTTAATCTCCTCCTTGCTCCTGTAACTCTTACAGACAAGCGGCAAATGCCAATAACAGAGCTTTTTGTTCTCAGACGCAACGGAGGCTCCAAAGCGCGAAGCTCTTACGTACTGACATTTTACGGTGCTTTAGGGAAAAACACGATCTTTGAAAGTTTAACTTATTGTAGTGACACCCTTAAGAAGTAGACGAGAGTGTTTTTCTTCGCTTGCCCTAAAGCGACTATCGGGCTGGAATAACGGTTAAAAAATTTGAAAATCTTAAGGGGATCACTCCGAAATTGCTGTTTGAAAAA